ATGTGTGACTCGATGGCCATCTTGTTATCGTCGAGGGCCATTGGGAGGAGGACATTGTGGAAGTTGGCCGACTCGGGGGTGATGTCCTTGACGATCTGGTCTTGAATGCGGCGGGACTGGTCCAGCAGGCGGCGGGTGTCTTTGGCGAGAGACTCGATGGTGGCGGTGAAGAGGGGAGGGGCATGGGGAGGCTTCTGGTACTTTGCAGAGGCCATGGTCATGGACGTGACGTTTCGGGCAGAGGCAATGCCAGAGGGCAGCTTGAGCGGCGTGAAGTGAGTCGTCAGAAGACTGAGACGGGAGGCGATGCGTGTGAAAGCCACCGTGAGCAGGACGAGGGCGAGAGAGAAGAGGAAGAGGGTCTTGTAGGAGAACTGCTTTCTGTCTGTTCTAGTAAGCGCCAGCTTGAATTGAGTGACCGGTCCGTGTCTGGGAAGCGATACAGGAAAGGTCGCCTGCCCGCACTCGCTCCTGCCACTTGCTGAAGCCAAACCCCGCCATATCTCCGACTGACTCTCGTGTAACTTGACAATAATCCGTATACACACATCACATTGCGACATGTCAACTATCCGCATGAGGTCTACAATAAAGCAGCAAGCTGGCGAAGATGTGATATTATATCGATTGCCTAACTAGAAACACATTCCGCGCTCCAAGCCATGGGCCCCTTGCCGATGCCATACTATCACTTTGAGACACTTCCTCTGTATCGTGATCTGACGCAACGTGACACAAGTCTGTGCTGACTACATGCACATGTTTGCTCCTCCCAACAATCCACTCTCCATCTCAGCTATCTCACACCGCCATCGAGCTCTCACGGAGGATGCCGACGTGGACCATGAACCCTGAGCCTTCTCTCAGAGGCTCCGTCAACACATCATCCAAGAGTCTCCATGTCCTAAAATGCTTGTTGAACTCCTCGAGCCACTCCTCAAACACGTCTGGCTGTCGCAATTGTTGTGCTATCAAACAGACTGCCGGGCGTTCGCCTGTCCTTGATCGACAGACATCAGCGCATGTCTGAACAAACGGCTTGATCAGTGCATAGTTGTATATGCAGTCGCAGGCAATGACCAAATCGACTCCTTCGTGTGCATTGTTGCTTTTGAGAAATGAATCGACATCGTCAGTCTCCCAGTCCAAAGATAACACTTGTATGTTCGAGCTTGGTAGAGGATTCGTTTTTCTTGAGGTCTTCTTGTTCTTTGCTCCAGTTTGTGGTAGTCTGGTGTTCTGGTCGATATTCTCTTTCAGAAGTTTGAGGGCGTATACTTGATCTGTGGCAATATATTGTCGAACCAGAGGAGCCAGAGTCAGAGGCACAATGCCGGCAATGCCAGACCCCAGCTCAAGCACGCTCGAGTCTGCAGACACGATGCCATATTGTGCAAGTATGTTACCAGGCGATACCAACCAATCGGCAAATCTCGGAGTCACCTTCCAGACAACAGCACCTGTAGTACCGCCTCCACGAGCAGAGTTGAGGACGGCAGGAGATTGCTTGATGGAGAAGTCACGAGGTCCGATAGCCAGGTCAAGAAGAGGGGCTTGTGAATCGATGATGCCAAGGTTTTGAGAGGGGATGTCTTGGGAGAAAAGTAAAAATGTTTCTGTATAGAACCTACCGTTACCATGCTGAGGAGGAATGGGGCTTGGACTCCAGGCAATCACCTTCNNCGAGGCGTCCTCAATCTCGGCACCTAGCTGGGTAATGAAGGAGGCGAGGGACATGGGCGACAGGTAGATATGTACAGGCGTTGTTACAAAAAAGACGTGACAGTCATGCTCCAGGTCGAAAGACTCTAGACAGAGCAGCTTGCGAGGATGGTGTGAAGAAGAGTCGAGCAGATGACATGAGTCGCTGCAAGAGCCAGTCGGAGTGTTTGGGGAAGCTCTGGCCTTTGTGTGGCGCAAGCACGGGAAGCGGCCGGCCGGTGCGTCATGGCGGGAGTGGAGCCAACCAATTGTGTTTCCACGGCTTCAACGCGCGCCGTCATCACAAGTCGCTCCTGCCTGCCAGAACCTCTTTCCCTGCAAAACGAGGCTCTCTGTCCTTGCCCTTTTACCTTTCATGTCTTTTGACAGTCTGCCCAACATCACAAACATCTACAACATGGGCGACATTATGCAACGAACTGACCTCAAGAAGCTGGTCCCCCAACCCAAGCCTTACAAGAAGGGCCCCTACACGGTTGAGGCCAAGGGCTACGAGAAGAAGGACGGCGAAACCATTCCTCGCGTGCACCCGGCAGCAAAGGACGGTCTCATCAGCACCCCGGCGCCCGACATCAAGACCATCTACGATGTTCTTCGCAGCAGCTCCAAGAAGTTTGGCAACGCAAAGGCCCTGGGTTACCGCACCCTGATCAAGGTCCACGAAGAGGTCAAGCAGATCAAGAAAGTTGTCGATGGCAAGGAGACTACCGTCGACAAGAAATGGCAGTTCTCTGAGCTCAGCCCTTACACATACATCAGCTTCGACGAGTACGAGCAGCTGTGTCTCAAGGTTGCCTCTGGTTACCGTGCTCTTGGCATGAACAAGGGCGACCGCGTTCACATCTTTGCTTCGACCAGTCCCTGGTGGCTGGCTACTGCTCATGGTACACACCCTTTCATACACCCTACAGTCTCCGTTTCTAACACGATCTTCTCTANNGCCGCCTCTACCCAGTCGATGCCCATCGTCACCGCTTACGACACCCTCGGCGAGGAGGGTCTCATGCACTCCCTCAAGCAAACACACGCCAAGCTCATCTTCCTCGATCCCCATCTCCTTACAAAGCTCATCAATCCTCTCAACGAGTCCAAGGACATCCAATATGTCGTCTACAACAGCCACATGGAAGTCAAGGAGGACGACATTGAGAAGCTCAAGAGCGCCCACCCCCACCTGACCATTCTCAGCTTCGACGAGCTGACCAAGAAGGGTGAGGAAAACATGGTCGAGCCTGTTCCTCCCCAGCCCGAAGATCTTTGCTGCATCATGTACACCTCCGGCTCTACCGGAACTCCCAAGGGTGTTCTTCTCAAGCACAAGAACGTCATCGCCGCTAGTATGTGCCCTCTCTCTCTCTCTTCCACTCCATTCACTAACACACTGNCAGTCGCTGGCGTTGATGTCATCGTCGGTCCTTACCTCGGCCCTGGCGACGGTCTTCTCACCTACCTCCCTCTCGCTCACATTCTCGAATTCGTCTTTGAAAGCGCCTGTCTCTACTGGGGAGGTACCATGGGTTACGGAAACCCCAGAACTATCTCGGACGCCTCGGTGCGCAACTGCGCTGGTGATATTCGCGAATTCAAGCCTTCAATCCTGGTTGGTGTTCCTGCTGTGTGGGAGACTGTCAAGAAGGGTATCGTTACAAAGGTCGACAAGACTGGTGGTATCACCAAGCAGCTCTTCTGGGCTGGTATGGCCGCAAAGAGCACCATGATGAACTACTCTGGTCTGCCCTTCACCGGCGTCGGCACCAGTGTTATGGACTCTGTTATTTTCAAGAAGATCAAGGAGGCTACTGGTGGCAGATTGAGAATTTGCTTGAACGGTGGTGGTCCCGTCGCAAAGGACACTCAGCGCTTCATCTCCATGGCCATCGCTCCTATGATCAGCGGTTACGGTCTCACCGAGACAGCTGCCATGGGTGCTCTCATGGACCCTCTTGCCTGGACCGATGATGCTCTGGGTGGTCTGCCTGCTTCCATCGAGGTCAAGCTCGTCGACTTCCCCGACGCTGGCTACTACTCTACCAACAACCCTCCCCAGGGCGAGATCTGGATTCGTGGTGATGCCGTCACTGACGGTTACCTCGACCTCGAGAAGGAGAACCAAGAGTCGTTCGAGGATGGTTGGTTCAAGTCTGGTGACATTGGTGAATTCGACAAGAACGGCAACCTCAAGATCATCGACCGCAAGAAGAACTTGGTCAAGACTCAGAACGGCGAATACATTGCACTTGAGAAACTCGAGTCCGTCTACCGCGCCAGTCATGTTGTTGCCAACATCTGTGTCTATGCAGACCAGAGCAAGAACAAGCCTATTGCCATTATCGTTCCCGCCGAGCCTGCTCTCAAGTCTCTGGCTTCCGAGAGTGGCTGTAAATCTAGCGAGCTCGAGGAGATGTGCCAGGACAAGAAGCTGAACGAAGCCGTTCTGAAGAACCTGCAAGCTGCCGGCAAGAAGGGTGGCCTCTCGGGTATTGAGATCATCGAGGGTGTTGTCCTCGCCCCCGATGAGTGGACTCCTCAAAACCAGCTTGTCACTTCAGCGCAAAAGCTTAACCGTAGAGCCATTCTTGACAAGTACAAGAAGGAGGTCGAGCAAGCCTACAGCTCGTAATGACTTTGCAGGATGTGTTGCTTGTATTATGGATTCTGGTTTTGCGTTATGACTTCAATGATGCCGGCGCAGGGTTTACTTCCAGCAACTGGGCGATTTTGATATCTTTTCTGTTTTCATTATGATTAGCACATAATTATACCCGACTCTTTACTTTCGACCCTCTCTACATCCAGTAAACGAGCCCAAAACTATCGCACTCAGATCCGGAGCCGGTAGATCAATGCTTGTGATGTGTGATCGCCGGACAGCGCCTGCCTCAGTGGCTTGCAGATTACTGGTTGCGAACTTGGCACAGCCTTACTCGCTCCAGGTCTTGTGCATCGAACCTGCAACAATGCCTTTATGTACCTGGTCCTCCATCATCCCATTGGTTCATTGTCTACGCGGCCTGTTAACCTCGCCACAATGGTCTTCAGCCTGATCCTTGGAATAGGTGCAGAGCCGTCATAGCCTCTTGTTCAGGCTGCGTGGCCTATGTCCGTACACCCTTGACATTGCTATTTGCAAATGAGGTCTCGCATCGCACTCTGCAATGCTGGACGCGCTGATATAGAAGCTGTAGTAATTCCACTATATTTGAGCCGACGATCTTACAACCACGTCTACACAACCAGTCAGTCACCACTAAAGTCGATCGCCGCTACAATATCACAAGATGCCGATACCCAAGTTCAGCTACAGCGTTACCAGAGATTATCCTTATCAATGGTCCACGCCTGTCGCCATCATCGGGGGCATTCTGTTGACAATTCTGTTCTCAGCCATCAACTTTTACTCGACGGCCTACACCATAGTATCTTACACTACCTCAGATATTCAGAGTGTCGAGGCCGGGAGATTCACCGGACCATTTGCAGGTCTCTTTGCAAGCAAAATACAGCCCAGCTGCCAGGATGCGGTGATCCTCGTCGGGTCTACCTTCTATACTAACCAATCAATCTTACCGTACAAAGTGATAACCGCTACGGATCCTGCGATCAGTAGTGGTCTAGCACCGACGTACCACAATGAAATTATCCAAAGCTGCTCGCCTCTCGAGGTAGCGCTAGACTTCTCGACGTGGTTGGATAGACCTGGTAATCAAGTCAATGTTTCGGCCTGGGGTCTAAGCATCACCGTCACGATGAAATGTCTCGGTGGGACTAACGACAACTTCTTTGATGTACAGACGCAATTCAATCCATTGGACCCAACTGGTTCTATTCGGCAAGTCAACATCTGGGGAGACTCCCAAGCCCCCAACACACCAACACAGAGTCATTATCTACCATGGGTACAACAACTTATGCTAGGATTCTGGCTCGAGACTGTGACCGCCATGACGAACCAAACACTCCGAGCAATGGAGCCTGGAGACACGGTACCGGAATATAACTTGACCAGTGGCTACATCCACTTGGACGCTTCTGAGTCTTGGGGGAAGTCAATGAAAGACGATGATTTCTTCACAGGGACGTCTTGGGTCTTCCTCGACTTCTTGAGAGACAAACGATATGCAGGATCTACCAATACTAGCTTTTATTCTACGGCCAACAACACCGCATGGTCACGTATCTGGTCGCCTGTCGATCGTCTGGCAAAAGCGGTATTGTCCACAGTGTATGGTGATGTCGGGTTATTGGCCCTACACAATGGTGAAATCGTACAATTGAACCCAGAAGGGAGCATGATATCCAGCCCCGACACGATACAATACTGGATGGCCAATATTTCCACCATCTTCGATCAAAGTGTCATAGACATAAGCACCTTGTCCAGCTATCAGCAACTTCAGACGCTAAGTCGACGCGCTGCGGAGGCATCTACGGGCAGTTCTAATTGGTTGCTGCAGGAGGACGGTATTCCCGATGCAATTTTGCACACGTTTTCGACAATCACCACGAGTTATGTGTGTCAGTACGCCCAGCTCAAGTCTCATGTCAATATCTTCATCTCGATTCTCGTTGCCGATCTCGTCTTTTTGCGGGCGGCTTGGTCGCTCTACAACTNNTTTTTGGTCGGCTACTTTCTCAAAAGCCGACGTTCGGACGCAAACATGTGCAAAGAGTGCCTGACACGGCAGAAAAAGGACGAAGAACAAGCAGGAGAGGAAAACAAGAGACAGGAGTCAGCAACGGCGACAGATCTATCAGCGACTCATATGCCACCAGCTCCTTCTGATACTGATACAATGCATGAGCACGACCAGCAAACGATACAGCTTGACGATTTGATAGACCCGTCTGTACGGCAAGAGAATCAGCAGTGTATGCAGAGCCTACTAACCCACCGACACGTCTGAGAATTGTCTCTGGATGTCACAAGATCTGGTGACAACGTGGCAGATGGAATAGACATGGTTCGAAAGTTGATGATAAAGGTCAAGGAAGACTGAGTTACTAAAGAAGCATGAAATGACGAGATTTCCAAAACTAGAAAAAAAACAAGACAAGGAATACTTTATATACAAACATTGCGCTTTGTTTGATATAATGGTCGTTTGCTGGAACCCCAGAGCAATGAGTATTGATTTGGTTGAACACAAAAGAAGGCTTGGGCTTGTGCAACTCTTGTGTGCGTAGGACACAGTGGTAATAGAGCGAGAAGTTAGCATACAGTAGACATACATGCACGGCGTCATGAAATCGTGGTGGAATGTAGTGCAATAACCCCGCTATTCATGCTTGCTATGTATACACATGATAAAAACGCCCTCAAGCAATGACCACAGCACAAACGCACGAACAAATGCTATTTTAATAATACACCCCTCAATCCTTTTTCCCGCTCCCAGCAACCCAAGCAAGAAACAAACTCATCTTTTACAACCTCTATCTCCTCGCGCGAGGAACAACAGGTGCACCCTCCCAAGCAGTTCCTCTAGGCAAGACCTCTCCCTTCATCAACAAACTCAAAGCACCAAGCTGACCTTCATCCTCGATAGTACTACCAGGAAGACAGACGGAGAATGGTTTGAGACAAGCTCTTTTTCCCAACACCACATTGCCGACTTTCATGACGCGATCTTCGAACAAATGGGTCTGGGCACCGCAGGTTTTGTTGACAATGCACTCATCTCCCAGAGTGACGCAGTCGAACTCGGTGATGTCGGAGGAGAGAAGGGTCACTCGTGAGCCAATATTCACACCCATGAGACGGAAGCACATGGCGAGGTAAGGCGTGCCGACCAGTTGAGCTGCGAGGAGCGGTTCGGTGAGTGTTTCCCAGGTGCTGGTCACGGCTTCGCTGAGCCAAACGTTCAGACTCCAGAGCGGCCATTCGGCGGGCTTGTACTGTCCAACAAGAACCCACTTGATCAGAGCAGTAAACAGTAGGGCTGGCGCTGCGAAGAGTATGAGGTAGAACAAGGGCAGCATGAGTAACGTGTTAACAGCGCCGATCTTGTGGTACCCATCGTGAGCCAGTTGCAGTCCGAGGCCTAGACCAAAGATTATGATTGAGCGCGGCACAACGATACGAAGACCTTCGATGAGCAGACGTGCAGCAATACGGCCCGCAGATGGTCGGAAGAGAAGTTTATCCTCATGGCTTTCGGTACGCTGTCGATTGGGCATCAGTACTGGTGGAGAGCCGAAGCAGGAGCTGTTGTTCGCCATCTGGGTATCTGCTGGTGGAGCAATGGACAACACGCCAAGCAAAGTACCGGAAGCCAGAGTAGTTCCTTGGGGAAGCACAGAAGCATTACCGGCGAAAGCACGAGGCTCGAGCTTCGTCTTCTTGAGAGTCAGCTGGTTTCCCTTGACGACACCTTCACCCATGATGACAGCGTCAGCAACGAAACTCTCTTCACCAATCTCGAGAAGATCGAATGAGACGTTGCGAGCTGTCGAGACTTCGGCACGTTTGCCAATCTTAGTACCAAGAGCTCTGAGGAACGGAACAATGTAAAGTGTCGCGAAGACGGGGTGGAGTACATCCAGGGCGAGATCCATCAGTCTCTCAACAAACCATTTGCGAAGGTAAAACACGCTGTATGTACTGTAAGTGCCTTCCTTGAGGCGTCCGAGGAAGAGGTGGCGATAGATGAGCAATTGCAAGAAGACCAAAATTTGGTATGCGAAAGCGATAGGCAGGGACAGAATGGCGACTTGCGACCATTCGCTGACATGGCGAAGGTCGAGGACATCGAAGAGCATCAATCCTGGAATCTGAGGCACGAAGTAAAGCAGGGGGAGTACCAGGAAAGCAACAAATGAGTTACCAAGCAGCATAGCTGTCGCCCGAGCTTTAGAAGGCCTGGTATCTTGTGGTCGAGGAGAATCCTCGGCGTTCTTGACTTTGTCCAAACGCGCGGGCGATCCATGAAAGCGATGGAAACTTGGAACAACCATACCAGAAGGAACCAGTGACAGCGATGCAACTTCAGCTTCCTCGCTGACAATCGCACCACCTTCAACGACACAACGCGAACCGATTGATGCTCCATTCTCGATGATGACCCGCTTGAGGACCAGACGTCCTCTCTCAACCACACAGGCGCCCAGCACAACATCACCACCAATCACGACGTCATCACCAATCTCAATAAGATCAGCACATGGACCGATCTGGAGCGCACCGAGATGGCAGAACTTCCCAACTTTCGCTCCACACGCTCGCAAGAAGATTGGGTAGAGCCCAGAATCAGCCATCAGCTTGGGATTTGCCAGTGAGGTCAACCGATCCGCAAACCACCAACGGAAGTAGTAAAATCCGTAAAGAGGGTATTCGCCAGGCTGTGCCTTGCCGAGAATCAGCCACTTACCTGCGATGGCTACAACGCTCAAAGCAGGTGGGATGACTACGAAGACGGCGTAGGCTGTCAGAATGGCGTAGCCAATGCGACCAGCGATTGCGTGAAAGTCGAATAGCAGATATGGGACCAGGATCTCGATGGATTGTAAGAAGAAAATGAACAGGAGCGGTAGGATTTGGGCAACACCGCAGAGGACGAATTTTGTTTGCGATATTGGCAAGAAATCGCCAGTCCATGAACCGGTACTTTCGAATTCACTGTCCAGAGACTCGACCTCTTTGAGATCAATGTGAAGGCTCTTGCTCTTCTCCACAACTTCGAAACGAGTTGCGATCCTGGCTGGTGTACGGAGCTCGTAGATATCAGCAAGTCCGATAGAAGCAAAGGGCCTTGTGTCATCTTTGTCAAGCTTTGCCTGTCGTAGTCGCGATATCAAGATTGCTGCAATCAATGAATGTCCACCCAGGTCGGTAAAGATGTCGCTGTCAGACTGGACACGGGCTCCAGGGAACAGTGGCGATAAAGTAGCCAACATCAAGCCAAGCACGCCATCCATTTCCACGAAAGATGGTACTGACGAAATGTCATTGTCGTCATTGCTTGATTGCGCAGCTGCCCTTTCGGCATTGATACGTTCGGAAACGTCTTGTAGAGCTTTGCTGTTTATCTTGCCGCTGGGTAGTCGAGGCATTTCATCGGCCTCAATGAAGAACACTTCCTCTGGACGCATGTAGGCCGGCAAGCTGTCAAAAGCAATCTGGTGGATTGTGGCAATGTCACGGACAGTTCCCTCCTTGAGAACCACGAACGCCTCGAGGCGAGCAGCTTCTGATCCAGCGTTGGCCAGGATGACGGCTGCAGCTTGCACGTCTGGTACATCGTACAGTCGTGACTCGATCTCACCGAGCTCAATGCGGAATCCACGATGCTTGACTTGGGTGTCGATGCGGCCAAGGAAGATGATCTTGCGGTCAGCCTGCAGTCGTACACGATCGCCAGTGCGGTAGATTTTATCGCCGTCAACAGCTCCCAGAGGGTGAGCGATGAATTTCTGGGATGTCAAGTCGGGGCGTCCAACGTATCCAAGTCCGACACAAGGACCTCCAATAGCGAGTTCTCCTTCAACACCTTCCTTCCACTCGAGAAGCTCCAGAACAGCCGAGGAACTGTCATCAGAAATGGGCAGTAGGCAGGCGTGATATCCAGGTAGCGGTTTGCCAATTGTGACAGGGACATCAGGCCGTAGCTCATCCCAAGTAGCGGTGACGGTGGTTTCGGTAGGACCATATGTGTTGACGATACGAAGGCCAGGCTTTGCAAGAGTTTTGACCAGCGCAGGTGGGCAAGCTTCACCACCAAGGTTAATCAGGCGAACAGATGACGGAAGCAGAGAGTCGCCATCGTCTGATCGCGCAATGTTCATGATGCCGATCAGAGTCGGTACTGCATTGACGAGAGTGACGCCACGCTTTTTCCAGACTGCAGGTAGCGCTGGCACATCTCTGCATTCTGCACGGGTTCCGATAGCGAGATGGCCTCCTCCAGCGATGGTTACCCACATCTCTTCGACGAACATGTCGAATGCCGGGCTGAACCCGTTCCAGACAACGTCACTTGGACTTGTTTCAAGGACTTCTCGTTCACTAAGAGAGAACATAAGAGCAGCAGAGTGTGGAATAGCGATACCTTTCGGCATGCCAGTGGTCCCTGACGTGTAGATGAGGTAGGCAGCATCTTGTGGTCGAGGGCCAGGAATGAGAGCGGCATTGTGGCCTTGTGATGATTGTGTTTCTGCCGTAAGTTGTGAGAAGGTACGGTATTGGAGACTCGGTTTACCAGCATCCCGGGATGTTAAGGCGACTCGCTCTTGCACCTCCCGGACTTGGTCAGCGTGGGCGGCATCACTGATGATCAAGGAGACTGAGGCATCGACTATGCAGACGGCAGCACGCTCGGCAGGGACGTCTGGGTCGAGGGGAAGCCATGTAGCACCTGAGCATGTCGTGGCGAGGATGGCGAGAATGAGTTCAAAACCCTTTTCCAACCATATGGCCACTGTTGGTGCTTTGTCGTCTTTGGCATGTTGAGAGAGAGCTGCGATGCGAATGGCAAGTGACGATGCCCTGGCGTCTGCTTCCGCGTATGTTATGGTAACCAGTCCATTGTCCGTCTGGACGGAGTAGGCGATACTGTCGGGTTGTGTTCTTGCTTTGTGTTGGAATAGTTGTGGGAGCGTGGTCACCGACGCTGGTGCGACTGGTGCCGCATTGAGAGGTGCGTCTCCTATCAAGATTCGTGGATCGATATACGATTTGTCGTCTGTGAGGCGTGGCAGTAGGTACAGCATGGTCGCAGAGCCGCAGAAGCGCCACTATAGTCCACTGTACTGTCTGTACAACAGTTCCCGCGATGAGAACAGATCAGATGAGTGACGCAGAACGAATTGGCAGAATGCTTAGTTGGCAAGTAATCGATTCGTGAAGGAAATGCAAGGGGAGTTATGGAAGTACAGAGGCCAGTGACACCATCGAAGGCGTGCCTTCCAGACGAATTTTCAGCTATTCTCGGAAAGAGGCATTTACGAGTTATGGACACCGGCTCCGCACGTGTAAGATAACTCGCTTTTGGGGAAACCGCAGACCGGACGAGGCCAGCCTTCCGTATACGCGTGGCCTGTAAGCTGCAGGGAAGCTGGCCGCGCGGCGTTCGTCCGTGCAATATGCCATGGTATAGGCTTTGGGCGTCCGTATACGGCGCCAACGTCGCCGAGGGATGCGAGATTTTTGGCAAAGGTTGAGCTACTCACAACAAATAAGACACATAAGTGCCGTAACCACGATGTACATTCTTGTCCTTGTTTCAATCCCATCTGCCAGCATCAACGATCTTTGCGCGTTATTCCCAAGACCTGCATCAGTGCTCGATGGTCAAAAGGAGGTGAAGTTGAAGTTGTTTGCTGCCCTGGTCCAGATCGACAAGAATCTGTCGCCAAGCCTGAAACAAGCAATCTCCCCGCAAGTGAAAAGGCTTGTCTGACCTTGGGGTCCAGCACGTTGCAGATCCTCAGGCTGTCAGACGTGAGGATTGCGTGTCAAGGTTCGTGCTTACTCCTGCCTGGCTTGTTTGTATTACATAAATGATTGAAGCCTACGTGAGCCACTCTGACATTCATCATCAACCACATTCACAGACGAGAGTTGCCAACAGCAGCGAACCACTCCGAGGATTTGGAATGAGAGTGAGCCCACGTTTATGGCGACACATGGCGTGATGATGACCAACAGATGCAACACAGATTGAATTGTGAACAGCGATTTTCATTCTTCGAAACCCCCTCTCGAAGGTTTTTCTCGCGTGCACTCCTAACCACCACGACCCTTTCCGTAGACGTCCTTGCTAGCCATGTCCTTGCAAATAGGATGGTAGAACTCCTTGTACTTTTCGAAGGTCTGTTGCGCCAGCTTCTCATCACACTCTCTCAGGTTTCTGTAGAGCGGGCGCACAAACTTCATGCGGCCGACTCTACCGAGCAGTTCCGTGGTGGGGACGTACACACTTTGGCATCTTGCCTTGAGACCGACGATCATGTATCTACTAACCACTTCGACATTCTTCGAGGCCGCATAAGAGTACACTTCACCCATCTTCTCGACTAGAGCAGGTGAAAGGGGTGTCTTCCAGGTCTGGATCTTCTCGAGGAACACGACGGATTGGTTGGCTGACCAAGACGAAATGTCCGAGGCCGAGGGCTTAAAGTCCGAGTTTCCGCCGTTCAGGGACTCCCACTTGCTAGCAAGATTGTAACAGACGTCTACCATGCTGGTGTCAAAGTCGGGCTTGGGTGGATAACCAGGCTTGTAGAACCAAGTATCCCAATCGACAGAGTTCAGCTTGTCGGTCGCCTTCTCGTCCTTGGCGAAGAAGTCAAGAAGGGTGGCCTTGAACTCGTACGAGTCAAGAGACTTTTGAGCAAACGTGGTGAAGTAGTGAGGGATGAATTTATCCCACTTCTCCTTGCCGACCAGCTTCTCGAGATAGTAGAGGAAGGTGAAGCCCTTCTCGTAGGGAATGCTGGAGAATGCATCATCAGGGTCCTTGCCCTTGAGGTCAGGGATCAATTTTGTGTATTCGTGCTCGGCACCGTAGCCCTCGATACTGTCAGTCAAAGCCTTCCAGCCGATGATGGCGCTGAAGTCTCTGTGGGGTTCGCCGTGGATGGCAGCTTGGATTCTGCGCTCGAGGTAGACAGTCCAGCCCTCGTTCAACCAGAAGTGCTCCCAACTGCAGTTGGTGACCAAGTTACCAGACCAGGAGTGAGCAAGCTCATGTGCAATAACATCAATGTTTTCGCGGTCACCAGAGACCAGAGTGGGTGTTGCAAAGGTGAAGATGGGGTTCTCCATTCCACCGTAGGGGNNGAAACTGGGAGGCAGGACAAGCACGTTGTACTGAGTCCAAGCATAAGGGAAGACGATCTTCTCGGCAGCCTGGATGAACTTCTCGGTAGGCTCAAACTCCCATTGCGAGGCCAGGAGCTCTTCAGGACCAGTGTGAACGCAACTGCGAGGACCAATGGCAGCAGAAGCAAGATCTCCACTTGCGAGGGCGAAAAGGTAGACGGGCATGGGGATCTTCTGGTCGAATGTGTAAAGAAGAGTGCCAGGAGCATCACCCTCGCCAGGACGGAAGTCCTTGTTTCCAGTAGGTAGACCACTGGCAAGAACAGGAAGAGGAGAGCGAATGTTGAAGGTGAAGGTCGACTTAACATCAGGGGTATCCTGGCAAGGCAAAAGCGAGCGAGCATGGATGGCCTGGCATTGGGAGAACATGTAAGGGTGCTTCTTGTTGGAAGTCTGCTCGGGGGTCATCCATTGAACAGCAGTGCACTTGTCAGTGGTAGCCATGGTGACCTCAATCTCAGCATCTCCAGAATGGTCATCAGGGATCTCGATGGTGAGAGGGCTTCCATAAGGCTCGAATCTTTCTCCAAGGTTCCACTTGGCCTTCTTTCCAGCAAGTTTGACGTCCTGGATGTCGAGGAAGCTGGTATCAAGAACAACCTTTCCGCTTCCCTGGCCTTTGGCGAGTCTCTCCAACTCAAGCTTGATGGTACCGACGCATCTGTTCTTGGCAAACTCCAGCTCCAGGTCTGCAGTTACATGCTTGGTCCTCCAGACATTATAGTTACTCAAGGTGTTGGGATCTCTGGGTTGATGAATCGAGATGTCCACATCATCCGCGATAGGACGATTCAGCATTGCCGCGGGGGATTTGTGCATTGTTGCGAACGTCCTCGAGCTTGCGATAAGTTTCGAAGATCCAGAGAGTGATGGTTTGACAAAGACTGTGAACAGAGCAGAGAAGGTCTTGTTCATCTGTCTTATAGAGATGTCAGAAGTTCTGCAGAGGCGGCCTGATTCAAAGAAATCGCGTGTTCTTCTCAAAATGGCAGGTCGGAAGAGGCCGAGGCTTTTTGGTGGGAGCACCCAAGATCTGGAGAGAGCTTTGTTTCGCGTGAGTCACGTGTGGAGCTCTCTCGTAAAATAGCGAAATTGCAACTGAGCACGAGCGCTTTCTTTTCCCTGCCCAATCATAGATGGTAGATTCGTATTGCGGAAACTACATGTGACGGTATGACTATACCGTTGCCACAGATGAATAGTGAGTCACTGACTGTCTTCTCGTCCTCCAGCTGAGCCAAGTCCACGTCCCTTTCGACCACCGGACACCCATCTTCGATGTCAACAACATATACGAAAATGGCCCAATAGCCCATGGCAAGTATGTATTGGGAAAGAGATCCAACAACGAGCAAACCGTAAACGCGAGTAGTTGTAGCGACCATCTGAGACGGCCTTGCTTTTTTCTGTAAGCCCTCACCGTTCGTACCATCCCTATCATGCCGGGAACAGAGTATCCTTTGACGAGGTATACAATTACTGAGATGTAGTCGGAGTGACTTTGGAGAGTCTTTGAAACGCAGGCCTTGATGGATGCCTGCTCAATCTTGCATGAACTTCTGTAACGTGGTGGAAGTACAATCTTCTAATGAATGGGCTTACTGAGTGTAGACATAAAATAATCATGATGTTTCTGCAAATCGTCTATGGGTATTCGGTAACTGTTCACGCAGCCTTGCCCAAAGCAATGTTCTCAACATGTTGCGCACCTTGGTAGTTCTTCCTCTCGTGCTCCATGATGGCATCAACCTTCTTTGCACTCGCACTCTGCTCGTCAAACTTGTAGCCTAGCCACTCTTTGGCTAACCTCCTTGCAACCTCAACACCGACAACTCTCTCGCCCATACACAGGACCTGAGCATTGTTGCTCAGGATTGCTCTNTCAACAGAGAAGCTATCGTGAGCAGTAACGGCACGGATGCCAGGGACCTTGTTCGCCGAAATGGCGACACCGAGACCAGTTCCGCAGATCAAAAGTGCGCGGTCGGCTTTTCCTTCTGCTACGAGCTTTGAAGCGTCGACAGCAGGGTGTGGGTATGCGGTCTTGTCGTCGCTGCTGTTGACACCGACATCGATGACCTTCTCGACGCGGGGGTCGTTCTCGAAGTCGGCCTTGATCTTGTTCTTGTAGCCGCAGCCGGCGTCGTCGCAGCCAATGGCGATGGTCAGGGGTTTGTTGGACATTGTCTCTTCTTTCTCGAGTGGAGGGAGTCTGGGATCACAGCTGGCTGGTATCGTAGCCGACGGTGGCTGCACAGTGGGAAGGCTCGATGTCGAGTGTGACGGAGTCGCCTTGCTTGGTCTTTTGTTCGGCACCGTTGGTCTCGACGGTGTAGGGGTTCGTGGTGAGGGTGGTTGTGTGGGAGGTTTCGTGGGGCGTGTCGTGGGTGATGGTCTTTGTCTCGCCCGTCTTGTTGTCGTGTATTTGCTCGCGAAGGTGTTCAGAGTCGGTGGTAAAGGACGACGAGATTTGGATGCGCTTCTTGGAGNNGGAGTCGAGGAGGACATTTTGAGTTCGGCAGGACGAGGGTGGGTATTTGAATGGCAGCAAGCACGTTGACAATGCTATTGGTTGGCGGTGGTTGGCCGACATGTGCTGTGTCCTCGTCTCGGCGACAACAGCGAGATGGAAGGGCGGGGTTAAATTCCTCGGATTGCCCTTTTGGGCCATCGCCGTCATCGCTCCTTCCTCTCCCCCAGTCCCCGCCCACCCCAATTTTACCCACGGGGCAACTACCAGAGCTGACATCCCGAAAGACGGCTGTTGACACCGGCCGCTGCTGCTGTTGTTGTTGTTTGCTGAACAGGACATGCTTGGGGAGCCGAACCTTTGTTCATAAGATCACCACTGCTCTCTGTCCTTTCATGCTCTCCAATTGCCGCCAGGCATGTTTGTCTCAATCTCAGCCTTGAAGGCTATCCCTGGATCGACGTTTCCATCCCCACAAAGAGCACGAGACCACATCGCTCGCCCTTAGCAATCAATTCATCGGGACTATGATGCCGTATGCCAATGCTCTTTTCTTTTGGCCCTGTAGGTACCTTTTTGTGCAATCCTTCAACAATCTCTTCTCTCTTTCTCTACGTACAGTACTTCGATACCCCTGCCTCAACGTGCCTCTCTTTCAGCCTTGCTAGTGATTGCTCAGCGACATCGTTCCTGCACCTGTGGACCTGCATGAATCCGCACGCCGGCCCATCACTCCACCACCCAAGACAAGCATTCAACAGCCCACTCACGCCTACTCGCCTCTGATCTTTGCGCTTCAGCTTGTTGTGCGACAACACTTTGCGCTCCTTCACCCAACACGAACTGCAGGCAGTTGAGCGCGTTTGTCTTGAGCTTTCTTCCACTCGTTGGTTCTTTCTTTCACCTTCTTTTCTTATGATACGTTGAAAGGTCGCTCTCACTTCAATCTCATTTCATCTTCATAACCGTGGAGGAATTCGCTTCTCCTTCTTCAATCCAACCGCCTTTCTACAATAGCAGCCACATCAATTACACCTGCCTGTTCGCCAGACTACCAGCCACAACTGCACATCCACCACCAGCAATGTTTCGTCTCAAGAGCCTGGACGCCACTACTTCAGCCATCATCAACCCTCCACCCAAGCCACGCCCTATGCCAGGCATGCCTCTTGTCGACTGCAGCCTCGCCGAATTCATTGCTGGCCAACCCCAAGGTTTCACGCATGTCGCCGTGGCTGCAGCCGTCTTTCACGAAGACCGCCTCCTTCTGGTCCAGCGTGCCGAGACTGATAGCTACCCTGGCCATTGGGAGCTGCCTGGCGGATCGGCCGACCCTACCGACAAGTCCATCAGCGAGTCTGTTGCCCGCGAACTGTTCGAAGAGACTGGTCTCCGCATGAAGCGCATCCTCTCTGAGATCCTCCCTCCCACAACTTTCTCCACTGGCTGGGGTAAGCGTCAGAAGACATGGCTCAAGGTCAGCTTCGTGGTCGAAGTCACTGCAGAAGACAAGGCACGCGCTGAACACGAGGTCGAGATGCAAGGATCGGGCCAGGAACTCACGCGCAAGGATAGCGTCATTGCCGTGGATCCTCCCGCCATCAAGCTGCACGACAAGGAGCATCAGAAGTATGTGTGGATCTCGGCTGAGGAGGTCATCAAGAACAGAGTGTCCATGCCAGGCGAGAGCGCAATGGAGTTCATCGGATCCGACAGTGTGTCGACCATTCTCGAGGCTTTTCGCTTGAACAAGCACATTCAGAAGGCGCAGGCTGTTGAAGCACTGCAGGCCGCCGAGACAAAGGAGGGAAAGGCTTGAACGTCGCGGAATGCAGCACGGGAAGACATACGGGTTGCTAATAACAGATGATGGGGCTGCGATGTCCGATGAATATTGACATTGATGCATGCAAAAGCGAATGAAGATAGAAGGATGGCTTACAGGCTGGGCAGGGTTTGCTAAGAGGACAGGCGTTTGAAGAGAACGACAGAGACAAGGCTCATGTACGATACGCGAGAATCAAGAGAACAAGATTGGTAACACAGGACACAAGAAGAACAATCAGCAGTGTGGCATGTCGTGAAGAAGTGTGCCCTATTATGAAACGTGCAAGGCTTTGCACACACGGCGTGGCAATCATGATGGCTCGATAGAGCAAGGCTGCAGGATTTCCAATACGGACTTGTATGATTGCGGCAAGGTGCAGGGAAGATTGAAATCATGACGGGTTGACTGCTGCGACAGACAGGAGATGTTCTGGATAGAGTACAGAACAAGGTTGGAGAAGGAAACTAAAATCGGGATGGCCCGCGATGGATGGTTGATCTGCTGGAAAAAGGTGGAGGAGAATTGCTGAGGGCAAGCAGCAATCGAACCTCGGCACAAAGCAAAGAGGGTTTCGCTCAAGCAAGCAGGCACGAAGAACAGTAGCAGTTTCAGAGTCTTGCAACGAGATATTCGTCGAGTCGCATGCTTTCTGCACGGCTGTAGATACGAGACTCGCAGACAACGACAAGTGCGACTCTGAGAAAAGGACGTGGTCGGACTGGCGCTTCCTGTTTCCTTTGCTCTTTCCCACTTTCGTGCTTTCCTTTCACATGCGACTCGAAGTTGCTACAAGCTCGCCCTGACTATCGTTTCCTTCACGACCGTCGCGAAACCCCAAGCCCGGCACGTCACCTGCGAGGACATGAACAGCGCTATAGTACTGGTATAACGACATCTCGATGGCCGACCGCCTCTCCGCCGGCGCAATGTCTGCTCCACCACCTCCGCAGCAACACGCACCAGCCCAGCAGCCGCAACACACACAGAACACGACACCACAGCATGCCCAGCACCAGGCCGCCTCTCCGACCGGCATGAGCCAGCAAGGAGCATCTGCTACGAGTTTCCGAAGGTATGCGATCCGAGACACGGTTGTAGCCCGGTGGCCCCCAGACTGACGCGACCACGCCAGACAACGCGCTTCGAGAGCCTGCGAGGTAAGACCAAGTCCATGCGCCTCACAAGACAGTGCTGACCACCGACAATAGACATGCCACGCGCGANAAGGTTCGCTCCGACCAGACCCTCGTACCCACCCTTGAACTCCCTTCTGACGCGTCTCTCAGGTGCGCTGTGATGCCGCTAGCCTCGGTGTGCCCTGCACCAACTGCGTCGCCTTCAACATCGAATGCAAGATCCCCTCTCCCAAACGAAAGAAGACATCGTCCAAGCAGAAAGACTCCAACAGGTACACAGCCCATCGTCTGCCTCGACAAGACGTGCCTAACTTTGGCAGTGACCGCGAAGACAGTAGCAGCATCGTTCAGCCCTCACCAGCTACCCACGACAATGTTGCACGCCCCGATGTCGTCCACCAGCCTCCGATGCCCATGCCTCAGCTGCCTCCTCGCAACGGCGTCGACTACTCTTCCCCTAGTGGCATGCCTCCAACCACCCTCTCGGAGAAATATCAGGAACAACAGCAGATTCACGATGCAACCTGGAGTCAGTACATGAAGCCAAAGTTCGCACGCGCTCCCATCAAAGAAGCTGGCCGCGTTGCATATCTGGGCGAGTCGTCAAATCTGTCTCTGCTTGTACACGACAAGCATGGCAACTCGGATGTCGTCCACTATCCCCTGCCTGAGAATGTGCGCGGTCCTCGGGCACGCATGAACGAACTGGATGAACTCGAACTGCGCATTTTGCACGAGCGAGGAGCTTTCTTGCTACCCCCACGTCAACTGTGCGACGAGCTAGTCGATGCTTTCTTCACCTGGATCGCCCCCGTCGTGCCTGTAATCGATCGCAACAAGTTCATGAAACGATACCGAGATCCCAAGAACCCGCCGTCACTACTTCTGCTGCAAGCTATCCTCCTGGCTGGATCGCGCGTATGCACAAATACACAACTTATGGACGCCAACGGTTCCACGACGCCGGCCGCCATGACCTTCTACAAGCGAGCCAAAGCGTTGTATGACGCCAATTACGAAGATGATCGCATTACTATCGTTCAAGCCGTCATCCTGATGGGCTGGTATTGGGAGGGCCCAGAGGGTAAGATGCGAGAGAAGCCCAGCGTCGCCCGTGAGTGTCAATCTGACATTGCTTCAGATGTAACCAAGAACGTCTTTTACTGGAGTAGAGTGGCTGTCGTGATCGCCCAAGGTTCAGGAATGCACAGAAGGTGAGACTTTGAGCTGTTATCATGTCTTCTGTCATTAACTCGTGTATNNAGTGTTGAAAAATCTCAGCTCAGCCAACAGGACAAGCGTCTCTGGAAACGCATCTGGTGGACTCTATTCACGCGAGATCGCTCAGTGGCAGTCGCCCTCGGTCGCCCTTGCGGTATCAACATTGAAGACTCTGATGTCGAGATGATCTGTGAAGAGGACTTTGTCGAGGACGAAACTGACCAAAATCCCGAGTACCCTCTGGATCCAGTACACATCCACTTCTTCCTGAATTACGTCAAATTATGCGAAATCATGGGCTTGGTCCTTTCTCAAAACTACTCGGTCGCTTCGCAGAAACGCGGTCGCAACAACGCAATCGACCTAACTCATTGCGACATGGCTCTGGCCGACTGGCTCCAGAATTGTCCGAAAGACGTCTACTGGGAGAAGAATCGACATCACTTCTGGTCCGCTCTTCTCCACTCGAACTACTAGTAAGTTTTGGCGATAGTCTTTAGTTTCTGACGCGCTGACACCTGCAGCACCACACTTTGTCTCTTACATCGCGCTCACATGCCTCCCGCTGGCTCATCACCAGAGATGAACCGGTCGAATGGTTTCCCTGAAGATATGGCTTATCCATCTAAGAACATCGCCTATCAGGCAGCCGGCATGATCACTTCCATCGTTGAGGCTTTGACTAACCACAATGAGCTTCAATACACACCCGCCTTTATGTAAGAAGCCCGGTCCAGACTTCGGCGTTTTGTACTGACAGTGCTGCTAGCGNTCTACTCTCTCTTCTCTGCTCTCATCATGCATGTTTACCAGATGCGGTCCTCCAACCAGTCGATTGTCCATACCACCCAACAACGCTCGACGACTTGCATGAATGCGCTTAAGGACGTTTCTCGAGTTTGGCTTGTGGCCAAGATGGTGCACACTCTCTTTGACTCGATTCTCGGCAACAAGGTACTCGAGGAGCGTCTGCAGAAAGCTGCCGGGAAACGACACGCAAAGCCCAAGAACACGCAGCCAGCAAGGAACCCAATGTCACGCAGCAACAGCGATCTACAGAAGCGCAAGTTTGACGAAATGGAGTTCGGCTACACTGGTGGCCCACCAGCTGCTCAGATGTCTTATGAGCGCTCGAGACCACAATCTCCTGTCAATGCTCCTCGGGATCCTCCGCCAATGCCAGGACTTCCCGGCAACAATGCCAGCCCGTCTCTACGCCAAGACGCCTTTATGGGCACCTCTCGGACCAACACACGTCCTACCACGCCGTTCAACACCTACTCATATCCTGGCACACCACCAGACCTCTTCCTTCACACCCGCACATCACCGAATATTTCTCAAGACCTATGGCAAAACTATCAACCAGACCAACTCTTCCCACCAGATACATCGGGTATCTACCCTACCGAGAGCCCCGTACAGCAAGCGACCATGGTAGATCCGGCTTTACGAGGATCCGCAGGCGCACAGCAAGCCTATGCGAACTCAGCCCAACCACAGCCTCATTACCAACAGCCAGCAGCGGCTGCAGTGATGCAGCAACAACAGTATCCTGGGCAACAGCAACCTGTACATCTACAGAACCCATATGGCCAGATGACAGACAACGGTGAACATCAGCAACGCACAAACATGGATGACACATGGAGCAACAACAGTGGGTCTACGNGGGGCGGGCCTATTGTACCGACCACATTGAATGTCGGCGACTGGTTCGAGTTTTTCGGTATTCCGAACGGAGACATATCGGCATTGCATGCGCAGCAATATTGATTGCTAATAGCCTTGCTCTTGCTTTGTCTTGTCCTTTTGCACCTGTCCTCTTGTTGTGTCTATTTTTACTTTTTGCTACTGCTTTCTCTGGGGTGTCAGTCAGTGTGGCGAAAAGGGAGTTGTTGTTGCATTGTTCGGAATAGCAATATCGACTTGTATGCATCTATCCATGTGTATTGTTTCATGGGTCGTGTCTGATGGGTTTGGAGCATGGATCTCTAAACCTGGGGGAGAGTTTTGTCAATAAACCAGACTAGAGATACCCGTAGTAGCTTTATGAGACCCCTTTACGCATATGTATACCTTTCTTACCATAAACTTTTACCTAAACAACAACGTCCAAGGGGGATTTTCCCCATCCATCTAGCTAGCCGCTGTGTCGGTCTTTTCTTTTTTCTTTTCTTTTTTCTTTGTCTTCTTGCGACAATTTGGTCGCAGTAAAAGACACAAAGCTCCCTGGCTGAGATGCCCAAATAACGGGTACAGCAGCAGTGATCAACCCCCAACCGAAGCACTAGTCTGTCCCGGTTTTCAACCAACTGTCTTGTATAATATGGACAGAGGCGGACGGGGATGCCCTGGTTTTTTTTTTCTTTTCAGCTGACTATGTCTGTCTTTTTTTCATGATATAAATATGTCGACTTGAAAGATTGGCGAGAGCTTGATATTAAAAGTGCTATATACAAAGCCCTATCACCACAATGGCTTTTGGGATACAGATTCGTCTGGTGAGAACTCGGTTGTATGTTTGGTTAAAATGGAAGTCGCTGGACTTTTGTCTTGTGGATATCTTTTTTTTTTGGTGTCGTCTCCTGCTCTTTTTCGTTGCTATCTGTTGTCGCTCAATTCATTCTAGTTGAATTAAGGTGGAAGGGGGGCGCTTGGTTGTGTGAATAGCGAACAGGCTATATCGTCTTGTTCGCAACGAACGAACGGCACAGTAGAGAATGCTGCTATCACGATCTCTGGCGCTGGAGAAATTATGAGGTAATGGTAGAGGTCCAGTCAAGCATAGCACGTCTTCCTTCGAGAGTTTTGAGGGCGGTTGGGGCGGGTGCTTCCAAGTACGGCCTTCGCCCATATCTCAGCCTCCGGGAGCTTTCGAGCGCAATCTAGCCTTGGTATGGTATATCTCATTAGAAAGACCGGGAACTTCGGGAGTAGTTCGCGCAGGCGCGCCTACAAAGGTGGTTGGTCGCATCTCTGATTGGTATGTCTTTGCTCAGCAAAAGCCAAACATGGACAAGTCCTGATCCATAAAGTAGTATGCGTCATCCTGGTATCCAGAGCTGTCGGTCATAACTCCCGCTCCTGGCTGCGGTTGTGGATAGAATCCGCCTTCGATCAAACCAGGTAAACCTCCTTGATTATTTATCAATGAGTACAAATCTGTCATCAGTGCCGGCCTCGTGTACAATGAAGGGTCTATATTGACAGGCAGTAGAGGATCGGCAGTTCCGATTCCGTTCACACCAGATGCAAGACCGCCAGATTGGTCTTGGATGGTCTCCTCAGCACCGCCTGCTTGCTGGCCGATCGTGCCAAAGAGTTTGGTAACATTACTGCGCCGAGATTCCAGAGACTTTTCGCTCCGCTGACGGATATATCTCGTTGTTGCATCTTGCAGATAAGTGATGATTTGAGCATACCGAGCAGCATGAGGATCCCATTGTGCAAAGTGGTTGAGAATCTGCATTCCTTGTTTCAGTCCATCTTCGAGAGGCAGAAACTTGTCTTGGTCGGCAAAAGTGGCGGCTCCGAGGACTAAAGAGGCGTTGCAGACGGAGTTGATGATGAAGGGTAGTCGGTGTGGGAGCGAGGGGTACTGCATCAGTGTTGATGCAATGTTGAGACTCCTTAGAGATGAGTCTACACATGCATCTGCATACGTCTTGATGGATGATTGATCCACCTGGTCGTGATTTGCAAGATTTTGACCGGCTCGACTCATGTCTTTGATGATTTGGAATGTCAGGAAAGGTCGTGTTAGTAGAATAATTGACCAATGGTAGGCACTGATGATATGGCTAGCAGCCAGGGCCTTGATCAACTTTTCCGGATCTTCCTCGCTCGAGTCGAGGTTGGCCAATTGTAACGATTCTGGTAGATCACTGGTCCAGTCCCTGTACTGGCAGGAAATTGAATCTGCAAGCCGTGTGGAGACTGACTTTTTCATATAGACGTCGATGACAATGCGCTCGAAGATGTTGCAAAGAGCAAGCACCTTGTTCGAAAAGGGGTCTGTCGATGTTGTGTGTGCCACCTCCTCAGTAGTATCTTTGTCCCTTTCCATTGACAAATCTGAAGTAGCAGGCGGTCTGCCAAGTGACGCACTGAGGAATATATCCAATACGCGAACACTCTTCCAGATTCTGCGTCTTGCTCCTGCTTCTGTCTCATCGAATAGCGCATGGGTGCTGCTCTTGTGCATGCCCAAAGCAAATGCGGCTCTGACAGCAATACCAAATTGCATGAAAGCAGCATTCCTCCTACATGCGCCTAGCATATACATGGTTATGCAAAGGTAAGCCTGTATGGTCATAAGACTTGGAGCGTCTGTAAGAGTCATGACAGCCATATGTCGGCCACGGTTAAAGTATTTCTCAGCGAGTGTTTGATCGCCATCTGGTGATGACACTTGCGCGCCAATGGCAAGCACCATGTAGAAGATGGAAGACTTGAGATCGTTGTCGCGAGCCTTATCGATTACCCATTTGTCCAAAAAGCGATAGTATGTAGGCACATCAAAGATCTCGATGAGCCCACTAGTCGCGAGAAGATAATGTCGAGACAAGCGCTTACATTCCACCAGATCCAGATCTAGTGATGACATGTCAGGCAACTGCATAGTAGTTTGAGGTGTTGTTTCGATGATCTGGTGTCGTTGAGGGTCGTTCGTGAAGTCACAGTCTCCAATGGCAGATACGACCACACGCCTTACGCTCTGTACAAANGAGAGACTGGCAGAGTCGCCAACATACATGAACTTGCCATGGGTATCGCGGAGTAATCTTGCCAGCCTAGGCACCGGTGCCACAGACTCTGGTCGAGAGTGAGATTCCACGTTGGCTCTGGCGCCCCGCTCGTCGACACTTGCATTCAAGATACGATCAATAGCCATCTCGGCCTGACCTGTATCGCTCAAATTCCCAGACAACGTGACACTAGCCGGCGAAGGGTCAGAAACTGCACCCAAAGTCGCGTTGCTCGGCCGCGCGACATTGTTGTGCTGCAGAGACGGCGGTGCATCACTCCCACTACGATTCCTCAACGCATTGACTGAAGGAGATGCCTGCATGACACTTGCAGGACTTCCGATGCTGGCCCTATTACTCTGGGGACCCCGAAGCATTCGAGCAGGCGTCTCGGAAAATTGGCATTCGGATTCCCTTCGTCGTCGAATGCAGATGCTGCACGGTCGGCTGCCATCACATCTCTCCTTTCTGCGCTTGCAATTGTCGCAGGCCTGAGCGATACGGCGTCTCTTGTCCGGTGCCACTATAGGTCGAGGCATGTCAGAGCCAATCCCTTGGATGCTTCTATTTCGATAGAAAGAAAAAGGACAATATTTGTTACAACGAGATGCTTCGGAAGGCGCAACACAAAAGTGCTTGTTTCCCCCACTCGTCGTTGACTCGAGCAAAGAGGGCTCGGACACGGAACTGGCATGAACAAACCGACTTCCGAGTGCCAAGACATGTTTATACAGCCAGTTTTTATACCGAGGTTGACCACATCATCTCAGACGACTATCAGTACACTCTGTCAAGGAACGGGAAATTACAAACATGCGAAGCGATTGGCTTCCGCGTGCTCCGGTGACGAGACGTCCCTCGGAGCAAAATTTGAGCCGTAATGAAATCGGCACTAGAAATACTGCACAAAATCACGGACGCGCACGTCAATCTTCTCAGATTCAATATCTGCAAAGACAAAAATGTCCATATCTCTCCTCGTACTCGATTGAAGTACACAAGACTCACAAAGACATAACACGCATACTTGTTGAATGCTTTGTTATATCTCATGATCTCTCAAGTATGTTGACGGTCCAGCAATTGTCCATTCTGTGCTTATAGAGCTTGTTGAGGGTATCACCCGGCTGTTTAGTTGATGGACCCTGAACAATCTGATTTGGAGGTAGAAGCTCAACCAATAGCAGAGTTGGTATTACCAAGCAACCCTTAATATCTTCATACATCACATCGTTCATTAAAGACCATGTCCATCGTCGGTAGTTATCACACGGCCCTGAGAGCAGATCCTCGGAATAACCCCGGAAGTTGCTCGTTGCAATGAGGTCTCGAAGTCGGATGTGGTCTCTACGTTTGGAACGGAAGGACATGCTTCCGAGAGTCTAGAATCGCTTTCCGATGGAAACACGCTTGACCCATTGCCCCGCCAAAGAGAGCCGGAAGTGGAGATGGAGCTTAATATAAGAAGCACTTGAGCCCCTCAACTGCACCCTTGAGAGTTACTATCACAGCACTAGAGACTAGATCCAACAAGGCCTCTTCCTACCGACAGCAGAAGCTTTAACTCAGACACCAGAAGCAAGCTTTATTCAATCATGTCAGGAATCAGTAACACCAACAAACCTCTAGAGCCGGAAGATACCCTTAACGGCGCTGGTCGCTACGATCCAAACTTCACAAACCATGTCATCTCTTCAATCGGTCCGGCTACAGACCCTCGTCTCCGCAAAGTCATGACCTCTCTCATCAAACACGTCCACGACTTTGCCCGCGAGGTCGATCTTACTGTAGACGAATGGATGGCAGGTGTAGATATGATCAACCGCGCCGGTCAAATGTCTACCGACCGTCGCAACGAAGGCCAACTATTGTGCGATGTCATCGGCCTCGAAAGTCTGGTTGACGAGATCACATTCAAAGCCGCTGCAGACGCAAAAGACGCGGTCACCCAGAGTGCAATCTTGGGTCCGTTCTTCCGCCATGATGCCCCTTTGCGAAGTATGGGTGACAGTATATCATTCGACACACCAAAAGATGCAGAGGTTGCTTATATGCACGGTGTGGTGTATGATGTTGTCACCAAGAAGCCTGTAGACGGAGCAGAGATCGACATCTGGCAAGCATCCACAAACGGATTGTATGAACAGCAAGATCCCGACCAACAAGAACACAATCTTCGTGGAAAGTTTAGGACCGAGAAGGATGGAAGTTATGGATTTTACTGCATCCGACCCACTCCTTATCCAGTCCCTGATGATGGTCCGGCTGGTGAGCTTTTGAAAAAGTTGGACAGACATCCTTTCAGACCTGCACATATTCATCTAATCGTAAGTTTGGGATCTTCTACCTTACCCGAGCTCCGCGATACTAATGTTGACAAAAAAACAGNNGTCATCAGACAAGGTTACAAACCAATCACTACCCAGATTTTTGACGCAGAGTCCAAATATTTAGACAACGATTCTGTTTTCGCGGTCAAGGACTCTCTGGTCGTGAAGTTTGAGCCTCGTCAAGGCGATGAGAAGGCTGCACTAGAGTTGAAGTATGACATCTTGCTTGGACCGACGGAGTAAAAGCAACAAACTATCTCTGATTCTTCTCATCATGACTATCATTAATTGTAAACTATTCAATTCCTCAGTAGAACCATCTGAATTCATCAGCAGCAGGTCCATCTCCCAACTTCTCAGTGGGCACATCGATAGCCCTCAGATTGACTCCTTGTGCTCTATCGCGACGGCGATTGTCATAGATCATCCACAAACCAAGCAGAAGAGTCAACACAATACCAGTGCCGCCAAACGCAGCAGTAGTCGCCAATGCAGTCATGTATTTAGGCGCCTCTTGCTGGAGGAAGATATTGCTCGAAACAACTCCCATCAAATTTGCCATTGGCACAGCGATGGAAGTAAGTACTGCTCTCTTGTTTTCGTCGGCGATGTTGTTGCAGTACCAGACGTCCAGCAGTACTGATGGAGCGCTGGTGCCCCAGGTCATCATGAAAGTGGCAAAGTAAGCCACGGTCAATGAGGCGCTGACATCGATGGCTGAGTAGATGACGAAACCACAGAAGGTGAAGAAAAATCCAAGAGCGATGAAGGGGAATCTCCAGCGTGTAAGATCGGAAGAGAATCCCAGGATGAGCAGCATGACTGCACCAGTGATGTTGGGGGCGACGGTGTACAAGTTGGTCTTGATAGTGCCGTATCCNCTGTGGTACTTGTTAGCGTTGAGAGCAAGAATGATAGAGATAGGGTGACTTACCAATCGCTGTACAATCTGCGGAAGGAAGAGGTTGACCGACTGCAGCGGCACACCCAAGCAAATCTCGATTGCCAAGAAGGCCCATGTGGTAGGGTGTTTGAAGATGGTCATAGCACGGCCCAACTTGAACTCCTCGTTGACAACAGCCGAACTGTCCACTTGGATACGGTGGACGGCAATCTCTCTTTCCTCAGGAGTCAAGAAGTGGGCGTCGGCAGCGGAGAGAGGCAGGTACCAAAAGGCGATAGCCGACACAATGATGGTGGCAGATCCCTCAATGATAAAAAGGTAGCGCCAATGTGCAAGAGCACCGCCGTGAATCTGGAAAACGCCGAAGGAGAGGAGACCAGAGAAGGCGCTGGCGATTGATTGGGCGGCGTAGAAGATGGCGAGTCTGCGTGCCAGTTCACCTCTTCGATAGAACNNCTTGTACAGCGTCAGTGTGTGATTCAGCATCTCAGGAATCTAGAAACTAACTTACATGGTCTGATAGTAGATGACGAGAGGGAAAAATGCACTCTCGCACATGCCCAAAAACCAGCGAATAGTCATCAATCCACCAAAATTCTGCACAGCGACGACAAGAAGCGTGCAAGTACCGAATCCAAACATCATGCACGGCAATACTCTACTCGGTCCATACTTCTTTCCCAAAGCGGCGAGGAAAGGTGCAGTAAGGACGTAGGGCACGTAGAAAATGGACAAGATGAGGTTGTATTGGTGACCGTGAAGTCCGAGATCCTTGGCCAGACCAGCTGTTTTGGCATTGCCCATATTCGACTTGTCCAGAGAGTTGAAGAGATACATGACAGCAAGAAGGGGCAATAGATGGAGATCCAACTTCCATACCACCGCTCTCTCCTTCTTGGCGTCTATCGTGGTGATGAAACCAGTTTGTGTGATGGAGACATTGTCTTTGTTGACGCTGTCGAGCGACTTCCTATCCTCAGGGTCGTTGTAGTGTGTAGATCCCATATTTGGCAACCTTGGTAGTATTAGGTGTAATCAAGAAGCTGTCGAAAAGGTACTGCGACACAGCAACACATGCGCCTTATGAACTACATGCTCATGCGGCATTGTTATCTTGCCTTCCAATTCTTCCCGAAAGCTTGCAGACGTTGATCCCAGCAAGAGTCTCCAACTGCAACATCGCAGTGATAAGAGAACAAAAAGCAGCAAATGATAGGGATTCGATAAGATCCGATGCCGGCTTTCGACGGGATCTGTGGGATAGCGACACGGCGTGAACGACAGTCATAACCACACCTGATAGCGTCCTTGAAACTTCGCCAACCGGTCTGTCAGCTTCGCATGTTGCTAGAACAAGAGGGTGATATCGCTGCGACATGCGACACGCGCGTGGAGATGGTCAACGAAAGTTTATTTGACAAGTTTCGTTGAGTAAGAAGAATTCTTTTGAGTTGGCCGACGGCGCGGAAAACGTTTTTGGCAGCCTTTTTAAGCCGACAGAGAAAACAACATCACGGCCTATCACGACCTCCCCTCATTGAACAACACGGATCAATCTGCTGCAGACGGTCTTGAAAGAGCCGACAGATTTTGAGGCAGATCGACGACTGATGGACCCGACTGCAGATCACTCCACCCTACTGTCGAGACCGCGATCAGGACACCAAGAACTCCAGCCATGCAAACCGTGTATCTCTCGGACAGTGGCTGGATTAACAATCAAGGCTTCTTTCCTCCAAGTCTCTTCGCTTCCTACGGATATGCAATTCCGCCATGACCTTTCTCCTGCGATCAACAAGACTATCCTTCATCTCTGAGCTTTTCTGAGGTATTGTCGCAGTCTTGAATGCCATCCAGGCACCGAGGATTGTCATGAATAGTAGAGGGAATGTGGCCTGCAAGGGAATGTGGCCTGCAGTCATCCCATCATGCCATGGTGTGACTAGCTCATAGTATCAGCTCCAAGTTCATTTGAGTTTTGATTCTGGTGATCAACGACATTCGTGCTGAAGGAAGTGTACATGTGTCTGTCAGCAACGGTTCTTGGTGGGCATCGTGTATGTTATGCTTACTGAAACGGATGCTGCAGGTAAGTAGGCGATAGTGACAATAGTGATTATACGCATCACAACTGCCCTCAGCAAGCAGATTGAGTCGGCGAATTTTCATCCTGATCCAGACATTATCCATCGAGAAGCGCGGTATACCAATCTTATGAGCGCTCGAGAAGTTGAGCTCAGACGCACGGTACACCCGACAAGATTGATTCACGTAAGCGACAGCTAACATGATGCTCAGCTCTGGTCGACTTATAGATTCTTCGAGATCGAGCATTCATTACAGACCGAAACACCCTTCTTGTTGCGCGACTCGGATGCCGATAACCTCCGCATTGTGCCAGGCCGGCATACCAACATGCGCTTGCTCACGCAGTACCTCTATGGGGTCATGTACTACACGTATTCCATTCGTCCAAAGCCGAGCTTTCCGGTCTCGCTTTCAGAGATCTGTCGGAGCAGCTAGCCAAGCTAAGCCTCTCGGCAGAACCGCCGCATCATTCTCGACCTCTCCAAGCAAGTATCAGTATGGCAGTCCAGCGCGCCGTGTTCTACAGTTGCCATAGTCGCATAATTTTCCTGTTGCACACCATGTCCCCTACCCAGTACTTGGAACTCATCGACACCAACCTATTCGTCAACTCTGCCGTAACGATTCTCTCCCAGCAGACCGAACTCGACATCATGATCGAGCAAAATACCGATCCAAGGTGTGCAGACGCCTGGCGCCACTTTGCCGTGTCGCTGTTGTTCTGGTCTCCGTGGCACGCAACCGACTACACACTCGCCCATCTCCGCAACAGCCAAGAAGACGCTGCTCTATCTTCCTTTTTGACAGCGTCGCGATCACTCGTGGATAAAACTATACCCATATCCGCAAGCATCATAAAGATGCAAATGATGTACTCAGCCCTCGCCTCCAACGCCAGCGAAACACTGCATTCGCGAAAAGAGCAAGCACCCACAACACTAGAAGCCTCAGCTGCACGTACCGAAACTGTGATTTGCACCATGAAACGCGCATTGGACGATTGTCTTGCGGGATACAAGCCTGTCATTTCGTGCGTAAAGAATAATGAAGATCCGCCTCCAGCTTCATACAAGAATCTCAGGCAAGATCGGTCGCAGGCTATGGACGAGCCTTGGCAAATCGTATGTTGCCAATGTAAATCATGAAGCTTGCATCATCTTGGCTGACACCGTATCAATAGAATGACTGGACGTATGACATGCCCGGGTTTAACTTTGATGTCGACTGGACACGATCTTGGGAACTATAGGCTGTAACTTGGTATCATGTTCCCACTCTATAGGCAAACAGATCTCACTCGTTATCAAAAGATCTGAGAACGTCTGGAATGCGTCTGATAGGAAATCCGCTCAATGTACGACTCTTGGGAGTAAAATGGTGAAAGAACGTGAGTACGAAGGTTGTGTCAACATTGAAGATATGACAGTATATACAGGTTGGCCAGACAAATTGCAGGGTTTACTTCTCCCTAGCCATGTATGCTCTCCACTTGTGGTTGAAAAAGTAAACCGGAATGCCAAGCAAGAAGATGCCAACGTAGATTCCGAAAAGAATCATGAAAGCAGTCAAGTAATTGAAAGCGTGCACCATGGGGACGATACCGAAGCTTGCTGCAAAGGAGATGATGTTCTTGACTCCGATAACGACAACCAAAGCGGGTCCGGGGTTCTTGGGGAATGCTTCGGATCCAAAGTGTGTGGTGGTGATCAGGACAACGATAAAGGCAAATTCGTAAAGTGTCCAGCCCATGATGATGCCCCATGAGGAGTGGTTCTCGGGATCATTTGCAGTGATGGCGAAGATAACAATGCCGATTGCGCCGACAACAAAAGGCATAATGAGTTGGATCAGAGTGTCTTCAGGAACGTGAACGCCGTTGCGACGCTTAGCAAGCCAGAGATTCATCTTGTCACCGATATAACCTGCGTAGAACATTGCCGCAAGAGATGCAGGGAAAATCCCGACATTGACGAGTCCGATTGACTTCTCCGACCAGTGAAACTCGGTTGTCAAGATTGAAGCATAGACAAGCGACATGGCGATACCCACACCGAGGGCAATGGAAGACACCAAAATTGCATAGATGACACCAGGAGAACTGCAGGCTTGCAGCATCTTGACGTTTGCACCAAGACCAAGCTTGATGGCGTCAGGTGCAACACCACTGAAGGGGTTGAGGTGTTGAGCGTAAGTCTTCTGACGGTGTTCTTGAGTGTCGGATTGCTGCACATCACCAAGGCGTTCCCGAGCTTCGGCGTCAGTAAGGAAGTGAGTGACACCCCACTCATCAGTAAAGACAACCTGACCATTCATAGAAGCAGGCGATCTAGTGTATCTGGTTTCAGCCAGTAGGAAGAAGGCAGCAATCATACCACTGGCAGCGAAGATACCCAAGACCCAGTAGAAGTATCTCCAGGACGTGGCAGCGACCAGGTAGGAAGCGCTAATACCAAAGACAGTATTTATGAGGTTCTGAGTACCCCAGTAGATGCCAAAGTACAACCCGCGTTCATCCACGAAAGACATGTCGGTGATGATCAGGGGCAACACAGATTCAGTCGCTCCCGCAGCGATACCCTGAAGGATACGGCAAGCCATGTGTGTGTTGTACGAGCTACTGGCACCAGCGCCGAATGTTGAACCAATCAAGAGAATGCAACATCCCAAGAAGATGGGTCGTCGACCAAACATCATGGATAGAGGAAGAATGAGGAAACTGCCNTATACATGTGCGTTAGTACTTGTACTTTGTAGAAGCAAGATCCTCTACTTACCAAATGCCATGACCAAACTGGGGTAGGTCGTGAGGTTAACAACCTCTTGGATAGTCTTCCCGGTAGGAGCGTAAAGACCAATGAACACTCCGAGAATAGGTCCAAGACCACCAACAAGGACCAGGGAGAAAATCGAAAACCAGCAGCAGCAAATCAAAATGCCCAGTTTCCTCCACTTTGAGTAGTTGAGAGGATCATTGGGATCGCTGGAAGGGATGGGGATTCTTCTGACTTCGCCGATGGTATTGATGAGCTGGAGATCGCCGTTCGCGGGCTGCTGCTGGTCCGAAAAGCCTTTCTCAGGCATTTCCATGTGGTCTGCTACTATTGTCGCCTTCTCATGGTCCATAGTAGATGTCATGATATATCAAGGCGCCGTGCCGACGGAAAGAGAATCTGAATGGGAAGATGGGAGGATTGGGAAAAGGCCGTGCTGCTGTGGATGTTAAGACCTGGGTCGCGGCCGGCGTATTATAGCCCGGTCGGATCCTACTCACAAGCTCTCTCGATAGAGTGCTCGACAAGATGGTGTGGGGACCCCAGGTGGAGGAGTACGCCCCATGGGGACATTGTTGAGGTCGAGGCCAATCACACTCGACATGTTGTGTAAGCCACAAACCGAGCCGACGGTTCGGCCTACCGAGGAGAGATACGGACTTGTGAACGTTACACCTCCTCGAAGTGTACTTGTGTATAGCTACACGAATCATACAGCATTCGAGATATAGGGCAGATCCTGCAATGAGTGCACACCCTACCGGCTCATTCTGGACACATTCTTTGCTGACTTCGACTGTGATCCAGGGACTTCGATTGCCGCTCCTCGCTGCCACTGGAGATAGAAAATGAACCCCAGAGAGCAGCAAAGGCTGGGAAGCGTGAAAGACTGGATGTTGTACCGAACCGAATAAAGCCAGATGAATTGAGCTGAATCGAGCTGAACCGAGACACGTATGGAGTGGAGAAGGCTGCGAAAACGGGCGTTATGAAGGAAAGAAAGAAGGGAGATTGTCGGAACATCTCCTGTGGCCAATCGGACTTCTCATAATTACCCCGCTTTTGCTCCTTCCACCGTCGAACCATTCTTCCGACCGAGGTTGCTCTCTCTCTTCCTCCCGGTGGGGTACCAATCATGGCGTCTAGACAGACTGTTTCGACAACGTGGAGTCTCTACAAGGCCGGCTCGCGATATTGGATTCTGTCATACTCTACGTCGACCGAAAGGACCTCGCACGTCTACCGACCACCTCATGTCTTCGGATGTTACGAACCGACCGCAGAAGCGCGTTCGACTCTCCCGAGCCTGCAACAAGTGTCGATCTCGGAAAGTGCGTTGTGACGAGCGCCAGCCAGCTTGTACCAATTGCGTCCGAGCAGGAGTTGAATGCATCACCACAGACCCAAACAACCCTGACCAGGTCGCCACTCATGCTCGCCGTAGAGCCGGCACGGGTCTCGCGGCCTCACCTAGCGCAAGTGTTCCATCGCCATCAGCTGATCGCGTGAATACGGCAGCGGACTCTTTGGAAGCATGTGTCAACGCGCCACAAACGCCTGCCTGGCATTCAAGCACTCCACTACATCAGGGTATAACCAATATATCGGGTTCTCGAATGGCAATCAGTGGTCTTGTACACAGATCAAATTCTCAAAATGACCAGTTTGATCAGTTCACGAGACCAATGGTCGAACCTGCCGTGCAGTCCGACATGATGGACAACGGTCAAAGCCCCGGGTTTGCTATGAATTCTGTGAGCGCCACCGAGCGGAAGTACCTGGGTTCGACAAGTCTGCAAGTCTTCTCGCAGTGGCTAGATATGACGTTTCACGTCTCTCCTACAGGCCTCACAAGTTCTTTTCAACATGGCATGAGGTTCTGCGAGGAGATGGACTTACCTCCAGATCTCCACATGCCTCCAATACCCAGTGAGTGGCAAGAATATGTCGTAGCATTCTTTTCAGGAGTCGGGGCGTTGTTTCCCATCGTCTCGACAGAAGGCATCACTTCAGCAATACAGTGTATGTATCAGCAGGACCTCAGGGGTCTTCCAGTCCGTCAGAGACCGCTCATTGCAACACTGTATGCTGTCCTCGCTATTGGAGCCGACTCTCTTGGTCACACTACTCTAGGACTTGACCTCATTACTGCGGCATACTCCTTGTATGCTTACCTTGTTGCTCAACCATATCTGCAATCAGCCCAGGCCTTGATACTCATCTGCTTAGCTTTGAGGGGCCGCAACAAAGATGGCGCTGGTTCTCAAGCGCTAGGTCAAGCCATTCGAATCTTGCATACCCTCGGCTTGCACAGAAAACTGAACGGATATGGCAATCTTGACCGAGAGCAGACGGAAGTTGTGAGACTGGGTGTCCATACCTGGTGGAGTGCGTACTGTCTCGATCGCATGATGAGCCTGGAAACTGGCCGTCCTCCGCAGGTTCAAGACGAGGACATCGATCAATCAAGAGATCTTCAGACCACAGACTTACAAGATCTGGCGCCTTTGCAAGCCCTACTTAATCTGGGCTCCATCCAGGGGAGTATATGTAGGCACTTGTCTACGACGAAACTTCCGACCATCACGGCAGTCTTGGAAGCACAGTCCCGCTTGGACCAATCTCTGATCGAATGGCAGAACAGTCTTCCTCCTCAACTGCGTTGCGATGGAGACATTACCATCAATGATGCAGATCTGGCTCTCCCTCGAGCGTTTTTGAGCATCCAACTTCATACAACCATGATAAACCTCCATCGAGCTGCGTTATTGATGGACAAAGAGATCCACCAGGCAAATATTGCTCGTTACAACCTAGGCAAAGCCAACGCGAAACGCTTGGCATCAAGCGAGTCAATATGTGCAAACTCGGCTAGAGCCATCATCACTGCATTCTTACAAGCTCGAGACATTACGAAAAACTCAAGGCTGCAAACAATGACTGGACCCCTGATGGCCATTTATGTTCTGTCGATCAACACACTGAAAAACGCCACCTCGTGGTCTGCTCGGTCCGACGTTGGTCTGATTTACTCGGCTGCGGAGGCAGTAGAACAGAGATACACCGCAGACGGACAAGACCCTGGGTTCTACACACTGTTGAAGACTTTAAAACAGTTTGCATCTCGTGACACGCTTTCCCCGAGGGGTCTGACCAATTCGAGAGCGCCAACAAGAAGGACTTCGCCAGAGATCAATGATTCCGGATTCACGCCTCAGTCAGCATCTGCTGACCATAATCACGACCAGAGTACGATGCAATTGAACCATGTTCAGGACCCAAATTTGTCAGATGAATGGGATTTACTTTTCCCACGCTTGTATGTAGGCGACTTTGCTCTGGGTGCTGAGGCTTTGGAAGGGATGGACATTGAGCACTTGATGGGGATTCCGCACTTATCTTTCGATGAGCCGCATTGAGTGCTCGAGCATTATGCTCGTGCCAGCTGATACAACCACGAATCTTTACGTTCTCGAGTTCCCCGAAATCTCGAAGCCATCGAGTTTACACGCTTGCTCTGAAACTACACCAATGCCTACGGAAAGTGGATGAAACGCTGGTCGCTCTCGAAGAATGTTCTCGGACCTTTGGGTCTTCTGGAAGAGAATATATGTCATCAAACTACCTGGATATACAGCCAAACTCCGAAAACAAGTCATACTCCAAGTGAACGAGAGTTCCATATCACTGCCCTAATCCTCCATTGTCTCTATGCCTTGATATACGGGATACCTGTGAGGCGATATGCGCGCTCACTCAATCGAGGCTTGTTGACAGGCTCTGTTCTGTTGTAAGGGTCGAGCTCGCCATTTCTCTTGGCCTGGTTTCTTCCTGTGACCTGGCAATTTGGCCAGTGGGTGGTGCCGAACCAACCCTCGAAAGCGACCTTCTTGCGCTTCAGATCCTCTTGAGTTGCGTCGGCAACGGGCATGTAACATGTGTACACACAGAAGCGGTTCTGATTTGTAGTAGAGCTGAGATTGTAGTGCGGTACTCTAGAGTCCCAGAGCAANAGGTCACCTGGCTCTGCAGATACCTTGACCCATTCAAGACCCTTCTCCTCGAACCACTTCATTCCATTGTCGGTGAAGCCATACCACTCGGGGTTCCAGGCAGGGATGTGCTCGTTGCGTTCCTTCTCGGGGAATCCAACTTCTTGGTGGAATTGCTCGCTGTAAAGATGGGCGCCCTTGCACACAATAAGACCTCCGTCGTTGGGCCCATTGGGAAGGATGTTGACAAGACCCTGTAAGCAGCGGAAGCCGTTCTTGGTGGGGTCCTGGTCCTGGTGGGGCCATGGTGTGTTGGGAGCCAAGTCCTTGCGACCAGTAAGGCCAAAGTTGACAGCATCGAAAGAGACGATCAAGTCCTCGGTCTTCAACCATTGCTCGAATGCTCCGACGACACCAGGTTCTGATCGAATGTCCCAGACGAAGTCCTCATGTGCGATGGCGTAGTCGAGACACATGCCCTTGTTGTTAATCTCGGGGAGGTGCTGAGCGATCCATGTGGAGCGATCATTTCTGTCAAAACCAAGGCCACTACAGACGAATTAGTCACTTCTGCGATTGAAAAACTCCTTGTCCGATCATTGACTTACAAGCCCNTCGAGATATTGATACATGCGCTCGACGTATTCGGCAGCCTTTTCTTGGGCGACGGCGCCTTTGACTACGGCATAACCATCTCTAGCGAGATCGGCCTGCCAGTCGTTGATGGGGCTGTTGCTGGCCTTCAGACGAAGTTGCTCCACTTCAGAGATTTGCGTTGTTGTTTGAGTCGACATTGTGTATTGACTGTGTATGTCTTAAGGTGTATGATTGAGAGGAGAAGAGGCTGATATGCCTTTGTAGTTGCAGTGTGCTCTGGCTCAGAAACGTCGGATGTTATATGTGGAAAGCATCCCGCCACCATTGACTTCCGCTCGCCAGAGCATTACCACCTTCCGAACCGAAGCGTGAATGTATTCCTTCACTCCGCCCGCAAGGAGAAAGCCCTACCTCTGTGCTCTCGAGCTCGATCACTAAGGCCGTGCTGTCTCCGCTCGGCTTCAGCCGAACCGAATATCGGCGGCTCGGTTCGGATCAGCTAACACCCCTCGTCTCTCTATACGACCCACACCTCGGAACCGCAAATTGAGTGGTAACTTGTCTCGATAGTGAGGTGGTCCCGAGATCTGTCGGTTGCGTGGTTCGATTGTACAAAGACTGCGTACGTCCATCAAGGTGTCGAAGGCAGACAGATTTACTACCCGACTTGCTAGCCTCCCCACACCGAAAGATCACACCAAGCATTTCAATTGCGACGAGTATTCAAGCAGTATGGCAATTGACGCAGCAACCAACACCTTCCGGATTATCGTTGTAGGAGGCGGTATCGCAGGTTTAGCTACTGTGAGTATAGATCTGATTGTGAGCTAGACCGTTTTACGCATAACTGACATAAGAACAGNNGCGATTGCCATGAGAGGACCTCAGCGCGAAATAATAGTTCTAGAAAAATCACGCATGAACAAGGAAGTCGGTGCTCTTCTTTCTCTACAGCCAAACGCACAAAAAATTGTCGAGCACTGGAATCTCAAGGATATAATTCAGAAAGCAAAGCCTACAGCAGAAAGACAATTCCGCATCCTTGACACCAAGGGTAACATCCACATGAACATCGACATGGACGGCAAGAAGTACGGAGCAGACCGTATGGTATACCATCGTCAAGATCTACATGCAGCTCTGAGGGAGGCCGCTTTGAGCACCGAATTGCCTGGCCACCCTGCTAGCATCGTAACAGCAGCCAAAGTTGTCAGCTGTGACTGCGAAGCTGGAATAGTCACATTGGAAGACAATAGCACCTACCAAGGCGACCTCGTTATTGGTGCAGATGGCATCCACAGTGTCATCCGTGAAGCCATACTCAAAGCCGGCAACCATGAGCTCGTCCATCCAACACCCACAGGCGTCTCGGCATACCGTCTTCTCGTCGAAACCGCAAACCTTTCTTCGATAAACGTAGATTCAGACATCTTTGATCCAAAGAAACAAGCCACAACGCTAATTATGGGCCATGACCGTCGCGTCATCATGGGACCTGCCCGCAACGGCGATTTGCTAGGTCTAGTGGGCATGGTACCTGACGAGCACATGCACGAAACCTCCAATGCAAACAGTTGGACCACACCGGGCTCGCTCTCCAAACTGCTAGAGACGTATCATGATTTCCCGCAGTGGATCAAGGATATCTTTGCTCAGGCTCCCGATATCGCGCTTTGGCAGTTGCGAGATATTGATGCATTGCCTGCGTGGGTGGCTGGGAGGTGTATCATTATCGGAGATGCCGCACATGCTATGTTGCCTACTCAAGGTCAGTCGCACGCTCACTATCTTCCCTACCACCAAAGTTCTCCACTAACACTTTCCTCCTAGNGCCAAGGCGCATCTCAAAGCATCGAAGACGCCGAAGCACTTGCCGCATTCTTCGCTCCTACAACTGCCAAACCCACTCTTCCGGAAATCTCCCTTGCTCTTCAAAATGTCTTTGAAGCAAGATATCAGCGCGCTAGTGTGATTCAAGCGTATAGTCGCCAACAAGCCAAGCCTGCAACCGAAAAGGGAAGTGTGAAGGTTACTTTGAATCCTGCAGAGTTTTTGGACTATAACTGCAAGTATGAGGGAGCAGTGCAGTGGTTGGAGCAGCAGAAAAGTCAGGAGTCGCAGAGTCAATGAGGTATTATAGTCGACAGAGATGCGTAGAAGCACAGATTATAGTTGGGTGGTCTGAAAGATGTCAAGGCCTCAGTGTTATACCTTTTACTCGATGACAAGAGATGTAGATATGCCAAGCTTCATCGACTTGGGCAAGTGTCCCTCACCTTCATCTGAAAAAGTATCCAGACTTCCCAACACATACCCTCAATCAATGGCTACTCTATACCAATATCCTCTCACGATGAACAAACCAAATCCACAATCAGAATAGACGGCCAAGCGGGATTCATTGTGTGAAAAAGCTCATGGCTTTTTCTCAGAAACAGGACATCTTGGACTCGATGATGATGACCTTGATATATATGAATACGAGAGAATGTGGTTGACACTGCAGAGTACAGATCCAGAGGTTTTGGTTACCGATGATGGTGCCATGTAATTGTTTTTTTGTTTTCCTTTTTGCCGTGATGCAAAGATCAATTTTCGGTTGATGCGATGCAGTAAAATTCCTTTTCACTGGAGAATTTGCTTTGAGGATGGGGATGCGATGGAAAAAACATCTCTTAGGGCTTGGGAAGGGTGTGCAGATATCATATACCTGCAAAAGATCTTCTGTGTGGGATGTATTCTTTACGGCTGAAGATGCGAGGAAACGGGATACTTCGACTGGAGACCAGGAGCTTCGGGTCTCTCACGTGTGGTCACGGTCTTATTGTGTCGTCTTTGAGGATGAGGATCAGGAAAGGAAGTTCCTGTCATTGCTCAGAGATGATCCTGTTGTCACTACAACATAACCTGAGCGCGAAAAGATTGGCATTCTCCACGATGAAGATGAGAATACTGAGGTGAAGCCGTATCTTGCAGATGGGGTGATCAATGTTGCCATCTTGAAGTTCGAATAGGGGATTCCTTGGGCATATAAACTATTCATGGCACGGAGTTCTGGTTTATCCAGTTTTAGCACTACAATGATGCAAGCTAAAGCTAATTAGTGGACTGCAAATAATGCAATTGATCGTCACCAGCCAATCCTGAAGAAATGTGCGGGGAGCTCTCTATCCATTTTGGTCTCATCGTCAGGAGGTATCGCTTGCGGATCGACCTCTGTTTGCGTGGATTGCCACAGCCCGTCCAATTCACATGGACCCTCCAGATTCAAGGAGCCATCCGTTGTTGTGATACGGTTGTCCTGTAGGTCTTGCTGTTGTCCTGTATCCTCCTCGTCCCCATACCACCACGCGGTAGACTTGTCAAAGAGTTCCCAGTTCATCGCTTCGAGATTCGTGGATGGTTGCACAGCGTTCTGTGAGCTCCCAGCAGCTTGGAGTAGCTGTTGTTGACCGAAGCTTGAGGGCAAAGATTGAGCTTGTTGTTGAGTGCTTCCTGCTGGCATATTCGATCTGCTCAAGGAATCCGCTGGTGGCACAAAGTCCAACCGACGTGGTGCTGTCAAGGAATGTTCGCCGGTGGCCGATCTGGATAACAGCTCGGGGATGCCTCCAAACCAACGAGCTTCTTCCGGCACCAATGGCAAGGAATGGTTGGACTCGTTGCGCGAGTGGTGGACACTGTGGGGTTGGGAAGGCAGCGAGTTCCGACGTTCCTGGTACTGCTGCTCTGGGCTTTCCGCAACAGATTCATCGCCGCCTGGAGAGCCGAGCTCGGGTTGGTTGTAGCTGTGGCGGCTTCTGTCCTCTTGTGTGGTCTCTAGTAGACCCAACACTGCGAGTACATCGTGGACGAGTGGGTTGCCTCCATGCTCGATCAGTTTCGGCCCGGGCCATGCGTTTGCAGCAAGCAGCCTGTAGTACATGGTGTGTACGGCAGTCTCTAGTTTATGTTGCTGTGCCTCCAATGCCCGCACATAGCTTGGTATGGTCAGTACTTGCTAGATCTTGTCAAGGGATATGAGGGTCCTTACTGTTCAGGAAACATCTTTCTTTGTGTCCTCTTGATATTCCCGAAGTGACATAAAGCATCGGCAAGTTTGCAGTTGCTGCACGGTGTACCACCAGAGCATCTTTGTTTCTTGATTCGACAGCGAGCACATGCTTTGGACGCTCGCGACTTTCCTCGATCGCTGTTCTCTGAATAGGACTGTTCCTGTATGGTCGACATTCTTTGAAGTCGCTTGAAAGAGTGGAGCGATGTCCAGGTCGAATTCGTGCACTGGCTCTTCCGGGACGGCCCATCGAGTGTTTATCTGCACCACTACGATGACTTTCCGCGCCCGACCTGGACATGTGGTGACGTTCTGGGCGTACGTATATGCTTGGGACGTCCACCGTCGATTATCGTATTTTGGTGGCTGTTACCCCCAAACGCCTGTTCTTACTTGACGATGAGTATGGTTCCGTGTTGGATATGCGTAAGCCTGACTGCAAGTGCATTTCTAATAGGTCCAAGCGATGCGGGGATCGCTTCTCATAGGTCTCGAAATCGCGCTCTCTCCTATTCATCTCGTTGATCGTTCGCTTGTTGCATGCAAAATGCTTTTGTTCCAGCCGTGCAAGTGCTAAGGTTGCTTGGGCGATTCCGATTTGTTCCGCTACTCCGCAAAGCGTGCACGGGAATAAACGGAGGATGGCTCAAGCTCACAACTTCCAAGAATCGTTTACCAAGATTAGATCATTGCGGAGTTGGAAGCAGGATCAAAAGCTTATGTTGTATAGACTATACAATGGTACGTACGCGATACTGCCGGCAGTACAATTCCGACAAGATGTTCTCGATCTCCCAGACACAGAAAAGGATATGTTTAGACTGACCTGAACTTCGTGCGATTCACAGTGAACCTCATCATGAACGATGAATCCGAGTACTCCACGGCATTCGAGGTTTGTTTCTTCATTGGGACCTCGCCTCGAGAAGGGAAGGGCATTGTCTTCCTGTGCAATCGCCAATGCATGTATCTTCAGAATCCTTGTTACACCCTTATCAGATGGAAGACATGTTGCAAAGTCCAGCATTACTGTCATCGCAGCAGCCCGCGCCATTTTTGCCTGGTTCAGTGCAGCCTAGGCCTCCAAAGATGGATTCTGTGGTGAGGCAAACAGAGCTTTCTTCCGAGCGCAGTCCGAGAACAAGAAAGCAGCAGCATACTCGCAAAACATGGTCAATAAGCAGCAACAGGTTTGGCAATTTCCGCCGACCATCAGAACGAGGAGACGGACCACGAGGCAGAACGTGCCAACAAACACCGAGCCGTGAGAACCGCAAGACGGCAGCCAAAGCACGAAACAGAGACAGGATCCAGACGGTGGCACTGAAGAAGTCCTTCGAAGATGTGACCGCCAGGACCCCCGTTCTCAAGCGCACCATTGTCGCTCTACACGAAGAGCTCTACAATCTGCAGATGGAAGCACTCCAACACGTGGATTGCAACTGCACAGACATACAGCAGTACAACCACAAACGCGCACGCGCACGCAAAATCTGTCAGTGTTGGGATCTCGATCAGGCCCATTGAAAGAGGAGCAAGTCGATGCAAATAGATAAGAGAACAAAAACGGCGGAGAGACACCACGACGTCTTTCCTGGCCTCTTCAGCTTCTTGGTCTTGAACGACATGACAGCAAAGACCAGCTTCCGAGTACTTCTCGTGCCCAGGTGCGGTCCTTACGCACGTCACTAGGAATTGTTACTCTGTTGTCGGCGCGAGATGTTTTTGATATGTGGTTTAAATCAAGCCGGGCGTTGGCGACTGGCGGCTTCCGGTCTGTCCCGATGACCGACAGTTCCCGATATCCTTCGACGTTCCCTCCTGGATCTCGAACCTCAACAGTCGATCCCGGAGAAGGATCTCGAGAGACTACAGTTCGCAAACACTAGTAGCGAGATCTTGGCAATTTCGCACAATGCATATTTTTGGTGTCTGCGGCGGGTACGCGTCGGATATGGTGGAGACTGGTTCGAGACGCGAAGGATGGCCCAACGAGATAGACTTCATGACCGTCATCATGGCTGTTGGCGTCGCAAATTGACAGACTGGTCTACCAAGGGGATATTGTATGGAAGTCAAAGGAAGACGACTGATGTAGTCCGGAGGTGGAACGGTGCAGATGATGTCTAAATTACCTCCATGGAGAGTCTCCGATCTGGTACCGTCTGATTGTAGTTCTGTTCTCCATGTGGTTGTCGCACGATAGATCTTGCGTCATCCGACGATCAACCTCTCATGCCTACAATGGGGTCCAGGTGTTTGTGTTGTATGCATCGAGCTTGTAGAGTATTCGAGTAGGTCGCGTTGCGGCTCTGCAACAGAAGAGGTCAGGACCCTGCATCGACCCCACTTGCTTGGCATTGGCCACGTGAGTCGGCCAATCGGTGCTTTCCCTCTTCAGGACACTCATTTGACTTTGTCGATTGCCAGTGTTTTCTTCTCGCATCCAGAAAGCAAGACCATGAAGCTGTTTTTCCTTCATCTCGGCACGGTTGATTTCTACAACAACACACGTCCAGAACAATGACAGCATGGAAACATCGCAAGCGACGATTGCCCAACGATCGTATACCGGCTGTCGCACCTGCCGCTTGAGAAAGGTCAAGTGTGATGAGAGCCGCGATGAAATAGGCCGATGCGGATCTTGCTCGCGTTTGAACCGCGCCTGCAACTGGACTCGGGTGTGGAAATTTATCGACACAAGTCGTGCTGTTGGGAAGCAATATGTCGTACTTGGCAAGAATCCGCATCGTGGCAAGCCTGGGCATGCGACATGTTCTGCTGGAGAAACGACACATTCACGGCCGTTGATGTTTGTCAATTCCACTTCGGGCGATTTGGCTGCAACGATAGCACCGCCGGAACCTCGGTCTCCAATGATTCAGAATGATCAGGAATCAAGGCCAGCTTCGGACTCGTCGTCCGAGAACTCGGACTCCGATACACAATCGATTGAAATGGTTCGGATTGCTGGTATACCACTGGATCCGATGAACTACGGCACTAGAGCTCGCGACAACGCGATACATCCTTTGCTGTTCGACAGGATCGTGTGCCGCAAGATCATGCCCATGGCTGTCCGCTTCAAACTGAATATAGAGGACAATCAGAATGTGCTTCTATCTTCTGCGAAGCAGTTTNTACCACTTCGGCACGCAATCTGTGCTATTACGCTTCTCAACAGTGGCATGAAGAACCGTCCAGAACTCATAGCTGGCTCCTTCCAGCACTATGATCGAGCGATAACCGCTTGCCGCTCAATGTCGCCTTCTGCAAATTCAGAAGCCGTGTTCTTTCTGCATTTCGTCCTTCTCATGTATGATATCGCTTGTGCATCTCAGCGATGGCCTGAAGATCGCAGTTCGTGGGCGCTGCATTTGCGCAAACTCGCCAGCCTGGCTCACGACCCTGCCGGATCCACCGTTGGTCGATTAAAAGCGTACTTGTCGTGGTACGTCCTTCTTCTAGATGCTCAAGCGGGTCTTGCCGGAAACCCCGAAGCCGGTCACTTTACTCGCGCGTTCCTGGAAAATGGTCGCTCGTTGCCTGTCTGGCCCATCTCGCATAGTCAGCAAAAAGTGCTCTCGACGCCAGAAGCCATGGAGACCTTTTTACAAACTCACAAGCTGTCTCTGATCACATTCGAGATGTTTGCCGAGCAGAGCCAAGCGTCGCTGAAACTGCGGCAAACGTTCAAGCACCGTCAAGTCGAGCTGCAAGAAAGACAAAAGGTCATCTCAGATCTGACCACTCGCCACGAAGAGCTCTGGCAAGCAAATTGTCCACCCGGCATGGAGTCTCTGGAAGACACGAGTGATCTAGGCATAATCAGGGGAACCTACAACTTTGCTCGCCTGCAGTACTCGGTACTCCAATTGCACTTGCACACAAGCATGTATCCCTTCCAAAGACTCGACGGCGATCCATTTGTCACAGAAGACGCTCACCACTGCACCTACATAATCGACACGGTACGCCAGAGCTTCATCTACAACGACAAGGAAAACCACCATCTGGCTTCTGCACTGTTTCTGGCCGGAGCAGCCACCAGAGTGCCGGCCGAAAAAGCTGCAGCACTCATGATGTTGCAGGAGATGGAGCACGCAGGACTTTCGGGTGCTGTGGCGCGAGTGCGATATGTTCTCGAGCTGGTGGTCAGGCAGCAAGCGAAGAGGGAGATTAGTGGTGGCAGTGCAGATGGAGTAGACTGGATAGAGTTGTCCAGAGAGCACGGGTTGAAAAACGTTGTGTTTGGCATGTAAAGTCAAATGGAGGAAAACAATCGACAGCAGATCTTTGTTGTGCCAGTCAACAGAGGGGGAGGTTTTGGCATGCATTGCCCCAGGTTTTTGGTTGAGAGACGCGAAGGATCGTGGAAGGATTCGCAAACGAGGCAGGGCTGACACTGCCCATCCATCTCTCAACCATTTCGCAGACTTCAGCGGAGATAATAGTAATACTAGACGTCCACTCCATTTCATCAAGCATACCAAACTTTTATCACTTCTCTCCGAGATCCTTGAATCATCCACGCACCATCCTGTCACTTCCCACACCTGCGACGTTGCGCTTCCGCAAAACATGACCTCCACAACTCCCACCCCAAACCCATCACCAACAGACAAGGCCATCACCTTTTGCAGCAACACCCACTTCCACCGCAGTCTGAACATCCCAGCCACCTCCTCACACGACAAACTCCGCGTGACATTTGCGACAAGCACCAATTTCTGCGCCAAAGAGTTGCCAGTGATATTATTCTGCCATCCCATGGGGTGTGCGCGATATATAATCTTTCGACTCGAGTGTTTGGCGATGACGTTGGGGGTGAGGGTGGTGGTTGTTGATCGGTGAGTTGAATTTTCTTTCTTTTTCTCTTCCCAATTGAGAAAGGAAAAAGATGGTCAGAGTGGAATGCATGAGAATATACTGATGAGAAGTCAAAAANGACCAGGCTTTGGGGGTAGTACTGCTGTGCCAGTGGATGCAAGGGTAAAGACTTGGTTACATATGGTGCAAGCTGTGATTGAGGCGTTGGATGTGCGACAAGTGGCTATAATGGCGCATTCGGCGGGTACGGTGTATGCATTCAACACCGCTGTACATTTATCGAACTTGTTGCATGCTGAAAATCCGGTTATAGCCGTGTTTGGTAAGNTATACACCTCTTCTCTTCTCCTTCTCCTGCTACCTACTTCTGGTTACAATTTTCTCTGAATGCGAGGATAAAACGACTGACGAACGAAACGCAAATCAACAGCTCCTTGGGTTCATCCCTCAAACTCTTCGGCGCCATTGATGCGTATAGTAAACACACTGCCCTCTTCATGGCTAGGAAATCTCCACACAATCCAAGGAGCGGTAGCAAAATACATAGCTCCATCCCTAACCTTTTCAGCCGCAAAGCTGGGCATAGAGGATAAACTCGACGAAACCGTGTGTCAAAAAGTCTACGGCATGGATGCAGAGACTTGGGAAGAAGTCCAAAAGCTACAGCAGCTTTGGCAGAGAGAAGAGGATATGAGGTATGGTTTTGCTCAATTTCCTTGGTCATCTGTTTCAACCTCCTCGTCTTCGTCTAGGCAAAACTTTGTGAAGAAAAAAGAGCCTATACCTGACGTCAAGGACAGTGGGATTTCCGCAGAAGCAACACTATGCATGCAAAAAGAAGGCAACGATTGGGATGTCTATGCTTCTTTGCCTACTGCGATAAAGGCATTGCAGACATTATACACAGCGCCTCGCCAGCTCAGCTTCCTGGCCTACTTTTCGGAATCCGACGTCATGATCGGAAAAGGTGGAAAGCAATACTTTGAGGATTGCTGGAGACAAGGAAATGGACGAGATGGAGAGGTCAAGTTTATGGCAAAGACTGTGCCGGATACTGATCATGATAGTATTGTCTTGGCGGAAAAGGGGTGTGTGGAGGAGGTGTTTAGGGAGGTCAAGAGGTTGTGTGGGTGATGGGAGTACCTCTATTGTTTTCCGTGGAGCACCCTGAGGAGGAGTTCAAAGCAAGTGAGAAGACAAGGTGGATAACAAGACATTTCTGATGCATCATATGTTTACAGTAAGCCTTTGTATGTTTCGATGATTGATAGAATAGTTAATCTTGCATCAAATCAACACCCGCGCCTCTCAGCGCCTCGACAACCCACGCAGGATATTTGCTCTTGTCGCCGTTATACAAGGTCGCAAAGTATTGTCGCAGAAACACAGGGTAGGTGTCTGCAATGATGGCTTCCCGGATGCGACGCATCAGGTCGAGCAGATAGTGCACATTGTGTATGCTCAACAGATGTGCGCCGGCGGTTTCCTTGGCGGCGACGTGGTGAACGTAGGCGCGAGTCAAGCCTAGACCGCCAGAGGAGGTGGGGCGGCAGATTGTGCAGGTACAGTGTGGGTCGACTGCAGAAAAGTCGTCGGCGTAGGAGGCGTGGCGGAGGTTCAGGACGCCGGTGGAGGTGATGGCGTTGCCGAAGCGCNNTGGCTCGCGAGAGGGAGAGATTAGTTTCGAGGTGATTAGATGGCAAGGGGAAACAGGCAGACTCACTGCAGTGCGCGTGGGCCATACACAGTCAAACATGTCTGCGCCTAGAGCAACGCTGACAACCAGGTCTTCCGGGTATCCCACGCCCATGACATAGCGAGGCTTGTCATCCGGCAGCAAATCTGTACATGTGCTGACGACCTTGCAATACTCCTCTTTGGCCTCTCCGCCCGAGAGTCCTCCTATTGCAATGCCCGGGGTATCTCTTTGCACCATCTGTTTACAGCATTCCTTCCTCAACTCCAAATCCAAGCCTCCCTGGATGATGCAAAACAGGTTTTGAGATTCTGGCTTCTTGTGGGCGGCTATACAGCGGTCCAGCCAGCGGATGCTGCGGTGCATGGCTTCTTGAATGCGTGCGTGGTCTGGCGAGGTGGTGGCAATGACATCGTCGAGCTGCATGATTATGTCCGAGCCGATGCTGTTCTGCAGCGAGATGGAGTGTTCAGGGGTCAACAGCATGGGAGATCGATCGTGGGGACTCAAGAAGCGGACGCCTTCTTCGGTGACGGTGGCCAGTTCGAGCAGCGAGACCATCTGGAAGCCTCCACTGTCGGTGAGGATGTTGTGAGGCCATGACTGCAGTTTGTGGGCACCGCCAATGGCGTCGAGGGTAGCCTGGCCAGGCTTGAGACCGNNCTGTATACAGTCAGGGTGGGAGGCAGATGCGAAGAGAGAAGATGGCAATCACAGGTGGTAGGTGTTGTTTAGGCACAGGCGGCAGCCAGTCTCTTCTAGTTGGTGAGGAGTCAGGCCCTTGAGTGAGGCCTGTGTCGCGACGGGCATGAAGATGGGCAGGGGGACAGGGCCATGGGGCAGTTGGAGGGTGGCAGCACGTGCCTTGGTGACNCTTGATGGCGCTTCAGTACCTACCTGGAATGACTATGGGAAAGAGCGACCTACCGAGCACCGGGCGACCGGCTCGTACGTCAGGGCCGAGTGCATCTGCCTGGTATTTCTCAGTCTCGAAGACTGTGCCTTCCTCAAAAGGAACGCAATGGTGGCTGTGGACAGACAGGGCTGGCTCCTGCTGTGTTTTGTTGCCGGCGGAGAAAAAGACGGAGGTGACGGCGCTTTCACATGCGATTCCCGAAGCTTCCAGGTTCCTTCGCTCGCCGCCGCGCCTGCCCAGTCTGTCGCTGTCGTAAGCAGTTGCTTGCCTCAGCACCTCAACACAGGAAGGAGGCGACGGGATAAATAAGGCCGTCGCCGTCGCAGTCGCAGCCATGTCGTCTTCATCTACACCAGACCCGTCAACCGAACACAGCTACACCAAGATGGCCACGGCCGACGTCGAAGCCATCGGCTCACATTGTCAGATGACTTTCTGTCATCAACTCGACTTTCTGCCCTTCAAGTGCGAGAGCTGCANNAAGGGTGAGTCTCCTCGTACTACAACCAAGCCATGGCTTCTGACGCGCCTCAGCAAATACTGTCTGGACCATCGCTCCGAAACAGCACACTCGTGTCCCAATGCCGGTGCTTGGGCAAGAGCGCGTGCTGCCCAACAACGATCCACCTACACCCCCTCGCCCAAGCCGTCCGTTCTCACTCATGAGTCGCAATGCTCCGAGCCCTCATGCAAGACGCTCATCAACACTGCTCTGGTCCCTGGTGTCGAGTGCGACTCCTGCAATCGCAGCTACTGCCTCAAGCACCGTCTACGCGAGTCTCACGACTGCGCCAAGCTCGCCCCTGTAGGAGCTCGTGCAAACAAAGAGAAGGGTCTTAATGCACTGGCCAAGTTGCGTGCCTGGGGCCAGGCCAAGCAGAAGAACATGACTGCTGCCACAACCTCGACTACCACAAAACCCTCGACCTCATCCGCGAAACCACTCACCGCTGCCCAGCGTGTACGTGCCACGGCCGATCTGAAGAAGAATGCAAAGGGTGACGCCAAAGTACCCGTCGAGAAGCGCATCTACGTCAACGTCGAGGCCTCTGCCGACACGACAAAGGCCAAACACCCAACCGGCCAGTTCTTCTACTCTCAAGAGTGGAGCATTGGCAGAATCCTCGATCTGGCTGCCACTTCACTGCAAGTCGAGAATCTCAACAACCGTGTAGATGGCGAGGCAGACAAGTTACGCGTCTTCCACGTTGAAGGCGGACGACTGCTCGACTTTGGCGAGAAGCTCGGTGCTGCCGTCAAGACTGGAAACACTCTGGTCCTGCTAAGAGGCGTCGGTCCACCCGTCCCGGATCTTATCGTGCTTGATCCGTAGACGCCACTCTTTTCCTTTTACTTTGTTTCTCATGATACCCCATTTGCATCTTATATCTTATAGCCATCCATCATACTTGACTCATCTACCTCTGTTCTCCCATTCTCACCACCTTCTGTGTCTTCTTACCCAGCTGAGGGAACCTACACAACAACTGATACTCGTTCGAGCTCATTTACTCAAGGGGGCTCAGATGAATCCGTTCCTGTTGACATCGGTTTCTCGCAATCTTAGTATGCGGTTCGCCCGTTGGACGCATCCGTCGTCATTCTCCCTCTCTACCTCGAGTCTTGTATCTTCACAACAGACAGCAGAGTTTGAGAGATTCCACTGCGAGCTCGAAGCGATCAATCTGATCCTCCGAGGAACCCTACGACCATGACACGAGATGGATCAATAAATTCATGCCACCAAGACGGCCCAATCTCCAAAAGCAGAAGAACCTGTGGGGCACAAGGTCCGTGCACTTCGTATAAGAGTCCTCCGGCCGCTGCGAAGCCTTCCCACTCCTTGTCCAACGGTCGCATACGCATCAAAATAACATGACAGGCAGGTAGTAGTTAATGAGGTCGGTGCCCTGGTACGCCTTTCCAGTTAGGTTCCCATTTTCTCTTCTTTCCTTCCTGTCAACACCCACACTCTTTACCCATCGCCTTTGCTACATGATTGTAGCGTCCATTCATTATTCAATCGCGCTCTTTTGGTAACTCCGCCACCAACCATACCAAGAAAGAGTCCCATGAGCCTTCTGAGACACCGTTGAAGCTGTTCTATTCCTGTCGATCTTTACTTGCACAACATACATAGCACCCAACGACCACGAGCGACCGAATATTCTGTTTTTCTGGCATTTACTGCATTCTTTGCACACGACTGGAGTAAAACAATTACCGCAACCATGCGCACGGCGAATCTCATATCCTTGGGCTTGTCCATCGCCTCACTTGCACTACCCAGTTCAGCTATCGAACTCGACGTTAGCGATGAAGGTGAGCAGTAACAAGATTTGCAGCAACGCACAAAGCATGTACTAATGCATCACANNGCAAGCATCAAATCCGCCGCCTCGACCGTCGCTTACGGCATGATGAAATACTACCACGGCAACGAAACCGGCCAAACCATCGGTCTCCTTCCCTGGCCCTACTACTGGTGGCATGCTGGCGCCGTCTTCGGCTCACTGATCGACTACTGGTACTACACAGGCGACACCTCGTACAACGCCATCACATCACAAGCACTACTCTTCCAAGCCGGCCCGGACGCAGACTACATGCCGGAAAACCAGACCAAGTCCGAGGGAAACGACGATCAAGCTTTCTGGGGCATGGCCGCCATGTCTGCCGCCGAACTCAACTTTCCCAATCCCGAAAAAGGAAAACCGCAATGGTTGGCTTTGGCGCAAGCGACGTTCAACTCCCAAGCGCTGAGATGGGATACAAAGACTTGCGATGGAGGCTTGCGCTGGCAAATCTTTACTTTCAACAATGGCTACAATTACAAAAACTCCATTTCCAACGGTGGATTCTTCAATCTGGGAGCTAGACTGGCAATGTATACCGGTAACACTACCTACTCGGACTGGGCTACCAGGACATGGGATTGGATGCAAGAAGTGGGGCTCATGACTGATGATTACTATGTCTATGATGGCAGTGACACGACCACCAATTGCAGCGATCCTAGCAAGATCCAATGGACATACAATGCAGGTATCTTCCTGCTGGGTGCGGCGACAATGTGGAATATCACCGGCGAAGAGATTTGGAGGGAACGCACGATGGGACTGTGGAATGCCACGCACGTGTTTTTCACAGACGACAAGGTCATGTACGAAGTCGCCTGCGAACCCGGCGGTAACTGCAACGTCGATCAACACACGTAAGTCTCCCCTGCCATCCTCATCTCTTCGCATGAATGATGCTAACGCAAACCCTTGCNNAGCTTCAAAGCCTACCTCGCCCGCTGGATGGCCGCCTCCACCAAAGTCGCACCTTTCCTCTCCGCCCTCGTGCAACCCTACCTCGCGGCTTCCGCAACAGCAGCAGCAGCCTCTTGTTCCGGCGGCACCGACGGCGTCACCTGCGGCACAAAATGGTTCTCCAACACCTCCAACCCCACCGTAACCTGGGACAACACATGGGGCGTAGGCCAACAACTGTGCGCTTTGGAGGTCATCCAAAGCAATCTTATCAATACAGTTCAAGGGCCTCTGACCAACAAGACTGGAGGCACTAGTCAAGGAGACGATGCGGCGGGGAGTACTGGGGACAAGGACCCGAATCACAAGAGTAAAATTACGCAAGCTGATAGGGCTGGTGCGGTCATCTTGACGATTTTGGTGTTGGCCGGGTGGATTGGGGGTATGATTTGGTTGATTATTTGATGCTGTAATGTCCTTGTGCGTCATATGCTGGTAATGCGATTATGGGTTTCTATCTCTCTCTCTCTCTCTCTCTCTCTCTCTCTCTCTCTCTCTCTCTCTCTCTCTCTCTCTCTCTCTCTCTCTCTCTCTCTCTCTCTCTCTCTCTCCCCCCCCACGTGACGCAGGTGATGATTTGAATTAGTAAAATACAAAGTTTCGTTCAAAAGCAAGGTTATATGCCACTGAGAGTCCTTCGGATCTGCGGCTCTCAATGGAAACAATCCTCTTACCCCTGAAAAGTATCCTGCTTTTCTACAGCTTTCAAATATAAATAAGTCGTACATGTTGAGAGGATCAAACTCTTTTCTTCCTTGGAATTGACCTGTAGGCTCTTAGACCTTTTCTCTTTCTCTTACGGCGGCGAAGGGTGTCTTTTTTTCAATCTTCACATCAATCTTTCATTTTCCTGCAAAAAAACGCCATTTGCTCTCTTACAGAAAATACGGCTAAGAAAAGAACATTGAAATGATCATACCCAACGCTCCAAGAACTCTTGGACTTATGTTTTTGCGCAAAAACGTGTCAGAATCAGAAAGAAAAAAAGTGGCATGATTAGAACCGTTCTTTGACACGAAACTTTTCTGTACAAAGTACCCTAATTATCACAATTCTCTCTCTACTTCTTGCATAAAGCTATAGATTATCAAGTCTTTGCACTTCTTGAGCCCAGCTCACAGCCACCCAAATGCAGATATAGAGTGATATACCTAAGAAACGGATGCAAACCCTGACTACACGGTTGATGGTAAGTTGGTCTAGGGTTGGGTTTACTGCTTATGTGTTGTATGGAAACTGTAACATCATCTCGCTGAGGGCAGTATATAGAGATGCCATCAGACTCCTCGCCGAGTCCAAGATCTGGCGTCTGCAAATCAAAGTTGTGAAGTTGTGGGGACATGTGCGGGTGTTGAGTGTGACCATGGATGGTCATCTTGCACGATTGGATTATCGAGTAATACAGATCTTGAGGCTGGGAGAGACTAGTATGCGTTTCGAGATCTGTATGCTTGTCTTCCACATCTAGCAGTCTCTGATCAGATTCGTCTTCGAGCGTGACCTCTGGTAATCGAGGACTAGAGTCACGAGTGTCTGTTTCTGTGACCAGATCTGGAAAGTCGTTGTGAGGATTCCGCGAGCCTCCATGCGAGTAATCGAAACGTGGCAAACGAGGACCAGAGCTGCGAGGGCTGGCAAAAGTGTCACCGCCTAGATTGTTACCTTGCCGATACCGAAGAAACAATTCCTCATCCAGATCGTCGAAGAGTGGCAATTTGAAACTCGGACTGCAAGATGTTGAACGCGTGTCATCGACAAGATGGTTCTGCAGGCTCGATACACTGTCATTTGAATCGTCGGTGAATGCAGCGTCTGGTATGGGGCTTGTAGGACTGCGAGAGTGCACATCTGGTTGATCTACGATATCGCAATAGAGAGTCTCCAGATTAGCGATATGCATTACACAAAGCAACTCCCGGGGTCCAGAGCATGTCTGAGTACATGAGAATGACAGATTTCACTCCTTGACCTCGAGTTTCAGACCCACTTGCCTTTTGTCAATCATTGTCTCTAGGCTGTAGCTTCCATCCTCACACTTTCCAAGCACATATCTCCACTCCCATGATTCTTTGAAGTCTTCGTCCTCGATGACTGACTTTGGAGCTCCTCGTCACGGTTCGCGAACTCGACGCCTGCCACTCTGACCTTGCTTGGCAATCCACACACAAAGTTATTGGTCCTCATCTTACAACATCCGGGTTGGAACGAAGTTGGTGCTGTGTCACGGCATGCAGCTTTGCATGCCCAGATCAGCCAGTCGACAAAGTGGACACAGAGATTTTGTGATGTTTCATTCGAAGCGAGAGCGCTGCAGGGGCGATAGCTCTGGTTGGACAAGACGCTGACGGTTGGCCATGAGGTGTGGAGACGGTACGGGAGCAGCAAACTGGAAAACCGGGTGGAGAAATGCATGTTGTAGCCTTGTCCATCCGAGGATGCAGTATCGTAGTCTTGATGACGGCAGGACTGATTGCTGAAGAACTTCAGTGGGAGATCATGACTGGATCGCAACTGCCTGTGGCGATATACGAGGGTAAACCAAAATACAATGGGGGTAATACAAGACAACTTTACATCTCTATAGCTGAATCAAAGGTCCATTCAGTATTCGTACGTGCCAATGAATTCCAAGCATGCACAGAAACGGCCGGAATGAACCAATACAACTATACACAGCTGACCGAACGAGACACTTGCTCATCCGACCACAAAAAATAGGCTATAATCTCACCCTCTCGATCCTGTTGCGAAAACCTTGGTTTCCAGCCATTCGTGTACGGAAGCATACACTTCCTCGCACACTTCTCTTCGTTTTGCAGATCCCTGACCCCTTTTCTTGCGAAACTCATCGGTGAAGCCATGCCTCACACCCATTGCGAGAAGCCACTTGTAAGTCCCCTTTTCCCAGCCTTGGTCCCAGCCCTTTTCGGGGACGGGTTCGTCTGCAAGCGAATAAATCATATCTCGAGATTCGCGACAGAGCATGTCGTGTTGCGCTCCAATCAGACACACCCATTTCGGCAGTTCCTCTCTCTCGGCATAGCAAGGACTGAGCAGTTTGGCTTTGCGGTCTTGGCCCGAGGGCACATAGGCCCAGTCCAAAGCCGGACCGGCGGTGTTTAGTGACTCGGTCGCCTTTTCCGTGTACAGTCGTTGGGCCCATTTGTGATGTGGAGGGGCGCTCCAGTCTACAATTGGGAAATAGGATATCGCAGCGGTGATCCTGCCTTGTAGCTCGGGCAGCTGGCAAGATGTCAATGCCAGTTTGCCGCCGGCACTGAAGCCAGCCATGACTATGCGAGTCTTGTCAATGTTCAATGTTGCGTCGTCCAAGACGGCGCGTGCGACTGCAGCAACGTCGAGCACGGGAACGGGAAATCGATGCATCGGGGCTTTGCGGTAATTGAGACTGGCCACTATCATGCCTGTACGCTCACACCAGGACTGGCAGAATGAATCGTCAATCGAAGCATCACAGGTCGCGAATGCTCCGCCATGAATGCTGATATACAGTGGTAGAGGGCTCTGGTTTTCCTGGCTTCGAGACTTGGGCATGAAAATGCGCACCGGAAGCTGTGGTCGGCAAGCGTAGGATTTGATCAATGTCGGTCGAATCTCATCAGACGTCGGATAGAAGAGACGCAGATATGCCAGTTGGACTGCGATGGTGATCTTGACAGTCCATACCAAGAAAAAGTAACGGATTCGGCAGCCGAGGGTCGCGAGCTCAGCAGGTAACGGAGTCAAGTCTCGTGGATTCAACGTCTTGGATAGCAGAGCTTCGGCTTGCTCGTCGAGATGAGTTTCTGCCATTCCTGAAAGTGTTTGCCTTGCGGGACAAGAACAGAGTTCGCCAACACAAGGTTGCCAGAATAGAGAAGAATAGGAACAAGTCACATTTCGTAATACACGGTGGTGAACTCGTTGTATTTGAATCCCTCTGCCTTGCTAAGAGAAGAAGAAAATGATTCTCGAAGGATGCGGAGCTCATCTCCCACGATAGAGCATGTTAGTAGCTCATGCTCAACATGAGTATAGTGCCGTGCCAGAAGTTCGTACACAGCCCCCTTCCGACGCCCACACCCCCGGTGCGCCAACCCACGCCGCGCTTTGATTTATATTAGATCCTTACCAGATCTTGATAGATTAAACCACACTACAACGGAGCATATTGTGCTATACACTGGACTCTAGAAAGAAGAATTCTTGCAGGGAGGGAGAGACCATACTACAGACTCGTCCACTGAGCCCAAGTATTTCTCCTGTTCTGAGCAGCAAGACCGATTCACATTTCGGTGGCACACACTTGTGTATTGACGGACACCATACATTTCTACAGCTTGTTGAAAGTGATTATGGCGACTCGGGGAGAAGACCATCAAGACAGAGTATGCACAAAGCAATAGAGAATACATTGATTATGTACAGTACAACAAGAAAAAGAACAACGCCGCAATGCAAGGAAAACGCGCAAAGAAGAGACACCCATATGATGAAGCATCTTAGATCTAATCAGCAGTCAACATCGGTCAAAAACACTCACGAATCCCAGCCCACCCACTCCCTCCCAACAACTCTCCACACCCTAACCTCACCACTTCTAAGGTCCCCAAGACGGAAACTCTCCATCTTGGTCTTGGGCTTCTCTCGCCCTTGCTCCCAGGCTCGAACCTTTTTCTTCGTGCCATCCCAATCCACGACCACGGCAACGTGTCCGGCGCCCATGCCCACGTCTACAGAATACGATTTGTGCATGGCCCCGTGTTTGCCTTGCAGCTTGGCGTTGCGGAGAGTGATAATGTCGCCCGGTCGAATCTCGTCGAATTGCTGCACGGATGCGTTGGCGAGATTGGCGTACACGAGTGCGCCGTAGGCTCTCGTGCCCACGGGTTTGAGTGCCGTGGTCAAGGGGGCCAGAAGATCGAGGACCAAAGCGTTGGGGCTGCCGTCGCCGACCACATGGTCTTTCTTCGCGTCTGCGGCTTTGGCGATGTGCGTGCCGTACTTCTGCCACGCGGTTTCGAGCTGATCTTGGCGGAGGCGTGGAGGAGGCGGTTCGTGTCTCTGTTCGAAGCTCACGTCTTCAGCGTTTTGGCCGTCGTAGCGCGCGGTGATGACGGTCTGGCTGTAGTCGAGGAAGAGCACGTAAACGTCTTTGGTGATTGCCGTTCTGCCGCCACGGCGCTGAGTTACGCTCTCTTCGACTTCGAACAGGACGTCGCTGCGATTTTGGAAGGCTGGGGGCAGCGTGTTGGGTTGCGCCCACCAGAGGGTATTTTCTGCCAGGTCGACATCGGTAGCAATGTGGCCGTCCTGAGGAGGTCTTGCGACATCCATGCTGCGACGCATGTTCATTGAAGGACGACTAACATCAAGTGATTGGCGAGATTGATGAGTTGCCGAACGAGCAGGTGGTGGTGGTTGAGATGGAGGCAATGGGGCAGCACGGTCCTGATCGACCGGTGGTGGCGGAGGCGGGCGATCCATGGATTGACGAGGAGGTGGTGCATCGTACAAGTCGTCCGAGCTATCATCCACATAATCCTGCTGGACAGGAATTGGTGCTGGTACTGTGGGAGGGGGTGGTGGCACAGCACGGATCGGAAGAGCACGAGGAGGTTCTTGATGGTGGTCCTCGTCACCCTCGTATCGTTCATATTGAGTTGGCGCATGCATGGGAACAGGCGGAGGGGCGACACGAGGAGCATCAATGGAAGCTCTGGATGGCGGAGGTTGAGAAGGAGGTGGAGGAGGAACAGCTCGAGGCGCGGGAGCCAGAGCTGGGGCGGGTACGTCTACCTCATCGAGGCTCGAATCCCTACCATGCGATCTCAGGGCGTCCTTGTGGTTGACACCGGATGCAATGTCAGTGTCATAATCTCCTTCGTAGTCGCTTTCACCTCGATCGGGCTCGCCCAGAGGAGCGCTTGGAATGATTGGAGGAAGCTGAGGAGCACCAGTTGGTGGAGGCGGAGGTGGAGCACGGGCTTGAGGAGGAGATGACAGAGTGCCAGGGATTGGAGGAATGCGACTCTGTCTTCTCTCCGACGAGGGAGTAGCAGGGGAGGTGGGCGACATGGCGTCTATGCTGCCAAAGGTCGAAGCCCGCTTTGTAGAGCCCATGGATGGCGAGCGGTTAGCCTCTGGTCTGGGAATGGGAGGAGGGACACCTCGAGACATGTCTGTTGATTGTCTCGTGGGAGCCAGAGAACGCTCGTCGTCCGACTCTTCGCCCTCGGTCGGATCCATCTGCGTATCTACCGGAGGTGGTGGCGGAGGTACAGGGCGGGCTGAAATCATGTCAGACAGATTTTGGCGGCACGTGCAGAGGAACAAACTCACTCTCATGTGCTGGTGGAGCTGGTACAGGACGAGACGCAGGCACCGGCGGAGGAATAGCGCGCTCGTTTGTCGCTTCTGNTTGAAAGGTCAGCTTTTGTCTCTGTTCATTGGCTGAATCTGCTAACCCTGTGGCACTGGAGGTAGGCGGTGAACGGACTCGATATGTGGTGGTGGCTGAGGCTTAATGTCTTCAACATCCGGCACAGTCAAAGGCCCCCTCTCGCTGGTGACCGAAGTGTCGTACTCAGGCTCCATTTCAACGGCAAGCTGCCTGTCTTCAACCTCTGGACTACGCACTGTCTGCATGCCGGGAATGGGCATGACGGGAATGCGAGGTGCTTGAGCAGGAGCGGGGGCCTCGTCGTGCTCAGGCTTGGTCTCCTTGCTCTTCTTTGTCTTTGGAGGGGCGGGTGCCATCATGCCGGGCATTCCAGCAGGCGCTCCAAACATGCCCGCCATGCCCATACCACCACTCATCTTGGCCATGCGCTCTCTCAGCTCCATGCGACGGCGTGTCTCTGCATCCATCTCGTCCTCTTCGCTCTCGTCGTCCTCGGCTGTGTCTTGCTCGTCACCGACGTCTGCTTCGTGGACCGGAGCTGCCGGAGCCCGTTGGGATTGCATCGACCTTCTGGCGGGCTGGGTAGAGTCGCTGTCTGCGTCGTTTTCCTCTGTGATATCTCCAGCTCCTGACATGTCGGCGTCGTTCGCATCGCTGAAACTCTCGTGGCCGGCGGCAGGCAACGCTGGCTCGCGAGACATCCCACGAGCAGAAGCGCCACGAGTGCGCTCGCGTTCGCGAGGCTGGTCCAGCGACTGGCGAACATGCCGTTCTGCTGGTTCGGCTTCGGCTGCGTATTCCTCCTCTTCGGCGGCCGCAACCGGTGCATGAGGAACTGGTGGAGGAGCAGCNAGACTCTGTCGACTCGTCCGTGTTCTTCTTGACGGGCTTCTTGGGCTTGGGCTTCTCNNGCTAACATCAGCCCTTCGTGCTGCTTGCTCCATCTGCTGTTTTTGCAACATGGCGATTCTCTCCTTCAAACTCTGAGGCTTAGGTTGATCCTCATCCTCGTCACCCGTGGGCGATTGTGGATGATCAGAAGGCAAGAGACCGGCCTTTGCGGCATTCTCATCTGCCTGGGCTTGCTCTTTCTGGATGTCTGGGTCCTCTTCTCTGCGGTAGACTTTCTGCACCGGCTCGGCCTTGGGAGGGGGAATGTATGCGTTCTTGCTTGGTGGAGGAGCGACGAATGGCTTCTTGATGAAAGTGGGAGCGGCAGGCTTGAAGGGAGCGACGGGTGCTGCTCCTGCATTGTTGAAGGCGGCGATGCGGTCTCTGAACGAGCTGGGCTTGCTGCTCACAGGCGGGGGCTCTTTCTTAGAGGGCTCGGCCTTGACAGGCTCCGACTTGATCGGTTCCGAGGGAGCTGGCTTGGGTGCAGGTGGAGGAGACTTGATTGTTTCGCGAGCAGCCGGTTGCTCTACCTGAGGAGGTGGCGATCTGACAGATTCTTGAGCTGGCGGAGGAGGAGCGGTCTGTCTCACNGGATGGAGGAGGGGAGAGATTGCGAGGTGGGAGCGGGACGGGAGCAGCTTCGGGCTCGATGATCGACTTGGATTGAGCAGGGACAGGCGGCGGCTCGGCAAAGCTGTCGTCGTCGTCGTCGTCATCGTCTTCTGCTTCCTCGGGGAAGGCACCGGGCGCAGGTTCGGGNNCACAGCAGGCTGCGGCGGTGGAGGGCGGATCTCGGAAACGGGACGTCTTTGGGGTCGTGAAGGGATCTCGGGCTCGTAGCGCTCGACAAAGTTCTTGGGGAACAGACCCGAGTGCTTGCCGCCAGAGGCGTCGGTGTACTCTCCCTCGTACCAGTCTTGGTCTTCCAGAGCTACGACGGTGATGATCTGGCCTTCGGGGAAGGGGAGGTCGTCTTCGTGCGGGCTTGCGTACTCGTAGACGGCCTTGACCTTGAACGGCGGGGCTGACATGGCGGGTGCGCTGCCTGTCGCCTGTGATGGAGTGTGTGTATAGTAGGTGGATTGGCTGTCGTTGGGTAGAGACGGAGTGTGTAGTGTGTACGAGTAGCTGTCGATGGGTCCAGGTTGTCGCGGGTCGGCGTCTGATGCTTCCGCTCGGGACGCTTCGTCATGTTCTTGGCGTGAACGAGACTCCTCCGCGTCTCAGCCACGGGCGCCACAAGCAGCCACACCTCCTCTTCTCTATTAGCAGCATATCACCTCGTCGCCGCCGACCTCCATACCAACAGCACCATATCAACCCACCCCAAAAACATCAAACCTCCTCACAATCTCACTCCACATCCGCCAGAATGTCAACCTCACAACCACCACCAAAATCAATCCTCAAAAGACATCGTCGCACACAACCACATCAGACCTCTCAGAAGACTCTTTCACCGCAACCCTCAAAATAAAGCCAAAATCCGACATCGAGCGCAAACGCCTCCAAACAGCAATCTCCCACGCCACACTGATTCAAGAGCAGAAAGCCATCTTGCGCCAAAACTTGGACGCCATTGAAGAACTTTCTGATATCCCGCTAGGAGACTCGGCCACTCTGGCAGAGACGGAGAGATTTCTGGATGCAATGGTGGATTTTCAGGGGAGCGATTATGACGCGTTGATCGAGGAGAGACATGTCAATGGACGCTGTGGGTACGCGTTATGTGCTAATGCGCCGCGAAAGGCGTTACCAAAGGCACCGTGGATGAAGAACAGAGGGCAGGACATGTGGTGTTCAGATGCTTGCGCAAAGAAGGCTCTGTATATCAAAGCCCAGCTCTCGGAGACGCCGGCATGGGAGCGCAGGGCAGGAGATCGTAACCCCTTGGTGCTATATGGCGGATCCCAAGCCAGCTCTTCGCCACAACAGATGCAACTGCCTGTGCGGCAAAAGGAGACACCCGCTAAATCTTCAGAGCGCGAGTTGGCGTACGAGCGCGGCGAAGTCGACACAGTGGCTGCAGCAAAGATGGGCAGAGTGTTGGCGGCACAGGTGCAAGAAAACAGCATCATATCCTCCGTCATGCCACCTACAGCAACGAGTTTTGCAGACAGCGATGTGCACGATCTGATCGAGGGTTATCAACCACGCGGTGTGCAGCAAGGCAATCGCATCACCATCAAGTCCGGGGATGCAGATAGTGAAGAGGATGACTGAAAAAACGAATACTCACTGCTACAAACCCCATGTCCACCAGCTACCATGGAGACCGAGAAGTGTTGATCAATTTCGACTTCACTCCAAAACTTATAATGTCAATCATATATTACCCCATATCTCTATCTTCGATACCCATAACTTCTGAGCCAGAACGATCAAGTCTGCCTCGTCGATCATACCACCCTGTCAATTATAAACACCTTCAACAAAAACCAACGTTGTTCGCAAGATAATGACCATTCTCGCGACATCTTATCATTTGAAAAGATGGGTGTCTCTAGATTGAGTATATCCGGTCAACATGGTGTTGTGGTCGACAACAGTAATTTTAGGTAATTACTATCTCGCAATCAAAGCGGTGACTATTGACAGCTTCTATGCCACCATATAACTTCCGTACACAGGTAGATTGAAAACCCACACCCACATGACCTTGTCACACAGCGACCTTGCAACAAAAAAGACACAAAAGTTCACTCGCACCAACGACAAAAACATCATACCCACAAAACCCAGGCAACGATCTCAAAATCATATAATCAGCATAACAACGACATCCCACAAAGACCCCCACCGTAAACCATCCCAGCAAACCCTGCAAATCATCCCGAAACCAAACCTGATCAATCTTGCCCTCAAGCCCTAGCATAGCAGCATCAGTAACAGCATTCAAAATCGCGACGGGATAAAAGCAAGCCACCGTGACCCAAGAATGATCATTGGCAGTTTGTTTTCGGTCGCGTGCACCATTGCTGTTTGCCAGACACTCTATTCGTGATTTGCAGAACTCCTTTCGGATCATCAGGCAAAAGTGAGCACACCAAAGATGTGCAGGGCTTATACTGATAATCCAGATCCATGGCGATAGCAAAGACGATTCAAAGTAGACAGCAGCAATTTGTTCGGTAAACGCATATACAGTAGTAATAAAAAGGCTGCAGAAAACAGTGAATAAAAGCTGATCTTTAGGATGCATGGGTGCCAGCATCCAAAGACTGGGAAACCCACACGCCAAGTTCAGTCTGTTGAGCAGCCAGACTGTTGTCCGGAGTATGAGAACAAGTTCTGTTGTCAATGTAGTAAGATCTGTAGATGCGATGGCCATGTCAAAGAGAATTTATCAGCTGGGCAGATTCACTGAAAAAAACTGTCGGTTGTTTCAGATTTGTTCGAAGGAATCGCTAGAGATGGGTCTATATAGGAGAGAAATGTGTACCGCGGGCCATGGGACCGGGTTTGGCCGGCGATAAAGTGATCTGGCTGCTTGTGACGATATGGGGAAAGAAGATCCTTACCAAGTGCTTAAAGTCTTTGAACACCACCCCTCTCTTGTAGGAGCGTGGAGAAAAGTCTATGTCATAAAGAGACACAATGCTTTTCCAAAGCAGAAGGGGAACCACAGAGAGCGGCCAAGTTACTGCTTCTCCATGGATGCTGCCTTGATTCTCGTTTCCGTTGTGCATTTCTATCAGCGACTCGCGTTACATGCTCGAGCAGATGGACAGGCATCAACCGTGACAAACCCAAGGTGTAGAACATGTTCGATGGGTTTGCATTAAGCGTCAAGAAAAAGCTCCACAAAGGCTAGAAGCAGAACAAGAACAAAAAGGTGGTATCAAAAAAGACGCAATAGAAGTGCGCAGAAAACAAAGAACAAAAAGACCCAACAGCCAAATGGCCTTATCCAACTCAATCTTCATCAACGACAACCCTCTTGGTCATGCTCTCGACAACTTTGGTATAAAACTTGACGGCATGGTTCCTCGGGAAGCAAATCTCCTCGGTGAGGTAATCGGGTAGTATGTCCATCAAATCCGCATCTCTGTTGGCATCGAGCAAAGGTTCATATGCAAACTCTGTATCTTCGTAGCTCAAGCCCGAAGGTGTTTTTGGGTTGGTGATGGCCGTGTCGGTGGCAATGGTGAGGTGGNNAAATGTAGAGCTGGAGAAAGGGTTAGTACAAGGACAAACAGGAAGACAAAAGGAAAGGCACTTACTGCCGTTGCGACCGGTTTGGATGCAGCTGTACTCGTCTTCGCCGTCTTTGCGTTTGACGCTTGTGATGATCAGGCCGGTCAAGTCGCGGTACAGCTCCTCCTTCAATGCATTCTCCTTGACACTCTCGGCACTGGCGCCATGCGTCTTGCCATGCTCAATCTTCTTGACGGCAGACCCTGGCACTTTGTCGCTGGCGGCGTTCGTCTTTCTCGCGGCTTCGAGTTTGGCAGTCAAGGCCTTGGATTCATTCTGTGATTCTGTGAGGCTTGTGACGGTGGCTTTGTGCTCTTCTTTGAGTTTGTCGTTTTCTGCCGTCAAGGCTGCGACTTGAGACTGAAGTTTTGCGGATTCGCTGATGGTGGCTGATGAGGTTTTGCGTAATTCGGCGAGTTCCTTNTTGAGGGATGCAATCAAGTCGTTTGCGTCTGCGATTGGTTTGTCAGTGGTGGGCTGCTGAGATGCAGAGAAAGCGACTCACCTCTTNGCTTTTTGGTCTGTGGCCTTCTTCAAGCGCTCAAAATTCGCTTCTGCGGCCTTTGGACCCAGCTCGATGACAGAGTCGTACTTCATGCGCATTTCTTCGTACTTTTTGGTCATGTCTGCCAGTCTGCGATTTGCTTCTGACTCTGCGACTCTTCTCTCCGTGTCGCTGGCACTGCGCCCTCGCGAATATGTGCCTGGTTGTCTTGACGTTGAGCGTGCGCGTGAGTAGACAGCGCCAGGAGCGGCTTGTCGTTGAATCGAGGCTGAGCGTTGTCGGGTATGTGACTTCGGTGGTGGTGGTGGTGGTGGTGGTGGTGGAGGCGAGGGCTCTCTGTCGATGTCCATAAGATCGACTGGAGGCTCGTCTTCGACAATAGACTGGTCAATCTCCGTGGGTTCGGGTTGCGTCTCTGGGATGACTGGGGCGGGTTCAGGAGAGGGCGCGCGTTTGGTTTTGGGCTTTGACTTTGCGACAGGCTTCTCGTTCACTTCTCCTGCTTCAGCTTTGGCCTTGGTAGATTTGGTCGTCTTCTTCGCGGGCACAGGCGCAGGTACAGACTCGAGTTCAGGGACGGGTTCGGGCTCTTGCGCAGGAGTGGCATTCTTTGCGACAAGATCCTTCTTCAGCACTCTCTTCCTCTGCTTGGGCTTTGGCGCAGGCTCCATGATGGGTTCAGGCTCATCGGCGTCACTANNGCTTCTGGTGGGTCTACAGGCTCTTTCGCAGGCTTTGATTTGGCGGTCGTCTTCTTTGTTGCCGGGGCAGTGGCCTTCTTGNACTGGTTTCTTGACGACGGTGCGGTTGATCTTGGGAGGCGCGGGTCGCGGGTTTTCCTGGTCGGATGGGCCAATCTCGTCTTCGGAGCCAGAGGCAGGCGGCTTGGTAGCGACAGATTTGGAAGGCATGCTGGGCGATGCGACCGGATGATGCAAGGCAAGCGCGGATTGTTTTGTTTACGGCAAGCACGAGCACGCGCCCCGCAAGTTTGAAAGTTGCGACTTCCTCGAGACTCGGAGTCAACAGCCAGCCCACTTCAACGCACCGAGTCCGCCTCTTTCTGAATCAGTCCACGACTTGCTTTTCTTCAATTCCAGCTGCGTGAACTGTAGTGCAACAATCAAGTGCGGTCTGAACATCTCAGCGGGACAAAACAAACATGTTCTTCTACCGTATGAGGCAGGTACGACCAGAAGAAGACGAGCAAATCACATGACCGGAAATCTTGGCGTTTGCGGCGATCGGGAGAGAGGACGGATTTCTGGATTCGATCATGTTTTATCTGTAGGACCAGGCGCAGCCATGTCAAAGGCCATCAACTCGCCCACGGGCAGGCTACTGCGCAACTCGCGTCTCTTCTCTCTACCGCCACCTCTGCCTGCCGCTCCCATTGCCAACTCGACGGCTGGACAGATTCTGCGCACGTCCGACACGGCCACACAACCCTACCCTACCCACCAGGCCATCTCAGCGCCCGCCTCGTCACGCTCTCGCGGAGACTGGGGTCTGAAGCGTCCTCTTCCCGACAGAGCCATTCCCAGAAATACTCCCCATCTGCGAATCAAGGCCATCGACACGCTCGAGCACATTACCGACTTCGAATCCGCCGCCGACCACACCCAGTCGCTCGCAAAATGGCAGGATATGAACATTCCCATCACTCTTCCGCCCAACGCCCGCACCCACATCGTCCAGTCTTCCTACAAGTCTCGCCCTAGTGCCTTTACCAACGACTATGACAACACCACCCTGCAGCCCCACGGCAGCGAGCAAACCACCTTCACTGCTGAGCGTGCTCTGCGTGAAAGGTCCCGTCAGACGACCCAGACCGCCCGATGGAAGACCCAGGGCCCCCACCTCACCAGCTTGACCGAGGAAGAGTTTGACCGCTACCTCATGAACCTCGTTCGCCAGCACAAGTCCGAGTTCCACAAGTTCCTCGAGGCCGTCAAGTCGGACAAGAAGCGCAAGCACCAAGAGGCCCTGATGCGCGACCACGCCGACCCCAACACATTTGAGCTCGAGTTGCAACTGAGGAGTCGCTTGGAGAAGGGCGAGCTCAACGAGTGGATCAAGGAGCTGCGCGACACCCACCACGACTTGAGCTCCGAGCTGTCGACTCTGGTCCGCGAATTCTTCGATCTGCCCGCCTTCCCCTCCACCGCTGCCAGACAGTCCAACACCAACGCTCTCGCCAACGAGATTGCCGTCAGAACGAGGAGCGACGCTGGACCACCATCGACTCACCCCTCGGCTGGTCTTGGTTACTTGCTCACCAGCGCCATTGTCAACAACCACCCCAAGTACGGTCCTCAAAGCGACCGTGAGCCTGTCGAAGCTCGTGTTCTACGAACAAAGGAGGGCAACCGCAGCAGGGACACTAAGGCTGATGTTGGACTTGGTGGTTTCGTCACTTCAATTCAGCCTGGCTCTATTCCTGGCCAAAGCCGATTCAAGGACACTGGCAGAGGAAGAGAAGCCCCTGGCCCTCTGCACCGTCTTGACTTGTCTCTCACAGGTGGCAACAAGGTCTGGTTGCAACCAAGATCTGCATACGTCGATGAGGCTGGTCGCATCAGACTGGATGTCGGTGAGGCAAGCACACAGCAAGTAGACATTAAGCTGGGCAAGGAGATCAAGGAGGAGCAACCTACCTTTACGTCGATTCCTGGCAGGCAGAACCAGCGTCTGGACAGCAACTTCAGATTGGCGAGGTACGGTACTGCCTTGCCAGACGAGAGGTTGCGTCAACAGCGCCCTAAGCCCTTTGAGCGCAACAATACCGACAACAAGTCTGGCCTGGAGCAGATTGAGGCTTTGGCCAAGGGATCGCAGCAGTGATGGGTCAGATGATATCGAGAGACTGTATAGATATGTACAAATACTGAAAGTTCCACAACACAGCCTTGATGACAAGAATCAATTGTGCAATGTGAGAGCCATAGACAATCGTACAGAGTGAAGGCTCGCAGAGGGTGGCAGAGGGGGTGAGGTCAGGACGGGCCCGTGCGCGGGGTTCGACGCCAAGCAATTAGCCGAGCAGCACAAGTCCTCCACCATCGCAAATCTGCCTCTTCCTCTTTCTTGAAGCCGCGCCGCGAACAACTTTCCATCTTCGACCACCTCCTCTTCCGCCAACCACACATACCGCCAAAATGGGTCGCGTTCGTACCAAGACTGTCAAGAAGTCCGCCAAGGTCATCATTGAGCGTTACTACCCCAAGTTGACTCTCGACTTCGAGACCAACAAGCGCATCTGCGATGAGATTGCCATCATTGCCTCCAAGCGCCTGCGCAACAAGGTGCGAACACATTCCTTACCTTTCAGCACGAAGGGCGCACGTTTCTGACAAGATTTCACCAGANTCGCCGGTTACACCACTCACTTGATGAAGCGTATCCAGCGTGGTCCCGTCCGCGGTATCTCGTTCAAGCTCCAGGAAGAGGAGCGCGAGCGCAAGGACCAGTACGTCCCCGAGGTCTCTGCCCTCGACTTCACCCAGAACTCCGAGTCTGGCATGCTCGACGTCGACCAGGACACCAAGGACCTCCTCAAGTCCCTCGGCGTAAGTCTTTCTTGAATCACCCTCATCCACCTCCGCCTCCATACTGACTATCCACTCAAGTTCGACGCCATCAACGTCAACGTCGTCCCCGTCGCCCAGCAGCAGGTTGCCGAGCGTCCTCGCCGCTTCGGCGACCGCCTCCCCCGCAACTAAGCGTTTGCTCGCTTTGTCCTGCGGCTTCGGAAAAGTTCTTGACAAAATTGGCGGGAGTTCTACATGGCGCATTAGTCTTGCTAGGTTCGGGTTTTCTTCTCAATGACAAAATCTGCTCCCCCTCTGCACAACCAGGTGTCGCTGATTCTTTTTGCTGCGGCAAGAAGATGATGCTTGACTGCCATCCATTCACAATCTTTTCTCTATCGGTCACGATTGCGCGGCGGAAGAGTCTACGGGTAATGCTGAGACTTGCTTCTGCTGTTGCTCTCGTGGCTGGCTGAGACTGCGACTTGCGAGAGAAAAACCCTTCTTGCCTGTTCGCGGTCTCGGCCATTCGTGACTGTTGCTTTTGTGTGTGATTGTTATGTCGTGACATCTCAAACTTCTGGCTCGTCAGCACTGTCGTGGCTTGGTATGTCAATCGTCGCACGTTGCACTTGTAGCTTTGTTGCGCGACCCTTATTGCCAACTCTTGACCTGGATGCCCTAGTAGTATTATCTGCATCCCGACTCCGCTGCACATCTACGCATTGAGGTTACCGCAAAGCCTTGAAATAGATACTACACATTTGCGGTCGCTTGAAATGACATCGTATGGCTTGCACCAGGTTCGCGTTCTTCGTGTACACTGTCTGTACGCATCGCTACCAGCAAGACGCTTGTGTGACGCGTCGAGTGAGGTAGGTTCAGTTGTTGCGATCTGCGCATTCGTTATCAGCTACTCTCGCATGATGATTTGTTGTTCTTGCAATGTTCTATTGCTCACGTTGCCTTAGACGAGTGCCATCGGAATGCATCGTGTCTTCCTTGAGAACAACAGCTTGCACGTACACGCTGTCCGATTGGAGATATTAACACATTGAACACCTATCACAATGACAATATGCTGAAAGAGTCATGGGTCGTACTTGTCACGTATCCCCATCACTGCCTAGATACTAAAACCTTCTCGATCTTGTCTCGTCTTCTCAGTCACTCCACTCTCTTACTCTTGCAAAATACTCGACTTTTGTGATTAATCAACATCATACAAATTTTTTTCCACTATGCTTGTATCTGGTCTTTTGTCTTTTCTTGTCTTTGTCTTGAGTTTCTGTCTGTTGAGCAATGGGCACAATGTAAAGGATGGAGTGATGCTCAAGTGAGTTTTTGTTTCCTTTTACCCCCTCATCATGTGGTTGATCTCTACTTTTGTCTTTTTTCCTTCTGGCTGACGGTATTGGTCAGCCCGGTTATCGCGACTCCTGGACGTCCAATTCACGCCGCTCATCTTGGTGTCAAAGACGGCGGATTGGATTCTGCTTGGTTACAACAGGAAGCTTTTGACGACTTGAGATTGCATGTTGCTGTTGACGATGTTGATTGGTCTGGTGACGAGGGTGGTTATATCCATATTCCCTATTCTACCAGCGAAGCGAGACACGGAAAGATTTGGAAAGGAAAAGACGTTGAATTGGGAGGTGCTGCTCCTGCACAGCTTTGAAAGACCAGCTTTGACCTCTACTATAAGGAAGATCTGGGCTTGTCTACTTGCTGTCATTGTCGATGATGTTGGTTAATGTTCCCTTTCTGTCAACCGGATACATCAAAATCAGCCACCCAGACAAACCTCAAGGCAACGCATCATTGCCATTTCCTAAAAAGTGCCTCCGAATAATCTATGAACCGGTCAAAGATCGCTTTGCAGGAAAGCGAGTTTTCGACTCTCGGACATCTATAGATCAGGAACTGAGACAGGGCGATCTTGGGATTCCAAGCATATATGAATTGCAAGGGTGTGAAGCGAAGTCTCGCCAATAGGATGCGAACATCGCACTATATGCTTACAGTCGTATGCATCCTACCCGCCATGAACGTCTCCTTGTAGATCCCAAGCTTCATCAAGCATCCGATCCCGTGAGCTTAGACAGGCTTGAATCCTTCTCACCAGCCGTCATATACGACTTTTTGTCCGTGCTTTCTTGCATATAACAGACCAGGAAATTGGAAAATACGACCCTGATGTTGCACACCGGCCGTAAAAATCATTCCTACGACGACGAATACCGTAACAGATCGCATCCTTCCCGGGGTGTAGCCAATATCCTCACCGATCGGCCTTTTTGCCGCAATGACATTTCCAGGGGCATCCCATGATGACACTTTATACGACCAAGAAATCAACATGTGGATTCAAAGGAAAGTGGAGGCATAATCCAGAGGTGTTGCATCTGAAGCTTTCGCTCTCAGAAATTCTCTCAACCTCACAACAGATATCGCTTTTTTTATTTGACGTCTTTCCACCGCAACTTTATCGCTGTCATCACTTTTTGCTGCTTCTTGACGCCAAAAAATCTCGCAGTCATGGGCTGTGGAGGATCGAAACCAGACTACCGCGACAACAACGTCCCTTCGCAACCCGTCTATGCCAATGCCCCTCCTCAAGGATATGCTGCTCCCCAACCTGCAACATATCAACAGCAACCGGCCAAATCAGGCGGCAAGAAGAAGGCGGCACAGAATTTGGGGTTTCTGAGTATGCTTGCCGGCTAGATCGGTGTCGCCATCTAGTAGTGAGAAACGGTGAGAGATATTGACAGCCGGCAACTTGATTAGTGATTCTGATGATGTGAACAGGCACCACATCTCTGGTCGACAGCGACTTCAAGTCTGAGTCCTAGTGTACTAGGCAGGATATCTATTGGCCAGTGGTGAAGACTACGATCGAAGATCCCAGAGTGACTTTGACGGTAGAATGGATGGCAGTACCGGAGCCTGAGGTAGAAGAGTAGTGGGTGTTAGAGTTGGTGAGGCACAGCCATAAGATAGTATATCTCCTTGGGCATCGTGCTGAACGAAAACATATTGTGCATTAATATGTCATACCATAACTTTAGTCGATATGTGGAGAAGACTGGCATAGCAATTGTGAACCCTAGATCGTCCCAGAACCTTCGCCTTTTATGTAGGTAATAAAGTTGGTGATGGGCGAAGTCTTTGTTGCATCCATCTCGATGGTTGTTGAAAACGATTTGGCTGTTGTCCGGTTTCAACGCCATGAGAAATGTCCAACCAGGAGGATCGTGTCACAAGCTCAAATATTGTGTTTCGCTGTAATCCTGTTGACTACACGTAGTTGCGACACAACCACGACTTCTCAATCTTCTGGCGATGAGATTACGATAGACAGAGAGCTTCTCACGCATTTCTTCAGGATCGGATGGTAAAGACTGATTGCAATCCTTCCGGTCCAGCAGTAAACTTCAGTCTGTGTCACACGACTTCATGAATTCCATGGCCGATTTGGCGGCAATCTTCATCTCAGCGTCCACGTTCCCTTGAGCCAACTCTCCTAGTCGTTGTAGCCAGAAAGACCACCGTGCNNAGCGCCGTCTTTGAACACCCTCGCTCCATTCGGCATCTGACGCTTCGTCCAGTCACCCAATCCGTCCTTTACAACTCGGTCATAGATTTCTCGACCGTTGTACTTGAACATGAAAGATATGGCCGGGATATTGAAGTCGAGTTTGACTTGCTCGTAAGCCGTCGCCTCGTCCGATGCGACCTGCGTATCGCTGTCGTCGATGTCCTTCTCAAGCGCCCGAATGATGTACTGGATTTTCTCCTTGCTTAAGCCCATGACTTTCCTGGCTATCAGCTGGGCTTCGAGATCTTTGATCCTCAGATACAAGCTTCGTGCTGTGAAAAGAGATGCTTCATCTGGACTTTGCCGGCAGATCTGACCAGGCTGTAGACTATCGGGCCACATCAGAGCGAAGTATGGAAATCCGCTCCATAGATACGGGTGTTCATTATCGTCAGTTGCTTCTCCCTTATGGATCTTGTCCGGAATCTTGGCAATAGCATCCAGTAACGCAAAGAGGTCGGGAGTGCGCGAGGAAGGCCACTCGAGCAAAGCAGTGATCACCACAAGCCATACGGTCGTCAACCCCAAGATTTCATCAGAATAGCCTCCCAGATCCAATACGGGCGATGTAGATATCGAATGAGTTATGGCAACGGCAGAGTCATCTGCATTCGTGTGGCCGTCGTGAAACGCGCGGAGTGCCTCGACTATCTCAAGAAGCCATGCGCGAAGAGTTGGGTTGTCCTTGTGTACACATCGTCGCTCTTGATGCGCAAACCAAGCGGTATCGACATTTTCCTGGTCGACTGTAGGAAGTATGAATCGGTTGTGGAAAAGCATTGTTCGGTCGGAAAATTGTTGGTCGCTGCGAAGTCGAAGGGAGTCATTGTTCGTTAGCCATTCTTCGACGTTCGATAATAGAGAGTTACCTCATCACTTTCTGACCACCGGACCTCGGCCACTACAAAACGACCATTGCCTGTGAACAGAAGACATTCTGTGAATCATTCTTGCATTGGTGGCATCTTCTTCGCGGTCGAATCTTACTGTACAGCTCCACTTCTCCACCGGTCATTGGAAAAACAAGCAGTATGATCTCGCCAAGTCCCTGAGCGCAACGTGACACGATTCGGATATCTGCAGCCTTGATCACCGTACCTTAATACATCATGCCATCCTTACCCACCACCTCTCTCGATCAAGCATATCATGCCCTTCTCAAACGCGGTCGCCTATCTACAGATATATCCCAGGCATCCTTGATCAAACGCCTATCCGCAATACAACATGGCCTCGACGCCGACACCGCCGCTTCACCGACAGGTCTCTACATCCATGGCTCAGTCGGAACTGGAAAATCGTATCTGGCATCTCTATTCACGTCAACTCTGCCTTCGCATATTTCCCGCCGACGAGCGCACTTTCATGAGTTCATGCTGGATGTGCATAGCCGCCTGCATGTCGCTCGCTCCTCATCTTCTGGCTATGGTTCTTCCGACCCTTTGCCGGTGATTGGGCGTCAGATCCATGCGGAAAGCAAAGTTCTGTGTTTTGACGAGTTCCAAGTCACGGATATAGCGGATGCGATGATTTTGCAGCGACTGATGGGGGCATTCTGGAGCGCGGGCGGTGTTATGGTAGCGACCTCGAACCGTGAGCCAGACAAGCTCTACGAGGATGGACTCAATAGAGAACTCTTTCTACCGTTCATTGCTATGCTAAAATACAGATGTGAGACGTGGGCGTTGGGTGGCTCACAAGATTATCGCTTGTTAGGAAGGGATGCAGCAGAACAAGGACAAGAAGTCTTCTTCACCAATCCTGCAGAATACCGAGCAAGCCTTGATGCTGCCACTAAGGGACAAAAGCTGGAACCCGTCGAAGTTCCAGTGATGATGGGGAGGAAACTGCTGGTCAATGGTATCCCGAACTCGGACGAAGAAGGAAAACTTACCGTCTCATCAACCTTTACTGAACTCTGCGAGGCCAAGCTCGGTGCAGCAGACTACCACGCTCTCTGTCGGAAAGCGAGAACTATCTACTTAGATGGTCTTCGCCGCTTCCGCCTCTCAGAACTCGACTTCGTTCGCCGCTTCATCACCCTCATCGACTTGGCATACGAATCCGGCACCAGAGTTGTCATCTCCTCTAACGTCACTATTGACGAGGCCTTTGCCGAGATAGTGGATAATGAACGACAGCGATTGATGAAAAAGCAGGGAGGACTTAAGATGATCGTCAAGAAGGGAGGTGGCAGCAGTTCGAGTATGATGAGTACTTTTGTTTCTGACGATACAGAGTGGTCGGCGACTGGGCTGGCAGAGGCAAGTCTGGCGACTGGTGGTGCGGGTGAGACTGATGTGGGATTTGCGATTGGAAGAGCTGTATCTAGACTTCATGAGATGGGGTCCTCCATGTACGGACGATTGGACTGATGAACATAGAGCGACATAGTCCTGTAGTTGAGTCCATATATGTTTGGTGGACAGGACCGCGCAAGACTGAAAATCAATAAATATCCATAAGTGTCATATATCCTTTAGACGATACTTCAGCATTGCGCTTCTTCACTCCTCACAAGACCATCTCATCATCACACCACCACCAACTCAAACCTTCTCGACAATCTCGACTTGCTGCACAGTCAAACTTTTTNNCTCCTTGATTTCTCCATCTCCATCATGCTTGACCTGTTCATTGGCAACAGCAGCAACATCAAGAGTCCTGTCTTCGCCATCAAAGTACTTTGCAATCTCCTCCAGGGGCGTGTAGCGGGTCTCGACGAGGAAGAGGTAGATGACAGCGACCTCGAAGGCAAGGAAGACACAGTAGCAGATATAGTACTTCCACTTGAGTGCCTTGAGGGCGATGGCGTTGATGTATTGGTCNTGAGACAGATGTTAGTAAGGATCAAGGATGATGAAAATAGTCAACTAACTGAAGAAGAGAGAGAGGGTGACGCAGAAGTTTAGCNNTGGCGAATGTTAGCTTTGTACAGTCATGTGGTATGCGCTTTCGCCAAAGTCTCTTACCCAGGTGAAACCCTTGGCACGAAGACCATAAGGCATGATCTCGGTGGTGTAGGTAGCCATAAGACCATTTNNCTGTGCTTGCCGTCAATATTTTGGGCTTCGTATAGCAGCACTGCGAACATACTTAAAGTCGTAGAAGAAGCCGTAGACGAACAGCATACCCACGAATGCTGCACCAAGTGAGCCCTGAGGTGTTGCGGCATAGCGTGCCGCAATTATAGTTGCGATGTTGAAGACGATAAAGGTACCGATGGTTGAGATCAGGTACATGGGACGACGACCCATCTTGTCGGCTATNACGAGGATATGTCAGTCACCATATTGGAAAATAGCCACAGCGTCACGCATAGGTTCAACCACGTGACGACAGTGGTGATGGCAAGGTGGTCTGAAATGAACAGAAGAGTATTGGTCTCGAGTCATACCTAAGAAGGACATTCCGATGTTGGTGACCAAGGAGCAAGACTTCATGCCGCCATTGATGCCAAGCTGAGTGCTCGAGGAGGTGATACCGATGTCCTTCATGATNCTGGGGGTGGTCAGATAAGCTATACATACAAGCCCAAAATCGTGACTCACAGTAGAAAGATAGTATGAGATGATTCCATTACCAGACCTAGCTTGTTAGTGACATCCCTGTGGCAACGATCAGATCAACACTTACCACTGTGAGAAGAAGCCGATGGCCGTGATGATACCCATACGCTTCCTGTTTCCTGGAGTCTTGACAAGATCAAGCCAGCCAGTACGATTGGCCTCTTGATCCATCTTGATAGCAGCCACAATCTCGTTGTACTCAAGCTGCACAAGCTTGTCTTCGGGATCGCCAGACATAGAATGGTACTTGGCAATGATAGCCAATGCTTCCTCGGAGCGATCTTTGCTGATCAGCCATCGAGGAGACTCGGGGGTGAAGAAGACGGCGACGGAGATGATGATTGAGAAAGTGCATTGGAGCAGAGAGGGCAAGCGCCATGCCCAATCGCTGGGAATCTTGAGAGTAGCATATGTGACCCAACTTGCAATGAAGGCGCCAGAATGATATGATGCGCCGGACAAAGTGACCAAGACGGCACGATCTTGAGGAGGCGCAAGCTCGGTAATGAGGAGAGGAGCAGATCCAAGCACAATACAGTCGCCGAATCCGATAAGGAGTCTGGCTGCAACGAACATACCAAAGTTGGCTGCACCCGTCTGGAGGCCAACCCCCAAACACATTACAAGTGACCCAATGAGAATACCCGATCGACGACCAAGTGAATCAATGATATAGGGCACAAAGAAGAGACCGATCAAGGAGCCAAGACTCATGGAAGCGTTGAACAAGCCGAGGATGGAACCCGATGGGTAGTTGAAATATTCTTGCCAGTAAGACAAACTTTGAAGACCATTCATCATTGATCCATCGAAGCCATTTGCGGTATTAGTCCTTGAGGTCGTGTCAGGGGTGTCTGGGATCATATCATAACAATCAAATATGATACTAACNATTATCATAACGACTAGGAGGAAGTATAGCTTCCTCATAGGACCGGAAGACCACCATTTTACACGTTCGATGGTATGTCCAGCAAAGAAAAAATGCCCTTTAGGAGGCTTGACTGGCACAGCCAACTTGTGAGGCTTTGGAAAACGAGACATGGTGTGGTGACTTGGTGGGGGCGATATACCAGAATTGATGATATTGAAGTTCTGTACAGGGGATGCAACCAGATGATATAGACACCCAACATCTCGCATTCAACAGGCTAAACAATTCACCGGGCTTATATCAGAAGGATGGAAGTGGTGTACAACCTGAGTTCGAGACCAAACATCTCGGCCGAGTCCATCTTCCCCCTTGTTCCTCCATACCAGTTCTGATCATGTCCCAGGATGAGTTACTCAATATACAAGGTGTTCAAAACTTGGCAAAGATCATAGGCTAAACATTGTACCATCGCTCCGGATTGCCATGATCTGGGTCGTGAAAGTATGGTGGCCGTTGTGGTATGCCAAGTTCTTGGTATAGCATCCATGGCTTGGAAAGCCCCTCACGAGATTGCTTTGCAGCATGGCGCATATTTTGAAATTGATAGCTGTCCCAATACCAATGCACGAATAGTGGCCCGGATCCCCTAAGACTCGAGATCTACTCAGATAAGGAGGAAGCAGCAAAGCAAAGCAGATCTCTATTCTAGATGCTCGTCTGGGATGTAGCCAACGAGTCAGACTTTCCATGTCACTGCAGCTGCTCGTGTCCACCGGTCGGTCACATGTCCACCAAAAAAACCCCAAAGCTGGAGTTGCATCCGACGACGTGGGGGCGGGAAAACACTGTGGGGCGTCCGGGGAATGAGGTGAACCATGCGGGGAATTGATGTCTTCGGCATGCGACCCTTTTCGGTCCAAGTTACAAAGGATCTTGGTTATCGACCGTTTTAAGGAGAAGGCAGGACTCGGTTGTGTTCCATGCCTAAATTCTGGTCACCGGCCAAGCTGGCTAAAGTCATCACGACTGTGCCACATCAACGCGGGGCATCACGACAGCTCGACTTTTAGCCGGACAAACACATCGAAATGCCATACACTGTCTCGTAAGTAAGCTTTTCTCCCAGCTTGTTCGCGACCAAGAAGCACGCTCGTTGGTTGTTCTCTTGTCTCCCTTTGCTTTTGCCCACTGGTCCGAGATCATGACTTCCACGCTCAACGGACCCATCATTCCTGGGTTTGCTCCAGATCCGTCCGTGACTCGCATTGGCGACACGTTCTTCCTTGTTAACTCGACTTTCCATTTGTTCCCTGGTCTTCCAATCTATGCTTCCAAGGATCTTGTGAACTGGACTTTGATCGGTGAGCTTTGCATTCAACCACGCAAACCAAACACATACTGACGCATTATAGGCAATGCCATCAACCGTAAATCACAAATTTCATTGCGCCTCTCCGACACAAAACTGGAACCTCAAGACGATGGAACAGTAATGCTTGCTACGGGAGGTCTCTTCGCGCCGACCATCAGACACGACTCGAAATCCGGAAAGACACATATCATCAACACGAACGTCATCCACCCCGAGGATGGTGGGAAAGACATTCCCAAGAACTTCATCCTTGAGACCGACGACATCTGGTCAGACAATTGGAGTGACCCAGTCTACTTGGACTTCGATGGCATCGATCCTTCGATTTTCTGGGACGAAGATGGCAAAGCCTATGTCTGCGGAAGCCATGGTCCAGGTCCAATGACCACAATCGCTTTATTCGAGGTTGACCTGTCTACAGGCAAGAAGTTGTCCGATGAGAAGATCGTTTGGAAGGGTACAGGAGGTATCTATCCAGAAGGTCCACACATCTACACAAAAGACGGCTACTACTATCTGCTAATCTCCGAGGGCGGCACCTTCAAGGATCATATGATTACTGTCGCAAGGTCGGACAAGATCTGGGGTCCTTATGATGCATATGAGAACAACCCGATTCTCACCGCAGCGGGGACAGACAACTACGTCCATTGTACTGGGCACTGCGATATGTTTCAAGACAACGAAGATCGATGGTGGGGTGTCTGCCTTGCGATGCGGATGAGAGGTTCGAGATTCCACATGGGTCGCGAATCTTTTCTGGTAACCGGGCATTGGGAACAAGGCGGATGGCCCAAGCTTGACACGGTCGAGGTGACATCGTCACACAAGTTCAAGACTGACGTTGTAAAGACAACAAAGACCGGCTTGGACTGGCTTTATATTCGCGATGTTAATCTCGAGCACCACAGAATCGAGGGCTCAACCATTCACCTAACTCCAAGCAAAGCAGACATTTCACAGTGGCGGGAGCCCGTTTCGTTCGTCGGTAAGCGCCAGAGGAAGCTGCAAGGCAGCGCTTCGGTGACTTTGGCTGTTCCAAAGACAGGTTCAAGCCGCGCTGGTCTCGTCATCTACAAGGACGAGCATCGATACACTCGACTCTACTACAACAGTAGCAGTAAAGCCATCTGCTTTCAAGTCGTCAACAACGCAAAGAAGATTAGCAGAAACGACAAGCAGGAGATCTCAGACCAGACTTTCGACATCAAACTACTGATCGAGTACACTGAAGACAAGCTTGTCTTTCAGTACGAAGAGGAGAAAGGCGTGGTGAGGACGCTCGGGACTGTTGACACAGCAGAGTTGTCGAACGCAGACTTTGTCGGTCCTGTCATCGGCGTGTTCGCTGTATCAGACGAGGAAAGGGATGAGATTGTGTTTACCGACTTCCAAAACGAGCGATAAATAGAAGCCAGCAATTCCCCAGGACGTGAGCGTTGCGTTCCGAGTATGATAGACTGAAGTGTAGATTTCTTGATTGCAATACATCTATGCTTATACTTTCTGTCTAAGATGTAATCCGACTTTTGCAGTGCGTGCTGCGAACAAGAGTGATGAGCCCAGGAGGAAGGACGAGCCACCCCATATTTGCGCGGGTAGGTAATGCCCGTTGTCATGAGAGATCAGGGCTCCGGCCAATGGTGGTCCTGTCAGACAGGCAAAGCTAACAATCGTGAAGCCCATTCCCATCCTTACACCCGTCTTCTTCAAGTCAGATGTCAGACTGGATAGACCCGCTGGGAACATGGACTGCAGACCGGCCGAGCCAGATCCATAGATGGCGGCGAACACATACAGGGACGCCTTGGAGTGGACACCAATCCATCCATAACACATCACGCCGCAGAGCATGCTGAATGGCAACATGACATTGACTGCTCCTAGACGATCTGCGAAGTAATTGGGTAGAATCCGCCAGACAAACCCAATAGAGACCATAGTCAAGAGGAGATTGATAGAGTCATGGTAGCTCATGCCAATAACATTGCGACCATAGCTGCCGACGTAGAAAAAGGCAAAGTACAGACCCCAGAAGTTGAAGAACATCCCAGCGCAATATAGTACGTATGGCAACTCTTTGAACGAGGACCACTCAATGATGGGTCCTGTCTTACGGGGCGGCATTCTTGTGCGAAAGACAAGGTTGGTCAGGATATTCGTGAACAGCATGAGGAAGCCGCACATCCGGATGGTCCAAGGAAAGCCAATCCGCGGAAGAAGTTGTTGGACAACGATTGGGAAGACGACACCTCCGGTACAAGAGCCAATGGTAACAAAGCCAATAGCGAATGATCGCCTCTTGACAAAATAGGTACTGACCAGCGACATGACAGGGCAGAACTGCAGTCCGCCAGCAATGCCAATGCACAATCCTTGCGACAAGAACAACTGCCAGTAATTTGTCGCGGCCGACATGGAGAAGATGCCAAGCAGCTGCATTATCGTACCCGCAAAGTAGACCGGGCGAAAGAGACCAGCATCTAGCGCGCGACCACTGAATGTTCCCAAGAAGAAAAGTAGAAATATTTGGACACTGCCAATCCAGGAGATGGCCGAGGGATCAAGGCCTAGGGATGTCCTGTAGTATTCTTGGAAAACACCATATGAGGTAACCCAGCCCCAGGTCGAGAAGATCGTGAGATGTGCCATGGCGACTTGCGTCCAGGCTTGTAGTCCGCCATCAGGAGCAGGTTCGACGCTTCGTATTGACGCAGCAACGCCGTGCGAGAAGGTGCTGGCTAATGGTGGTTCCCCTGGAACTGGCTCAATGGTATGCAGCTCTTCCGACTTGTATGATCCTCGCTCTTGCGCATTCTCCAGATCCTTGAAGCTCGAGATGCTCTCGTGAGCGCGGTTGTTCTTGGTTTCGTAGAACGTCATGATCGTACAGATGTCGGGCGCGTCGTGCGTTCGTTGAGCTCGACACAACTATATCGCAAGACTTACATTGCGAATAAATCAAAAGTTGTCGTTACCCTATCCTCGGTACTCCTCTATCTGGATGAATCATTGTACATCTCCGCCCTTCGGGCAACAAATCCGATCGCGGCGGAGAAAAGTCTCAAGGCGTGCGAGGTTGACTTGCCCGCTGTTTTGCCCGCTGTTGGCCAAAAGTCGTGGTGCCGCATTACCCGATCCAGCCGCTGCTTGGTTTCTCGTGCTTCCTGCTAGTCGGACATGGTCAATTGTCCTTGTGCTTCTTCGCGGTCAAAGAAACGACAGCCCCCATGCGACGCCAGCATAAGAAGATCTGTGTTGAGGGTCGCTGATCAAGTAATGCCAAAGATAAAGGGGATTTAACATGAGTTCCGCCAGTTGTCAGCCTCAAAGTCCATTGCTTGCCTTTGCAGCAAGAGATGATGGTAGCAATCATGCAAGACTCTTGGAGTGGTCACCTCCGGTAACGTGGACGACGACGCACCGATCGCTTCGTCTGTAACTTTACGGAATAACAAGATCTTGAGAAAGGTCCTGTATTCTCCTTTCGGAGACGACTCGTAGTTTGATTGGAAATCGCCAAGTCACATACGCACAGGCCTCCACCGCTTGTACCGCTCCTATACGCGTATAGAACTCGGAGACGCAGATACGCGTATAGACCGACTTGATGTTAACTACGACCCAGTACACTAGCCCGATCTTGGTCTTGGATAGGCCGCCTAATGCCCCAGATGCACGTTAGAGCCAATGTCCTGAGCATGTCTTACGAACCGAATGTACTTCACCTTGGAGGCTGAGCGGTTGATCAAAACTATTTAGCTGCTACGTTGGGAGCCAACAACAATCCTGCCTTTTCATTCACATTACCCTTCACATTACTCTCGAGACCTTGCAACTTCTATTGGTTGTCTCCAGCCTCTTTGACACTTCCATAATCACTGCCCTGTGCACTATCTCACATTATAATCCTTATTTCGTCAATCGACATAGAGAAACCATGTCCCAAGGTGACGGCTTTAGTCTCGAGTTGTACCGCTACACACCCACACTGTGAGGTGCGGTACTTTTCGTCATCTTCTTCCTGGCTGGGACCATGGCACACACGTTCTATGCATGGAGATACCGAGCAAAGTACTTCACGGCTTTGATCGTCGGTTGCGTCTGTAAGCACATCCAGATCCGCAGCGACAGACCATCAAGCTGATTTTACCCAGTTGAAGCAGTTGGATACATTGCCCGCGCTTTGTCTCATTCACATCCAAAGCTGCTCGGCCCGTACATTATGCAAAGCATGCTTATCCTCATCGCCCCTCCACTATTCGCTGCGACCATCTACATGACACTCAGCCGAATCATACGGGTCAGCCACGCCGGACACTACTCGATCGTTTCCCCAAAGTAGCTCACTCGCATTTTTGTCATCAGCGATGTACTCTGTTTCCTGATCCAGGGCAACGGAGGAGGATTGCAGGCTATCGGGACACTCCACATGTACAGCCTCGGGGCCGACATTGTCATCGCCGGACTGGTGCTGCAAATCGTCGTCTTCTGCCTCTTCGTGGCTGTGGCAGTCAGCTTCCACTTGCGTCTCCGCAAGCAGCCGACCGCTGGCGGTGCATGCCCTCCACTGGACTGGGAAAAGCACATGTACACTCTGTACGTTGCAAGTGCAATGATACTGCTCCGAAACCTTGTCCGCGTCATCGAATACGCTCAAGGCAACGATGGCTTTGTCGTCTCCCATGAAAGCATGCTATACATATTTGATGCGTGTATGATGTTGGCTGTCGTTGTTCTGCCTTTGGTCATTCATCCTGGTCAAATTCTCGGACGCGCCAAAGCAGGAGACCGTAACTCAGGACATGACCACCTGCTCCAGCCGGTCGACAAGACACGATCAATTATCTTCTGGAAGAAATGAGACCGAAACCCATGTCCGAATAGACGATGAAGCAGAATGCACATCACAGAGAGTGCTGCAATAAGCAGAGGTAGATAGCAGAGGTCAAACTCAATCCTACTGTCATATGGTTGTTATTTATCGTTCTGTTCTCTGATTGTCTGGGCCTGATCAATATGGGGGAGAGAAGAGAGATGGGGAGGAACATAAAGGTAGACATGGTCATCCGTACCACGTCGCATTCGTCCTGATCTTATACGAAATCCGATTGCACAGAAGATGGAAGATCGCATAGATTCAAGTCTGGTTCTGTTCCAAAGTTGTTATAAAGTCCGCTCATATTGATTCGGTACGTAGACGCCTAGCGTTTAGATGCGACTTGAGGGCGTTTCGATCTGCGACAATGGAAAAGCAAGGTATGGCTGCCAGCGTGGTCCTAGGCGTCCTGAGATGAGCTCAATTAATACACGACCACCAGAACCGATGGTCCAACGATCCCGGCTGTAGTGGAGCAGGACCCCATAGTGAGCCAAGATCACCAAGGCTTCTGGCCTGTGATCCAGCAAATCTTCAGCAAAAGTCAATGGTAGCAAAGTCGGCCAGGCAAAGACGGAATCGAAGATGTCTTTAGGATCATATCTGATGCATTCCAGAAGGTGCCCGACCACTTCGATACACTCAGATTTGCTGCCAGAATCTAGGCGCGCGCTGTGAATCATGGCAAGTATGGTGTCACACTCGAAAAGTGGGGGTTTGTGCTTGGTCCTGTTTCTTCTCTCCTGGAAGCCCGTGAAAATTGGCTGAAGCGAAGAGTCTTGTAGCGAAGACCAGTCTAGCCTGATCACGGTCTTGATACCGACTTGCAATCTCACAAACTTGACGAAACCTTGTATCATACATTCGAAAGTGATCCCTTCCGTGTCTAAAAGAACGGTCGCCAGAATATGTTTGCCAGTGAGGCTGGAAAACATGAACGCAGCTGCGTGAGCCGAGCCTCGAAGTTTGTTTATGGCCTCCTAGGTGAACAGCGAAAGAGCCGAAGCCTGAAGCTCTACGGCGTGCTCGTCATAGAATTGTCGACGGTCTGACTTGAGTTCGCGAAGATGCAGAGCGGAGAAGCTCAGCAATGCATGCAACAAGAAACAATGATCTAGCGCAAGATCGATGATCTTTGGGACCAGGCTCTGTGGATAGAAGTGGTCTCTGGCAACTTCGGGGAGAAGAGAGTTCGTTGCGTGGTGGAAGAGTGCAATGTGAAGTATATTGACTCCAGCCACATTTTTGGAGGGCGTGAGCTCTGAGTAGGCAATGCTCTGCTCCCTGGTGGCAGAAATTTGTTGCCTCCTATCTTCGAGGCCATCCCGGGGAGTGGAATAGCTGCTATTTGCTGAAAGCAAACCGTTTGGAAATTCAGCAGTCCGGTCTTCGGGGGGGTCCTGGTTCTCAGACAATAGCTGCCGCGAGGAGGAAACACTTGAAGTTCCAACAGCATATGTACATTCTCGCGAACTGAGGCGACACTGCACGCAACTTGGCCGGCTCTCATCGCACTTGACATGGCGCTTCTTGCATGCTACGCAGCCATGTCGTGACTTCTTGTGCTTGCGCCTTTGCATGTTGTTCGGCGTAATGTCAAGTTGAGATAAGAAGGTTCCAGGCTCGGGACTTGGGACTTGATCTAAGCCGCCAATTCTTAAGGGTTTGTTCGCCCCAAGCCCCTCGCTAATGCACAACAACACTGAAGTGGCCCAGCTTCGGCTATACTCTCAGCTTCATATACTTTGAAAACCTGGGCACCATACATAACCTCTTTAGCAACCTTCGAAATTACATATCTGCGTAGTTTCCATATTCCGCAAACTAGAGATCCATGCTCATAAAACATGTGACCATGCCGAACACTACTTTTGCTAGTGCTTCATCACCTCCTCGTGCTGCGCGATTTTCGATACAGGCTGAAATGGTTCGGCGTCTCCAAATCTCTCAGGGACCAATCCTGCATATCCAGGTCTGGACATGCCTTTCTCAAGCTGGCGTTCGTAAGATACTTGACGCAAACGATTGCTCTCTCTGGGAGTGAGTCGAAGCTATATCACATGATGATCAGTCACTGTCTTACGGTGCTTCTCTAGGATTGTGAAACTCACATAGAACTCAATGGCAATGGTGTGTAACAGCAATGCAAGCCAACCCGCTGCACCAAAAGGAATGCCGAGTGCGGCAGAGATTTCCATAGAGTTATCGCTCGCAAAGTCGGCAGTGACGACGACTGGTAGATTTGGTCTGTTGCCGTTGAAGCTGTCGGCGCATTGTGGGTAAGCGGCAAGAGTATCGTTCTCTCCAAGAGCAAAGGCGATTTGAGCGCATGACCTGATCGTGTANCCTGTGAGAGACGGTCAGCTATGTTCGCCTTTGACCAAGTACAGTCAGATGCATGGTGTGACCTACCAATCTCTGCTCATACTGATTATTTGAGCTGAGATGATCATGATGATTCTGATAGTAACGATAGTTGAGAANCTGCCCAACATCAGTATGCGGGGAGGATCTTAATGGAAGGATATTCGACGTACCCAAGCCCATGTTCGAAGCATCCAAGCACGATGTTGGTCGATTTGCAGCAGCCTGATGTTGACCCAAGCCATGATGTATCCGAGAGTGGTGAGTATGACCATAGCCCCAGTCCAGGTTTGGGTTGAGAAGTCACCTCCAAACGCATGCCTTGTGATGATGATCGTTCCAGCATTACTAACAAGCGAGAGAATGACTATCGCATAGCCATTCATTCGATGGAACAGAATGAGTTTGTGTCGGATGACGGGTATGAATTGGAGAACAACGAGCAGTGCGGCCGGTAGAATGGTATAAAGATGTAGCATCATACCTNNCATAAATGTAAGTTTTGTGACGAGACCCAGTTGTATGTCTCTGATAGCCTTACCGATCTTGAAAGGCACTTGGAGATAGTAATAGCATTCTCCAGGGGCTGCCTCAGTGCCTCCAGGGGAGGTCGGATTGCAGAACACACCATTGAAAGACAGATACTGGAGTCTGGCAAGAGTGAAACCAAGGAGATATCCAAGGGCAAGAAACGCTGGAACATGCTGGTCAGCGACAAGAACCAAAACATGATGCTCGTTGAGACTCACCAAGNNAAGAGCATTGTATCCTTTCGAGAAACCCAGGGGATTGTATACACGGCGCATTAACCGAACAAATCCGTTGGTTGGCTTGTTGATATTCGCTGGTCCGGATGCCATGTCTGACAGGATGGCAGTCAAGATTGAGGTTGGGGCTTGGTGGTGTGTGGAGTGTTCAACAGATGTGTGAAAAAGTGGTGGTTTATGACTTGAGACGATCTGAGAGAAGCGTACTCTTATAGAAAACAATGTAGACGTGATAAGACTTGACCCTTGCTCGACTGCATGATGGCAGCCATCAGAGATGTCTATGTCATGCTCTCGCGGGACATGTTCATCAACGTTATTGGTGTTACGTCGTGAGTTATGCCCGAATGAGATGAACTCTGCGACTCTGATCTCGTTGCGGAGATCAGAAGGAATGCATGCGCATCGAATCGCGTTGGCAATGGAAACAGGCAGTCATGTTCACGGGTGGAAGTCGCGACGGTGATGTCGGCGAGCGCAGAGTCCCTCCCAAAGCGGTTAGAGCCTGCGAGGCTTGGAGGATTCGGTCTGTTGTCCCTCCGCCTCCCAAGCTTCTTTCCTTTTTGTGCACACATGAAAGATTCGGAAGATCGATCTGCTCCCGATGCAGCACGTGTATGTGTCGGTAGGAGCAGACTTCGAAGTTCAGCACTGCCTTCCTCGCTTATCTATCATGTTTTGTGCTCTCCATGATTTGTCCCGACAGGTCGCTTGGAACCGGTGCGCAGCAGTTGTTCGGACTCTGTGCATTGCAAGACCCTAGACAGAATTCACGTGCGACAAGAGTCGATCTTAAACCTTCACTTCTTGCGACAAACTGACCGCACTTATCCCGTTGATCAAAGTTGAGCTGCTTACTCAAAAGGTGAGGGGTTGAAGGATTCAAAGACAAAGTTTATACGTCCGGCGCCGACCATCACGACTCTCATCACTTCCAGCCCGACTTTCCTCTTGCAACTGGCCACAACTATGCAGGGTGTTCGAACCACACGAGGGTGCATCAACTGCAGGACCAGGAAGAAGGGTTGTGATCTGAAGAGACCGACATGTACTCGTTGCCAGCGACTCAAGCTAGCTTGCACGTTCGAAGAGAAAAGATTCGTCTTCATCGGTCAGGACCACGAGCCCGGTTCAACAAGTTCCCTGGTGTCGCTCTCGGAAACCTCACTCGCCAGGACAGGTGCTACGCTTGTGATGGACGAATACTTCTGGACAACCTACCTCCCACAAGAAGACCCAACCTTAGACGGCAGCATTGGTGGTATAATATCGGCACCCTGGATACCAAGCATTCGAGAGCTGGCACAGAAAGATGCTGACGTGAAGAGTGCCATGCAAGCTTGCGCATTAGCAGGACTAGGGTGGATGAACGATGATCGTGCGCTCGTGATGCGCGCCGCAAGGTTCTATGCGCAAGCACTCAAGCAGACCAACCTCGCTCTGCAAGACCGTACTGCAGCCCTCGAAGATGGCGTCCTTGCCTGCTGCCGACTTCTCATTCTCTTCGAGATGCTTCAGAGAATATCCTATAAAGCTTCACCAAAGACACCAGATCGTAACCAGATAGCTGACTGGCGGATGCATGTCAATGGCACCTGCCGTCTCCTACAGCTTCGTGGACGAGATAGACATCTATCCGGCTTGGGAGTGGACTTGTATGATGGTACACGTATGACAGCAATCATTCATGGCCTTACAAGTCGCCGACCGAACATCTTCACTCGGCTCAATTGGAACCTACCCAGACTGAATATGAGAGATGAGCTGTATGAGCTGATTAATCCTGCCCCACAACTGCTCCAGAACTTCGATCGTTTTCTCCTTGAGAAAATGTCAACCAAGGATAACGTTAATGGTAGGCAGCGCGTCGATTGGGGACTTGCCCTGATGAAGCAAGCTTTGAATGTTTGTTATGCCTTGCAAGCATGGGAGATCCAGGTTTTGATGTCATGTCACGAAAGACAGGTATCTGTTGATTGTGCCAGAAGTCCATCATCAGAACTTGCCCAGGAACAAGGTTCACTTTATACTGTCTGCAGGCTTCATGGTTATGGCTTCTTCTCGACCTGCACACAGTACTGGACGATGTGTAATATATTCTACGGCTCTCTGAGAATTTTCCACCGGCAACTCCAAGCTTCCATGGACATATCCACGCCTGCTGGAATGGCACCATTCCTCCCTGACTGGGTGAGCCCAGAGCTGCCGGCAATGAACGTTGCACAGGTAGCGGGAGACTTCTTCAAACCAGGCATGGGGCTTTGGGCTGCTCACGCCGCAGTGTTCCCAATCAGTGCTGCGCTTCGGTATTTTGCTACCACTGGGAGGAGGAACTCGCCTGCTTTCAAGTCGATGATAGATGCGTTCACAACTACCAAGACTGGTGTTATTATGCGAGATTTCCTCAACTCGATAGGGGTCGTGCAGGAGGCTGAGAGTTGAGTCTTCCAAAAGGCGTTTTGCCAGGGCATGTGTTGGAAGGAGATGTCACTTGGTAGGCCAGTCCAGTTGCCAACATTATCATCTGCAGACAGAGTTGCGCGCTGAAAGTCAGGGTTTCTATCTGTGAGCATAAGCTCAGCTAGCGTCCCCTGTTACGAAGCTTCTAAAGCTCCACCTAGGTGAGGAACCCGGAAATGGATGCCGAGCGTTGAGCTTGAATCCTTTGCACGTCAGTGCCAAGAGGTTGATCACCACAAGTGCAAGACTTATCTGTTGCTTCATCCTGCTCCGAAGTTCCTGTCCGAACCTCTAACAACATGTTACGATTGTTGGCGCAACTATCAGTTGTTGGCGTTGGACCCAGTCACGGAACCCCAGTGTCGCAAGTGGAACACGCGACTTCAATCCCGCATCAGATTCCGAAAGTTATTCCCCAAAGACAAGCCCTCAGCAACGTGTCGATAGATTCGGTTATTCCGACTGGCTTGCAACTTGCTGAGCAATGCGCACAAAGCCTGGCATCCTGGCACAGCGCTTCCACCAGCTGGTCGCTGATGCACAATTCGTCCTACGTTATGACCGAGTCCTATAGGCAGCCTGCCTGGGCCACAGCCGTTCTACCATACTACCGGGCTTCTTCTTTGACGACTTTGTGTGACGGGCACCCTCGAGTCGTAGGCTTCGCGGAATCCACCTCATCCACGACGACACTGGGAACACCCCAAGTATTCACGACAAGCGTGTATCCTGTCACAGAATTCGTGTATAACGTTCCTCCGTATCCTACGCCACACGCTCCATGCACGATCGAAGATAATGATTGTCAAGCGCTTTACGACAAAAACTCTTCGCTTGTCTACGTCTCTTACGATCCCATCTGCAACATTTCCACCACTAGCACCTCGTCCCACGCTTATGCGACGGGCTCAGCTGGCAATATTTGTTCGCAATGTTATATACGTGCGAGTTCTGCTAGGCTACTATACTGGCCAGTTCGGACGATCGATGGCTCGGGAAACATATGCGGAAGCTCAGTCCAAACAGAAGGTCTTCCAAGAACCGGCGATGGACCGAACACTTTTGTCACAGATGGCATTACGATTACCTCACCAAGTGTGGGTATATTTTTGGCCAGCGTTTCGCGTGCAGACCGCTGCTTCACCACGTTAGAAAGCACGATTGTGGTCGTTCATGCATCCGAAGTCATGTCTGCTCGTGGTGCTCGAGCCCTATATGATCATGAGCCTTTCCGATATCAGGATCTCAACTATAAGTGCCAGCGCGCGAACAGTACCGAATACTGGATACAGGACGAGCCTGGAGACGCTTGTTACCAGCAGGTCCCTGCTATCGCTTACTTCTCGGGAGAATCCGCATTCAATTGGGATGAATATTGTATGTTTCACATTCTTCGTCAATTATAGAGTTCGAAAGCTGACACGAATGGTAGATCCGACTGCGTATGGACCTCCACTCACCATAGGGCCTGATTATCGTCCTTATATCCTTCCACCGGAGTCGATGACAGATTGGGCAAACAGTATCTACCAGACTTCAGGATGCTTGATACAGGTCAACGGTGTCTGGTAAGTCTCTGAGCTTGATCCCAATGTACATTGGCTAACCTGAATAGGGATCCACCTCGAGCGTTATTGCCGGGAACCACAGTACTCACACCTGTGCCTGCATGGCAGACCCTCGCAAGTGCAACTTCCGCCACCATCAGCTCTGCCGTACCAGCAGAAGCCGATCACTCTCAACTGGCGGAAACTTTGACGCAACAGGTAGTCTCGACTGCTACTGCGGCTGATAATGATCCCAATACCGGATCGAGATTGGGATTATCAGGTATCACAACAGTATTAGTCACTTCGGAGATCAGATCCGTGAAAACGACTATGCCACAACAGCAGAGTACGGATGTGGCAACGAAAGAGTCGGAAAACACGTTGGCGACCGGAGAGCAAGCCTCGAGAACCATGTCAAACGCACTGTCAGACCAATCGACTGCGGGAATAGCCATGACGACACCGAACGAACAATCAAAGTCCATCATCAACAACTCATCCACAACTGCTTCAATGGCTGGCGAGGAGAGCCGTTCCCAAAGCGTCAACATTCTAGTCACTGCTACAAAGAGCAGTCAGACTTTGAATCTGCTTGAATCTACCACGAAGATATCAGACACACATGTCACAAACCTTGGGACTCAGGTATCACTGTCTTCAGCCAGCGCAGTATCGACAATAGTGACGTATCAGGGCCAGGCTGCTGGGCTCAAGACGTCTACCAAACTAATTTGGACTTTTCTACTTGCTCCTCTGTGGCTATGCAATGAAATATCCACAGCTCTGGTGCAGGATATCTAACAAAAACCTCATAAGCATGGTGGTGGTCGATAAGTACAAGAAAGCAGAGCAAAGCTCAATCTCAAACTTTTCTATAGTCACTTGCTAGAGACACGCCATTGTTGCCAATGACTGTTAGGTGAGACGGATCATATCGATCTGGCCCTAACATTTTTACCCTGCATGAACGGATTGGCACGGTACCTGTACCCATGCTATTAAGGTTTTGTCAAACCCCACGTTGTTTGGGGATCTTGGGGTTGCCGAGGCTAAGGAGTGAGTTGCACCACAACCAACATTGATCAGTTTTGGCATCGACAGTATCTGCTATGTAAACCCAAAGCGACTTGTTCATCAGTCCTGCAGCCTATCTCATGGCAAAACCCTCTGCCTATTGAGCATGGCTGCATTAAATGACGTTTGTCTTCGCAGAGGATGCCGGTCGTCCGGCAAAGAGATTGATGAGTCAACAACAATGAACTATAACTCAGTGTCGCACGCCGCGGTCAAGAGACTCCCCAATCGTGATCAACTCTCTGTTGCCCAAACATGAGTCTTCCTGAGTATGCGCCGCTCTCTGATGTACATATGGACCAACACTCACCCGCAAGCTATAGCAGTCCATGCGATGTAGAGAAAAATGTACCATCACAGCAGGTCACCGCAACAGTGCTTGACTGGGAAGGACATGAAGACCCGACTAACCCACTCAACTGGAGCGCTGCCAAANAAGCATATCATACTGCGGCCACGGCTTTTCTTGGATTTGCCGTGACGGCCGGCTCTTCTTTGATCACTCCTTCGACAACAGAATTGCAAGAGTACTTCCAAGTGTCGAGGACAGCTTCCATTCTGGCCCTCTCATTGTTTGTCTTGGGTCTTGGTATCGGTCCAGCTCTGGCCGCCCCGATCTCAGAAACCTTTGGTAGATCGGTGGTATATAAGATCAGTGGACCATTGTATCTTCTTTTTATCCTTGGATCCGGCTTCAGCGAATCATTCGGCACACTTCTAGCATGTCGTCTGTTGGCTGGAATATCTGGCGGCCCAGTGTTGGCAGTGGGGTCAGGGACCAATGCCGACATGTACTCTGCTCAATATCGCGCTGTGGCATCTTCGCTGTTTGTCATGATGCCATTCCTTGGACCCAGCATAGGACCTGTGATTGGCGGGTTCGTCGCACAATACAAGGGCTGGCGTTGGACTCAATGGTGTACCATCTTTATCGGACTCGCAGCCGTCATTTTTCTGATGCCGATGCAAGAGACTTACAAGAAGATCATACTCAAACGACGTGCGAAGCGTGCCAATCTGCAGCCACCTACAGCTAGTAAGCCCAACAAGCTTGCACTTGCAAGAACACTGTTTACAGTCACACTGGCTCGTCCGATGCACATGCTGTGTACAGAACCCATCACCATTATGCTCAGTCTGTACACAGCCTTTACATTCAGTGTGCTCTTCGCCTTCTTCGCCGCCTACCCATACGTTTTCCGCAAAGTATATCATTTCAACACTTGGCAGTACGGATTGACGTTTCTTCCAATCGGTCTGGGAGTCCTTCTGGGTGTTGCGACTGTCATCATCATTGACAAGACTTGGTACACGAGACAACATCAAAAAGCGCTATCGTTGGGAAAGGTAATGGTTGCTCCAGAATATCGACTGCTGTCTGCACAGATGGGCTGCTTTGGAGTATCGATAGGTCTATTTTGGTTTGCCTGGGCGGCTCGGGCATCAGTACACTGGATTGTACCCGTGCTGGCCGGAATACCCTTTGCTTGGGGTAACCTTTGCGTCTTTGTGAGTGCAGCCTTGTATCTGATTGATACTTATGGGCCGCTTATTGGAGCCTCCGCTATGGCAGCCAATGGTCTTGCAAGATATACTCTGGGTGCTGCTCTACCCCTGTTCACAATCCAGATGCTCGAGGGCCTTGATATATCTTGGGCTATCAGTCTGCTTGGTTTCTTGAGCTTGGTCATGTTACCTATTCCATGGGTCTTCTTCATCTTCGGGCCGAGGATTCGCGCAAAGAGCGGCTATGATACATTCAAGGATTGAGTGCTCACTTGAGAAGCTGCTTGCCGTTTTCGTGTTTCGATATGCTCATCTTAATTAGAATCAGGATGCTTATGATATGGATCCGTTTCCAGGTTTGACATATGACACAGTCGTTTGGCCCTCAATTTAGAATATTTTGATCAACCAAAGTCCGCCCCAAAGCTTTTATAGACTTCGTCTACAAACTCGGCATACTCAAAATCCTGCGCCCAGATTCCACAACGGAAGACTCTTAGAAAGTTGATCCGTATCTTGGGTGACCAATGTCGCCATCAATTTTGATAGGCTAGATTCAACTGCATGCCAATCCTCCGTACTGCTCTGGATGCTCACGTGTCGCTCAGGATCCTCACGTATTGGTGTACGTCATGTGTCAGGAGTGAAGGCTTATGATTTCTGATAATCTGCTTGGTCGTAATCTTATGAACTTTAAAGGCACACTCCGGACCTGGAGCGGTAAACCGCCATCGTTCTGAAAGAAGAAACATTTGTATTTCATATAGCGAAACTAGACTATCTCAAAACTAGAGCAAACAAAGCCAGAAGAATGCATTGCAAGAACAAAGATCAAGTGCCAAGCGAGTGTCGGGTACACAAGTAAGAATTCAGAAAGTCAAGCAGGATGTGTCATGAGAGGTGTGGAGGTGCCTTTGGATGTTTCATATCTTCATCGTAGAATGCTCTGACGAACTCTACTGCTGTGCAGACTGCGAGCCTGTGTTGTCTGGGGACAACATGAGCGATACTTGCGTAGCGCCCAGAGGACGACCGTCGATTTGGTTTGCAGCGTAGAGATAGATGTCGGCGGCGTTTTGACCCGCTCGCGGCACAACCACGAAACTCGTGTAGGTCACACTGCGGCGCCATCTATTGCCGCTTACACTGGCGGTGCAAGCAAGGGTACTCGACTCTGAGACAGTGCACTTCAGCGGGGCCCAGGATTCAGGGTACATTGAGAGGTAGTCTTGAGTCAAAGTAGCCAGTTGAACCGAGTCTGAACGGAAGCTAGGGATGGCGTAACTCAGGACATTCTCGCTTGTTCCAAGATAGAGATAGCCGGAAGTCGCGTTGAAGGTGTAGCTGAGGATAGGAAGCTGTCTTCGTCCAGTGTAGACGGTCGCGTATTCGTTTTCTCCATTCTGCCTGGATTCCAAGGCACGACCATCGAAAGATGTGCCTGGACTGTTGATGGAGACGCTAGACCCGCTGCGAATTGGGGTTTGACTTGGTTTTGGGACGCTGGTGGACGAACTAGAAGTCGCGCTAGAGCTCATGGAAGTTGTGGAACTCTCAGAAGCTATCGTGCTTGGATTGGTCGAGGAGCTGTTCAAAGCAGTGGTACTAGTAGAACCGGTCGTGGTTGAATCGGTCCCGCTCGCTGATACAGTCAACGACGTGGTATCGACAGTGCTAGTAGACAAGATAGAGCTTGTCCCATTAGACATTGGAGCAGAGGTAGACAAGTATACAAAAGTAGATGGACTATCGGTCGTGATAGGTGCGATGGGACCGACTGAAATAAAAGTGCTGCTTCCATTACCGTACGGTCCTCCACTCGAGATGATCGTTGTAGAAATACCGCTCGGGACTCCAGTGGCCTGGGAAGTCGAGAGTATGGAGGAAGTGATATTACCAAAAACGGCGCTCGAGGAAGTAGTGGATGTGGTAAGCGGGGCTGTTGGACCAAGAGTAAGTGCACTGCTGGTACCATTTCCATATGGTCCATCAGTGATGATCGCGCTTGAGGAGACACCGGTTGAAGCTACACCAGAGGTAGCAGTGGCGATACTCGTAGAATTATCGACAGTGTTGGTGGTAGGTACAGCGATACCAGTAGAAGAGGCACTGGTCGTTAGAGGTGCGGTAGGGCCTAGACCGGATGAGGTGCTGGTTGCGTTGCCATATGGTGCACCACTAGTACTGATGGTTGACGAAAATCCGCTTGAGGCTGCAGCTGAAGTAGTATTGGCAGTGCTCGAAGCAGACATGGAGGTACTATTGGTACCAGTGGCAGATGGAGACGATGTGCTGACCGAGACGGGGATAGTTGGACCAGATGAGAGTGTGCTGCTTGTGCTGTTGCCGTACAGACCTCCATCAGTGACACTTGGGTCCAGACTGCTTGATGATGCAGTCAATGTGGTGTTCGCAGTGTTCGTGGGAATGGTAAGAGTGCTGTTGAGTGAGACACTAATGCTGGAGAAGGATGTACCAGTAGACACAGGCACGGTTGGTCCGACAGGAATACCACTAGTCGTGCCGTTTCCGTAAGGCGCTTCGCTGGAACTGGTGCTTGCTGAAAACCCGCTCGAGACTCCTGTGGGTGTGGAAACTGGGATGCTCGAATTCGTGCTGCTAGTGACATTGGCGGGGATGGAAGTCGGAGAGGAGATGTTTGTGGCCGATGTCACTGTGGCACTCAGAGACAAAGTGCTACTGGTTCCGCTTCCAAAGGGGTCAACGATGGAAATATTGAGCGACACGCTGCTCGTGGGTGTAGCTAAGATATTGCTAGTGGTCGAGTTTGCGAAGGAAGCAATGGATGTGAGACTCATGCTGTTGATGGTCGACACTGCGCTAGCTGAAGTCGTCTTGACAACGCTGGTAGTACTCGAGCCGACTGGACTAGAGACAATCATTGAAGCAGACGAAGAGCTGGAACCGGTCGATGTGTTTGTGAAGTCTGTGGCTGTGGAAACGCTCGTCGATCTGGATGAGGTTGTGGAAGTGGCGGTCAAAGAGAGACCAGATGAGGAGATCGTAATTGAAGAAGAGGTGGTCTTGGAAGAATCGATCGAAAACATACTGGTAGAGGAACTCTTGGTACTGGTCTTTGTCGTCTTCGTGGACGAGCTTGTCGTACTAGATTTGCCTTGGATACAGTCGCAGAGTGCCAGAAGGGCGTTCACATCATACTTCTGGAATGGCGATGAGTGTCGAGGTCTGGTGTTCATATCAGTATATGTCAAGAGTCTCAGCGGCTGATACGCACCTTCTGGTGTAGAACTGACAGAAGTTCTCTGGCTCGCTAAATTCACTTGCGAGCTCTGCCTTGCAACCACGACCGGTGCCCCTCTCTACCAGCGGGCTGGAGTCCTCGATAGTGGTAGCAGACCTCTTATCGGAGGTAGGGGTACCGATACAGTAGCAGACCGCAGTGACTTGGGAGGCTGACAATTCGCTGAATGGAGACATGGTGCGGTATCTGGGTTTGGTTAAAACAGTTGTTCGGTAAGTTTTCGAGAACAATATCTTACGCGGACAACCACCACTGGCAGAAGTACGTCTTGTGTTTGACCGTGTTGGAGAAGAGTTTGATGTCACTTTTGGAACAGCCGTCAGGTCCTTTAGCAGCACGTGCTGGAGAAGCTGAAACTCCAAAGATGAGTGCAACAAAGCAAAAATGAAGGTGAAGATCTTGAGAGATCTCATGGTGGCGGTTGGTCAACGAGTGTGGAATATTTGGACAGTGAAGATGCTGCTGGTACCAGTTCATTGGGGTGGGAGGCCACTTTATATACCATCGTTTGACGAGATACTTCACGGCAGGTCCATGGTCTGAGAATCCGACACCAAGCGCTAAGTCATCAGGAGCAGTCGGATCGGGCATCCTGGGAACGGTTATTCAGCTTCACATAGTATCATCGTTTGGCGCACTTGTCGATCACAGTGACGGTCGACTTCACTGACGTTGGTCTGTAGAAGCAGGATGAAGGGGGAGAAAGCAGGGGAGTTTCCAGCCCTTATGCCGCCTTGCGTGGACGCGTCTTAAAACGTCCGAACAGCAGCAGAAGCTGCTGCACGTTCACAACTGTGCCAAAGCGTTGTCTTCAAACATGTGTCCATGTTCATCTTCTCTGGACACATACATCGTCAACAGCGCGAGATTCTGCATCGGGTAATATAAACTTGCCCTGGATGACGAATCCTAACTTACAGAAATACTTTGTAATCCAGCAAAATGCAGACAAGATAGTGATGTGCAGACGAAAGCCCCGCGTGAAATTACTTGAGTATCTGTAGCTCAAAAAACCGCATGACCCCCTACAGGGTATGTCTGCAGCCGATGGATAGCGTATGGCTTGCAGACTGCCTATTTCGACCTTGGTAACACTCGCCATCTGCTGTAATCTTTGAACATGCAGACGCATGGATGTGCACGCTATCCATCGGACGTGCAAATACCCTGTAGAGTCTCTGTTTTCTGGTACGTGGGAGAGGTTGGGACCCCCGATGCTCGCTTTGGAGAAGGCCGGAGCTGGGAACTGAACGTCAAGCCCTGATGCACGGATTCGACCCGAGGATGCGGGTGCATGCTCCGACCAGCGGGCTCAGCTCAGACAAGATGTGTTGCATGACGTGTTGGCAGAGTATAGAGGTTTGTCGAGTACAACGTGTCATACAAGCGTCGAACGTCGAGCGTATGAGAGCGCAATGAGACTAGGATTCACGCTTTGGATGGTAACGTGGTCCGCAAGCTGACTCCAAGAGCACCTTACGCGAGATTTTTTTTCGTTGTGTCCTGTTAACCGTATGCAGCAGTATCGTCAGAAACTTGTGGCTGCACAAGACTCGGTGGGGGCACTTGTGGAGCGGCTGGACATGCATGTGTTGTGCGGCGAACGCTCGGTTCGTGGCGTATCTGCTGCACGTTGCTTCTTCGGGCCGCATCTCAACATGCGTTCTGTCCAGCTAGTCGTCGGGTACCTGCAGTGGCCAAAATGTGGCGCGTCCAGCGATAAAACTTCGCACTGCCCGACGCAGGAGCTTGAGACTCAGCTGTGAGATCAAAGTCTGACGCTCTTAGCTGCAAGAGTGTGACTTGTTGACGACGGCCGTTGACACTCCAATAGGAATACACACCCAATTCGAGCCGGTCTTAGCCTACCGTTCGCAAGCACCACTCGTATGCACACACTAATAGCCACAGTCGCAAGTTAGAGGCTCAGGTTGGGGATTCGTTGAGACCCGTCAGCGGATCGAGGGCGATGCCATGCTGATGAACTCGCTGATGGTATTGATAAGATGGTTTTGGTCAATGGCAAGCTGAATTTCGATGGCTGCATTCGCTCGACCCCCTTTTCCAATTCACGGCTGTTCGATACTGGTTTTTCCATGCCTAGTACGAGCAAGGTCTGTATGCAACCATCCAAGGGCGAAAGAATCCAGAGATTACTATCGAGTCTTCTAGACCGATGCGCAACATCGAACATCTAAAGCAATCGATAAACATTAGAGTAAACTCAAGATGCGGCATGTATAGATTTGCTTCTTGTGGTGCCGGAACGAGATAAACAAAGCGTGGTACCCGAGTTGCCGGTGGATAGAGCGACGCTTGTGCGGGAAGATCGGTCTGACTTAAGGAGACTCGCGTCATGCCTCGCGTCGTGCGTCTGCGCTTCCCTCACCCACGACAAGCAGCTCGACACCAGAGTGTTTCCTTCGATACAAACGGCGGAGTTGCGCCACACTCGATCTCACGAAAGGACGACAAGACGTATATGTAGTCGTCATCCGAAAGTCGCCAGGGTCGTACTCAAAACCATTGATTCTATATCTGCGTCGTGCTCGCGACCCGATTTCACACCTGGTGGTGTCACTGACATCTGTTTTGGGTCGAGTAAATCACCAGCAGGCTGTTCTATGCAGTGTATATCCCTCAAACATCAGAGCTGCCGCCCTTAGACTGGGTCCCTGTGTGTGAGCTTGACCATCTTCATTGCCATTTCGAGCCACATATTCTCTGTTACTGGCTCCAGATTCAAGTCCACTTAAGCGAGCGAAAACCGATAGAGGCAATTTAAGTAGCGAAGCAAGTTTATCCCGCCGACGATAGAAATTCTAATGCCAGTTGATTGAATTTCTTCGGGTCCTCCNNCCAGTAACACCAGTGGCCTCCCCATCCCACAACGACACCTTTGGCTCTGGGTGTTTGTGCCTTCGAGTTGGCGAAATCCACTGCTGCTAGTGGTCCACGACTAGGGAAACAACCGCTTCTGTCTGTGGCGACGACAAGCACATTCGTCTTGTTCTCAGCTCGTCCTCCGAACGTTTCCACGATACTCTGTCGCCAATCCAATGCTGTGTGATCGGCCATCAAATTGCCATACCACTCGGCATTTCCCTGCCTTGCAATAGCCAAAAAGAATTCTTCATCTGCGTCTTTGACTTCATCGCTGACGGATTGGCCCGTGAGAGGATGACTTCTGTAGCCCAGACATCCAGCAATGGTACCTCTATACACACTGTCAGGGTCATACTTCAACGTTGTCTTCAGATTTGCTACAGCGGCTGCAGAGTTCATGCCTCGATTGCCTTCGGCACTATCCCAGCTCCCATCACTCGCGTAGTTCTGCATCGGCGCTTGATCTATCCAGATCATGTGCGAGAAGACTCCAGTACCAAAGAGTTCCGCAAAAGACCACAGAATCGAGCAGCCAAGGCTTCCAGCGATGCATCTGACGGTGTCGGGTTGCGTGATATTCAGATGGTTGAGAAGGTTGTGCAGATCCATTGCCAGACGGAAGACGTGGAAGCCATGGCGTGTTTTGTCAGAAGCACCGTGACCCCTCAGATCTGGCGCGATGACATGAAAATGCTTGGATAGAGTAGGAATGTTGCGATGAAAGACCTCAGAGGAGCCGGTGAAGCCGTGTAGCNNTGCGCGTCATGGATAAGAGTTGAGAAGGGACACGTTGCATGTCAGTTCGCTTACAAAGATCAACACAGGGAGCGACTTGTCTCCAACGTCTTGGTAGGCAATCTGGTAGCCATCATTTGTCTTGAAAAATTCCATATGTGTCGCAAGCGGCAAGTAAGACCAGGGGTTGGTACAGTGACCGAATGGAAGTTTCGCAAAGCTGTAACCATCTAGAGCTTTCATTGTGCTTACTAATATTATTCGGAGCCATTAAGGTGGTCCCGAACTAAGGACCGTGCGCGCGTTTGTTCTCTATTCTTATCTAAGGATCATTTCGCATCGACAGAC